AGTGAGAGAAGAAGAAGAGAGAGAGAGAGAGAGAGAGACCAGTGAGGGTAGGCCATGGACTTTTAGATCTTTGAGCATGGATATGAGAAGCAAGCAGCTGAATCAGAACAACAACACAGAGTAGAAGCGAAGAAGCTCGTAATCCTCCTCGCATTGTCGGATTACCTCAGCCGGCGACTTCACCGGCTCCTTTATTCTTGCGGCGAGATTCGAGGAGAGATAGAGAGAGGGAGAGAGAGAGAGAGAGAGGCGTCTTCTAGCTTAAATCGTTTGTGATTCTGATTTATATGATCGCCGTTGATTAGTTTTAAAATTAATCTTTATCAGAAAAGAAAAAAAGTCATGATGATTAGTTTCGTTCTTCTTTCTTACAAGTTTTATTTTTCAATTTAACTATTAACTTAATATATATATATAGATAGTTATTGAACATTTCATAAAAATTAATAAGTGCAGCCTACCACAATTACGCGTAATCACGTATTTTTTTGTTTGTTTTGGGATCGATCGAGCCGAGAGAGAGAGAGAGATTTTGGTCGGTCAGCTTCAGGCTTCAGCTTATTATAATGTCGTGCGTATTTGTTCCTCTGACTCTTTCTTCTTTGCAAATTAGTATTATTAAAACCATTGTTAAACATAAAGCAAAATATTATATTTCTTATTTTTATCTATGTTTTTTTGCGTTTGAATTTTGCAAATAATAATGTTTATGGTATATATGTACCATGTAGCAACTTAATAAAGAGTTTGCTCTACGCTTTGAACAATATTTGTAGTCTTACTTCACCAACTGGTTAACTAGCATAATAGCATATGAGTATAATCATAAGTTACTTTGTTTTTTTTTTTCTTTTCTTTTCTTTTGTATTAACTTGTTTCAAATACTTGTAAAGATATCTAATCAATATGAGAATAAATTCAATTTTGGGGCCCATCCCCTCTCACTGAAATGATGAAGCTTGTAACTTTGGGCATTCTCATATGCTTGTTTTTGTCCACACAAGCAAGGAGTAAGTTATATCACAATGAAAGAGTACTATATATTTTGCATTTAGAAAAAAAAAGAGAAAATTGTCAGTTCTGCCATATACAGTGACAAATCTTTTACTCAGTGCCATTAGTGTTTTTATCTTCTCCCGCCTGCCACAACCTATGTACTAAAAGACTATCATACCCTCTTTTTTCTAGTGAACTCTTCTTCTCTTTTCTCATGTCTCATATCTCTCGTATCTTTCTCTCTCTCCTCTGTTTCTTTTTTTTTCTTTCACTTTCCTCTTTCTTTCTCCAATAACAAAAAAAAGAGATTTCTAATTTCACAAACGTTTGCTCTGACAAAAAGATATCAATTAGCTCTGCAGATGTTGTTTAGAAGTTGTCTGCTGCATCTTCACTGGGTCAATTCGATGGACCAGATCTGGTAGATCAGATCCGGTGGACCATATTCAGTGAACCAGTGCGTGAAATCTTTTTCACCCATGTTTTTCCTACAAAGGGATCTCAATCAGCTTTGCAGATGCTCCATAGAGATTGTATGTTCTATTTCCGACGAGCCAATCTCGATGGACCAGATCTGGTAAACAATATCCAGTGAACCAGTTCTAGTGGACCAAACTTGTCTATTTTTACTAAGCAATCATGTCCATCACGCAGATCTTTTGAAGCCATAAGCGATCGACCATATGATGAAACAAGTAATGCATTTATGGAAATATCATTTAAGATCCATCTAGGTTTACACTCTTGACCACACATTTGTCTGTATATGGACCAAATCTCGTGGACTAATCTGGTGGACCAAATCTCGTGGACTAGATCTGGTAGACTAGATCTGGTGGACCAGCCCCGATGTCTGTAATATGTCCATATTTTGTTCCCTAACTTGTTCTATATTTTTATAAACTAACTTGTCTATAATACATATGCTAGTGTGGTAATAATGTTGGATAGTGAAAAAGAACAACTAATAAAGATAGACGATACATGTATTTATCTTATCCACTTTATCTTGTCCACTGTAATTAATTATGGAACAAGTTAGTTTATAATGATACTATTTTTTGAACCTACTTACTTTATTACCCAGAGGATATTACACTACATCACATGCATACTTCACTCAACAAATACTGAGGGCAAAATCGTCCTATTTTCCTCCTTTGTGGCATGTTTTGAAAGAAACTTTTGTTAATGGCAGTTTTACAAATTTGAGTTTCAAAAATGGCACTCTTAACAAAATTCCAAAAAAAAAACAAAAAAAAAATAGCCACACATGTTTCTACACTTACTATATGAAAGTAGCTAGTATAAGAAATATTCACTTTGAAAGTTTGCAAATAGCAAGAAATTAGATTTTAACAAAGTTTGATATATGTATATATTATTACTCTATAGGTTGGTTCCAAAGTTCAATTTCAACTATATATTTTTAAGAAAAACATTTAAGTATTGTATAGTCAGATGTATATGTGTATCGTTTGGTCGGCTCGGCGGCGGCGGCGCAAAGCCAAAGTGGCGTGGTGGTGAACGAACGGACGAAGGAATAAATCAAAAAACACAGCTACGGGAGCGGGTCCCACACAACATGGCCGTCATAACTTATCTGTAAAAATGTACACGTGGCGAATACCTATTTGTGATCACCCAATGACATCAGCAAAAACGCGCAAACCAGTCACGTTATAACGTGGGGGCCGTTTGTTTTGCTGTAAACATATACTCCAAATTATCTATCGGTTTAACAATTCTTCAATTAACAACTTTTTATTATGAAAAGTTTCTCACTGGATGTTGAATGTTTAATGTTAGACTAAATGTTTTTAATTGACCTTTTTAAAAATGTTTTTAGCTTACTTTGTCAACTTCCCCAAATACATTTCCAGTATTTTTTTTTATTTTTGTAATAATTAGGCCTCTCCGATGAGACCATTGACCTCAATCTTGTTTTTTTATACCTTTTTTTTCTGTAGGTAGGTTATATTTTTTGTATTGTCAAATCTTCTAGTAGTATATATGGTTCAGTCTATTCGACGACCAACATACCTGGCTCTCAATCATTATGCATTTAAAATTATTGTTGCCATCCTATATGATTGCAACCTTTTACTACAAATCAAAACATACGGAGTCATTTCTTGACAATCAAAGCATACACTCTTACGCAACATATTACCGGTTTGGTTTCAAACAACATTTAGATTTCGAGACTCGTGCAGTTAACGACAGATAATCAAGTAAATTAAAAGTCTAAAACACATACTATATAAAATTAAATGATAGGTTCGATTCTTTCTCGACATACATTTTTGAACAAATTAAAACTACTATATATGTAATTGCATTGTATTAAGTCATCTCAAATTTATGTATATCTTGTCAAAAAGATTAAAACATCTATTTGTTTTCTCTGTGTACATGTTCGACTCTCCAATACTGAATCATGACTATCAATGTCTTTTTGGTAGATGATCATGCATTCATGTGCATTATAAAGTATATAATATACACACAGATAAAACATAGTCCACTCACTTTTATTAGGTAATTACATATTACAACCAACCAACCAACCAACCCAAACGACACTAATTTAATAATGCTAAGTAGTGTTATAGCTTCTTTAACACTAGCAACAAAAGAAAAAAATCAGTTAAGAATTATATATAATCTTCAAGAAGGATCGCTTCGAAACAACACACAAGTTGGGAAATAACAACCCACTAAAAATAATAATGTGATATACATACATCATATACACACTCAAGTTGAAGTTGGGCATGTGCAGGATATTTATACTTCATTTACACTTGTATATAGAGACATTAGAGAGTGAGATAGTGGAACATGTTATTACGGACAGTTTGTTTTTCCATATTTGTTAAGTTCTTTTTTTTTTGTTTGTTCTATCAGACAATGCGCCGAACGCTACCACAGATGTGAGATCTTGAAAGAACAGACTTTAAGGTCTTGAAGATCTAAACTAGAAAAACTCCGAGCAAGAGCTCCACACTACTATATATGTGTTCCTTTATCTAAAAACCGTAGTCAATATGCTCCCTTTAGCATTTGAGATCAAAAATGTCGTCAAGCAATACAGAGCTCAAAAAAGACTCTTTTCTTTGGCTTAAATCAACAAGATATTTTGGATGATTGCTTTATTCTTTTTAGTTATTATAGTTAGATGATTGTTGTCGTCATAAGAAACAAAAAAAAAAAAAATCAGATATGCTAGCTAACTATAAACAAAATGTAAAAGGACATAAACTAAATGTAAGACCGTTCTACTATAACGCGGGGCTCAAGAAACTTCGTTGACCCCGAAAAGGCTCGTCCCTCCCACGAATGAAAAGGAACTAGACTATACACTTTTGCTTGCACAACGTAACAATCCCTCTTTACCCGCAAATTAAACTCATTCTTTGCATGCATGATGCATCTTTAGGTCCCCCGCAAGTCCTGTCACAATCTCTGGTTCACGCATATATGGAATCTTCACTGAAATAACGGTTTCTCTTTTGGTAATACGGATTCGTATAAAAGATCCAGAGTTTTGATACTAAAGCATACTATGTATATGTTGCTTTGAAACTAAAATATCTGATTCGAATTCACCACCATATTTCACAACATCTAACATAGCCTTTCTAACATGAACACACCACGATGGAAGTTTGGAAGAACCTAGCATTCCTCTCAAAAACCAAAAAAAATGTTTGCTGACATAAATTGAATTTGACCTTAGAATAATACCATACAAAAAAGAAAAGAAAAAATGACACGTAGACAAGTCATTACGCAGTAAGGTCAACGTCTTTTGTGTACGTGGAGGCAGTGCTTCGCCACGTGTATTCGTCCACAAAGCGTGTTTTCAAAAGCCAATGCTATACTCGCGCGTGTGACCTTTGAACCCTCAAAAATCAAGCATTCAATGCAAGTGAGCCTTTTCTCGCTTAGCACGAAACATTAAAAAAAAAAAACTAGTGTTTTTTTCCCTCCCTCTGCGGCTCTCTCTCTTCACGGCTTTCTTAAATTGCTCACACGAAGCAGCTGCCTAAATCTTCTCTCTTTCTCTAACGCATCATCTGATTGGTCTCATTGGGATTGATTCACTTGATCCTTTTGCACATTGCGTTTTAGTTCTTCCGTCTTGGTAGTCATTTCCACATTCTGTAGTGCTCAGCGCCAAACTTCCTTCACCCGAGGTAAAGAGAAGAGTTATTATTTAATGCATTGGGATTAACTTCGATCTTTCGAGATTAGTGTTAGATGGTAGTTTACGTGATGGAATCGTCTTTGTTCTTTTCTTTCTTGATTTGGTCGGTTGCCCCAGTTTTGTCTTGTTGTGTGATATGCTCGCTCCTCTTGCTATATTCAGGACAAAATCTTCGAATCGGTGAGATATTTGCCTTCTTTTTTTCTCAGCCACAGATTAAATTTCCTGAGTTTCATTCCTGGAGCCTAAGGGGAATTCGTTTCCTGGGAGAGAATCGAACGGAGGCTTTTTGTATATTCGTAGTCTAAGGGTTTTAGATTTTGTGGGGAAAGACTGAAACTTTCTTTCCCCGTGAATGGTAAAGCGGTGAGATGTCGTCTGGGTTCGTGGGTGTTCTCGTTTCAGATCCATGGCTGCAGAACCAGTTCACGCAACTGGAACTTCTGACTCTCCATTCCAAGGTTTGTTCTTTTCCATCCTTCTTCCTAGATACACACACCCTTACATGTCTTACAATTGTTTTGATTTGTGGTGTAGTTCGTGTCTTTGAAGAATCAGAGTGGAAAGATCACTACTGATGATCTCCCTCCTCTTTTGGCTACGCTAATGGCACTTAGTGCTTCATTTAAGGAGGACGAAATCAGGGGGATGCTATGTGAATTGTGTTCTGATATAAGCAGTGATGTGGATTTTGAAGAGTTTCTCAAGGTATGTGCTGTTTCGTTGTTTCTTGGTGAATTGCGTTTTTGGATTGAGTGTTAGTGTGGTGTATTTATCTATTGTGGTTTTGGATTGATCTTTATGTGCAGATATATCTCAAGTTGCTAAGTAAAGCAGCTGAGAAACCTGGTGGTCATAAGAACTCATCCTCGTTTCTTAAAGCTTGTACAACGACACTTCTTCACACGATATTTCAGTCGGAGAAGAGTTCTTTTATTCAGCATATCAACAGATATCTTGGGGATGACCCCTTTTTGAAGCAGTTCCTTCCTCTTGACCCAGATTCTAATGATTTGTATGAACTTGTGAAAGATGGCGTACTTCTGTGGTAAGGTGCACATTCATATGTTTAGAGTCCATCTTGATACAGAATGCATATGATTTCTGCCTTTCACGCGTTTCTCTCCCTTACTTTCTGGTGTAGTAAGCTTATAAATGTAGCAGTTCCCGGGACAATAGATGAACGCGCAATCAACACGAAGAGTGTACTTAACCCATGGGAGAGAAATGAGAATCACACGCTTTGTCTAAACTCTGCGAAAGCCATTGGATGCACTGTTGTTAATATTGGGACACAGGACCTAGCCGAAGGACGGGTATGTATTGTCTGCTTAGTATTCAGTGTACATTTGAACAAATTTCACCACACGTCAATAGGGGTAATTTGCTTTACTGGCCTAATGGCTGAGATGAATGTGCATTGTTCTGACCAGGGTGGTTTAATGATGTTTTACAGCCTCACCTGGTGCTTGGATTGATTTCACAACTCATAAAGGTCCGCACAAATCCACTGGTCCGCTCTGTGTATTTCTTAGTTTTCCTTTTTGCGCTCCAGCATTAACTAAATAATGTTGGTAAGTGCAGATTCAACTACTCGCTGATCTCAATTTAAAGAAGACGCCTCAGCTGGTTGAGTTGGTTGAAGACAGCGATGTAACTGAGCTATACCAATCACATTTACAGACTTGTATATGCGTCTTATAAATTAATAAGTGACAATTAGTTTCTCTGTTGCAGGATGTCGAGGAGTTGCTGAGATTACCCCCTGAGAAAGTCTTACTTAAATGGATGAACTTCCATCTTAAGAAAGGAGGTTACAAGAAAACTGTCTCAAACTTTTCTGCGGATCTGAAGGTATTTGGCTTCCCATGGAGGAAACCTTTCTCTTTTGCTTATCCAATTCTTTAGTTAGGGGATTCTCAATTCAAGATTGTACTTACGTGCTACTATTCCTTTTAACATGCAGAATCAATATCAGTTCTTGAATAAGAGATATAATATGAACTATATATAGGTCATAAAATAAACATAAATTTTATTCTTACTCAAGGTTTTGGTGATTACATGGATGGAATTTGTTCCTCATTAATTTTTTTTCTATGATAATGTGTGTTGCTGGTAAATCTGCAGGATGCACAAGCCTATACCTTTCTGCTCAATGTTCTCGCACCTGAACACTGTGACCCGGGTACACTAGATGCAAAGGATCCTCTTGAAAGGGCTGAACTGGTTCTCAGTCATGCAGAGAGAATGAACTGCAAGCGATACTTGACTGCAGAAGAGATCGTTGAAGGATCTCCAACTCTGAATCTTGCATTTGTGGCACAAATTTTCCATGAAAGGTTTATATTGTGATACACTTTCATCTCTCAAAAGTTTCATAGATGTAGGCTTGTCCTTTAGATTAGGCTGGTGATGGTTTACTCAACGAACATCCCTTGTTTGTAAGTCATCGTGGACTAACAAACTTTTGAATGTTATGGTAAAAAGAATGGGGAGGATGGTGTTCATACAGTGGTATAATCAATGAATCAAAAGCTTCTTACCTGAAATCCTTTACCTGGAGATTGTTTCACTTAAGATTTTAATTGTTTAGTTGCCTATGCACTCGATTTTACTCTAGCTGTCTTTACCTATTGCAGGAACGGCCTAAACACGGATGGTAAGTATTCATTTGCAGAGATGATGACCGAAGATGTACAGACTTCTAGAGATGAACGATGCTACCGGCTATGGATCAACAGCCTCGGGATTGACAGTTATGTCAATAATGTATTTGAAGATGTTAGAAATGGGTAAACTTTTTTTTTTTAGCTTAGCAAGGGCAATTAGTAGAACTAGAAAATATACCTGCAGTTGATGATGTTGCATTTGGAAAATACTGAAAACACTCTGTTAACCTGAAGCCTTTTATCCGTTCTATTTGCTAATTTATGCAGATGGATTCTTCTGGAGGTTCTTGACAAGATCTCTCCCGGTTCTGTCAACTGGAAGCATGCTTCCAAACCGCCGATTAAGATGCTGTTTAGAAAAGTAGAGAACTGCAATCAGGTCGTAAAGATCGGGAAACAGATGAAATTCTCACTTGTAAATGTAGCTGGAAATGACATAGTTCAAGGGAATACGAAACTTATTCTTGGTAACCAATACCCGAGAGCTCATGTTTCATTTCTTTTAGCTTGATGCAAGAGATGATTGCCTTACAAACTGGAGATATGGTTTGTCTATCTCAGGTCTCTTATGGCAGTTGATGAGATTCCATATGCTCCAACTTCTTAAGAGTCTCAGATCTCGGACACGAGGTAAAGAGATGACTGATGCAGATATCCTCAGCTGGGCCAACAGGAAAGTAAGAACCATGGGGCGAAAATCGCACATCGAGAGTTTCAAGGTTCATTTCTTTACGCTGACTTCAAACACTTACCATTATATGTCCACCCATCACTTTTTAGTGAATCAAATTAAAACTTCTCCAGGACAAGAGTCTATCAAGTGGGTTATTCTTCCTTGACCTTCTATGGGCAGTCGAGCCAAGAGTTGTAAACTGGAATCTTGTCACCAAGGGTGAAACAGGTCCAGGATGCTTTTTACTAGAGCCTAGTCACTTTCTCTGTTTACCCAAATCAAGCTTATTAGATGTTTATGATTGTTGAAACATACAGATGATGAGAAGAGGTTGAATGCTACATACATAGTTAGCGTCGCAAGAAAGCTCGGTTGTTCAGTTTTCTTGTTGCCTGAAGATATCCTGGAGGTGAAACCAAGATCTATAGTGTGTTATATCTTGTACATTTTACCCAAACGAGCAATTGCTTAGATGAGATGTGTTTTGGGATGCTGTTGTGTGACAGGTGAATCAGAAGATGATCCTAATATTGACGGCAAGTATAATGTACTGGAGTCTTCAGAGACGTTCACCGGAGAGTTCAGATTCTTCCTCAACTCAGAGCACTACCACGACGTGCACCAGCACAGGGGAGTCCCCTGCTCCATCTGTCACTGAAGAGGAAGAAGTTTCCTCATTGAGGGGCGAAGTATCGAGCTTGGCCGTTAATGATAACGATGCAGATGCGGTTTCAGACATCACCACTGTCTCAGAGGAGACAGCCATCGAATAGATAGAGCGAGATATATATGAATCTTTTGCTAGAGCAGAATAGGTTTTGTAATAGTGACTTCTCTGTAATCTGTTATTTGTGGATTTTTGTATATGCTCCCTTTACAAATAAAATAAAACATTTTGACCCTCCAAAAAAGTCGATTAGTAGTATTTCGGAAATAAGTCGGTTAGAGGTTAACAAACCGCGCGGGTTGATACGACATCGTCTTGCGTTAAACCGCTTAGAGATCAAAACACTCTCGATGAGAAAGAGGCTCTCCATGCCTTAGGCTCTCAGCGTTCCTCGCATCGGAAGCCAAGGAGAGAGCAGCAAAACTTACAGGAGAGAGATAAGGAGAATAGTTTTCATCGTTTCTTGAGTAAGGTTTGAAATATTCAAACCCATTTTGATTTTTGATTCTGCAAAAGTTTTCATCATTGTGGTGTTTTAACACAAAAGAGGGGTTTTTCATTCACGTATGAATTCTGGGATTTTCTATTTCCATTGCACACACTATTATCAAATTTCCGTGTCTGCTGTAGTAATTATTTCATGAAAAAGTCTCTGTATAGCCCTGTTTTTTTTTTATTGAGATCATGTGCATATATAGAAGACGTAGGAGAGTCTCTTGTAGAATTAGAATCTACCTTGATGCGTACGTTTGTGTACTGTAAAGATACATTAGTGATTTATGAGCACTATGATGACAAAAACTGTTTCCTTTGGCCCCTGCTGGCTATAAAAATGTTTAATTTAACAGCTCTTTAGTAGTTAGTCGTCTCAATAGTCAAAACTTTTGCTTTATTTAGAAGTTGTACACTTACTATTTTTGTCTGTTTTGGATTTTTCCTTCTTTTGCATCTTGATCAGAAGTTAAGTTTGGTCGGAGTACTTGCTAACATGAACTCATCGGGTATGGCTACTGAGGCTCGGCATGATGAGTATAAAGATAATGATGATGATGATGATAAGCCTATAGTGTTCAAGAGAAGTGATCATAATGGAGATTCTGAGGATGCAAGACCTTTAAGCTCAATAATTTTCAGGAATTCCCCTTTGAATAGGCGGCCAAGTCAATATGAGTCAGATGATGAAGATGACGCTCCAATATCTTCAAGGTTTCAAAAGAAGAATGGTAAACAAGACTCTACTAATAAAAATAATAGTTCAACACTTGAGAATGCAGGGGTGCCCAACAAAGTATGTGGCAAGAGGCTTCTGGATAAGGGCAGTTCTGCAGATCAATCTTCCATGAAGAAGCTCAAGGTATCATCTTCATCTACGTCAGTTTCTGGCATACAAAGTGATCATAAGAGGAAGGTTGTGGTATCATCACCTAAAACATTACCTTTCAAAGAAGATGAAACTGACGATGACGATGATGTTCCAATTTCCAAGAGAATCAAGTCAGATTTCTCCAATAGTAAGAAACCAACCGCAAAAACTAAATTAGGAAAACAGAGTTGTACGTCATCAGCTACGAAGTCCAAAGTGAAAAGATCAGTAGTTTCTCCTCCGTCCAAGACAAGGAGCAAAAAGTCTAAGAAAGTGATCAAGGACTCTAAGTTTGCCAAGTCTTCAAAATCTTTACCTTCTGGTGATGGGAAAAAGAAATGGACTACCTTGGTACATAATGGTGTTACTTTTCCACCTCCATATGAACCTCATGGGGTGAAGATTTTATATAAGGGGAAGCCAGTCGACTTATCTCCTGAGCAAGAAGAGGTCACCCCGTCCTTTCTTATGTCATTCTTAATTAAGTATATCTTCCAAAGGAGTAGCTTCATTTATACATGCTGATGATCTGATTCTTGTTTACTGGTAGGTTGCAACGATGTTTGCTGTGATGAGGGAGACAAACTATTATAGTAAACCTCGATTTAGGGAGAACTTCTGGATTGATTGGCGAAAACTACTTGGCGAGAACAATGTGATACAGAAGCTGGATGATTGTGACTTTACCCCCATATATGATTGGCATTTGGAAGAGAAGAAGGTAATCTCAAAGACTACTTAGATTATGTGGTTTTCTCATGACTAAGGTCCCAAATCATATTGCTTTAGGATAGTTTTCTTTGCAAGGGTGATTATTCTAGTTGAATGTGTCTTGTTGATTGGATGAATTCAGTTACAACTTTATAGGATAATGATGGGCTGGTGAAAAAAGCTTCAAAAGAGAAAAAGTTGAAGGAGGAGAAGTATATGTGGGCTATAGTGGGCGGTGTCAAAGAGAAGGTAAGCTTTACCATAGTTTGTAAATGCTCTGTGTTTTTTTTGGTTTTGTTTTGGGATTAGGCTTAGTTACTGTGATGGTTGTTCTTCTCTTTCAGGTTGGAAGTTTCAATGTTGAACCTCCTGGGCTATTCTGTGGTCGTGGAGAACATCCCAAGGTTGCTACAGTTTTGTTTTTCTACATGCATTCATCAACAAGTTGCATTTTAGGTTTGGTGCGTGTTTTGGTTTCATAAACTAGTCTATGGCCTGATCTTGCAGATTGGAAAACTGAAAAAACGTATCCATCCTTGTGACGTTACTCTAAATCTTGGGAAAGATGCTCCTATCCCTGAATGTCCCATCCCTGGTGAAAGGTCATCTTCTTCCATGGTATTTTGGGAAATATAGTAAGTGAAAAATGTTGTCGTCTCGTACTAACAATGATTAGATGCTACTTAATTTGCAGATGGAAAGGAGTAAAGCATTATAACACAGTCACCTGGCTAGCTTTTTGGACTGATCCTATAAACCCACCAGGTATCAAGTATATTTCTCTGTCACCTAGCAGTTCTCAGAAAGGCCAAAGTGACAAGAATAAGTACGAGAAAGCTAGGAACCTTAAGGTAATAGTTGAGCTTTCGTTTTAATATGGAAGGTTGTAGTTAGCTAGTTTATCACACTTTTCTTTCTTAATTAGGTACTTGTTTTGAGTTCAGGACCACATAGACAGTATAAGAGCATCGTACACCACAAATTTTACTGCTGAGGATGTTTCAAAGCGACAGATAGCAGTGGCTATCTATCTCATTGATAAACTGGCACTTAGAGCTGGTAATGAGAAGGTAATACATAACTTCTTTTTGTTTCTTTGCTAAGTGAATGATTACGAGTCTTGAGAAAGAAGTTCTCATTGTTCTTTTGTTTTCTGAGTAGGGTGATGATGAGGCAGACACTGTTGGTTGTTGTACGTTAAAAGTAGAAAATGTGGAGTGTGTTCCTCCGAATAAGTTAGAGGTATCAATCTTCTTCTCTTGACCTTGACAGACTTGTTAGTCACACAAACTTTTTGGTCTTTTTCCAAATGTGTATGTAGTTCGACTTCCTTGGTAAAGATTCAATCCAATATATGAATACGGTGGAGGTTGAACCTTCTGTTTACAAAGCCATTGGGCAGTTCAGGGCTGGTGCGTTATGGACACTTGACTTTGTATGTGTTAAACAGTTAATTTTATTATCTCATGGTTTAACCGAGTATACTTGGTTAAAATTATTAATCATCCAGGTAAAGCCAATTCAGACGATCTTTTTGATGAGTTAAACACAAACAAGGTGAATGCCTATCTTAAGAAGCTTATGCCTGGCCTCACCGCTACAGTTTTCCGTACATATAATGCATCCATCACGCTGGACGTAATGGTATGATTAGAAACCTTGTTTACTTCCAAAACAGATGGTCATACAAAAAATATTTCGCTCTATACAAGTATTCGTACCATGAACATATATGTGATCTATATAGTATCTGTAATGATAAAGTAATATAACCGTAGTCTTGTGTTACAATTTTTCACGGCTCTGTTCTGTTTGGATGGTGTGACAGTTGAGGCAAGAGACCAGAGACGGAGATGTTAACCAGAAAGTAGTAGTTTATCAGCAAGCAAACAAGGAGGTAGCCATAATATGTAATCACCAGCGTACTGTTTCAAAGTCTCACGGTGCACAAATCGAGAGATTGGCTGGAAAAATCAAAGAGCTTAAGGTAAAAAACTGCGTATATAAGATAACCAACATAATGATGAAACTTAAGAAAGGTTCATCATCTAATCTTGACATACATGTAGGAGGGTCTAAAAGAACTTAGAACCAATCTGGAGAGAGCTAAAAAGGGAAAAGCTCCATTGGAAGGCTCTGATGGGAAGAAAACGAAGAACATAACTCCAGAAACGTAAAACATAAAATAAACCTTCCTCCACTTACTACAAAAAGACTGTCTCTAAAACACTTACCAGATACTAGAAGACAAAGACTGTCTCTTAAACTGTGGTTTTGTGATGTTATTAAATGCAAGCAGGTTGGAGAAGAAGATAGCTCAGAAGATGATGAAGATAGAGAAGATGGAACGAGACATGCAGACAAAGGAGGAATTGAAAACGGTGGCGCTGGGGACGTCTAAGATCAACTACCTGGATCCTAGGATCACGGTATCGTGGTGCAAACGCCATGAAGTACCCATTCAAAAGGTAAAAATTGATCTAATTAACAAGAAATTAAGAGAGAGAGAGTCCACTTTCTATATAATGGCTGGTTCATTAATGTAGATATTCAACAAGTCTCTTGTGGAGAAATTTGCGTGGGCGATGGACGTAGAACCTGACTTCACATTCTAATCTGCAGTAGCAGCAACTGATGAGTTTCTCATACAGAGCAACCAGGCTACACCACTAAACGTATTACAAAAAATTGAAATTTAATATATAAGCTGTTCCTCATTAGATTTATTTATATCAGTTCTGCTACAATTTTTTTTTTAAAAATAAATCGTAGAAAAACAAAAGTTGAATTTATTATTTATGTTATATAAAAAGTAGATGTTATCTCGATTGTGTATTTTACTAAAATAAAATCACTTTTTTACTACTTTTTATAAATATATATATATATATATATATATATATATATATCATCCTATTATATACGAATGCTTAAAGAATGAGAAAACATAATACAATTTTGTTATACTAAATATCAATTATCAACCCATAACTCAAATCATGAAATGTGAAAATAGGTTATTATTATAATTTAATTTATTTATTTTGCATTCATCAAACAAATGTGAAAAGAGGTTCACACATGTAAAAATACGCAAAAATGTAAAAATTGGCGTCAGAAAAAATAAATGGAGGTTTTTAAGTTTAAAGAGAAACGACAGGTGTCCCTTGTCACTGATATCGTCGGAAAGCCAAGATTGCCCCCAAGACAAAATTTGGGGATTGAGAGACACAGCAGAAGAGATCACTGCGTACGAATACGATTTGATCTTCTCTTCCTCGAGGACCTTCATTCCAATCTGTGAGATCTCTGCACACCTTCCCTTCAATCGGATTCTCCTCGATCGCTATTTGATTTTGTGATTCTCGTCGCAGGCAGGCAAGATTATCTCTCATGGCTTTTCTTGTGACATCTCTTATATTCGCTGTCGTCGGCATCATTGCTTCAATCTGCACTAGAATCTGTTTCAACAAAGGTCCCTCCACCAATCTGTATGTTTTTCTTTCCCCCCAATTCTTAACTAATCATTTCCCGTCGTTATCTGTTTAGTTCATCATTTGCTCAGTTTGCTAGCTTCTCCAGTATCTCAATTGAGTAGCTCCATTTTTCACATTTTGCGCTTTAGACTCGATCATTGGTACACGAGAATTGTATTCTTCTCTTTGACTTTTGCGGATTCTCTTCATTTTTTTCTGAATGTGTTCCTTCATAGGATAGTTTCTTCAATATGAACTACTTAATAGAGTCACGACTCTAATCAACTCTTGTGCTGGAATAAAAGCTGGTTTATAATTGTCTGCCTTGGTTGTTTCATCTGTGTAAACACTTCCCTACGTTTTTGCTTGGAGATATATTTCTTCGTTAGGGCAAATATTAAATCTTTGTTTCTGTTTTCATGAAACAGGCTACATCTTACTTTGGTCATCACTGCCACTGTCTGCTGTTGGATGATGTAAGTTTATGACTTTTGTAATCACTGCCACTGGTTTGCATTTCGTGTCATGGTTCATCCTCTGTTTTGTTATCCGGCCTCTCATTTTTGTCAGATTCTCTCTTGTTTGATATTGTTTCTTCGCCTTGATCAAGAGATAGATCCTTCTACGCTTTACTACTTGCTGTTGTTTTGTGGATAAAACAATGTTATATCTCGACAGTTCTAGGTGGACGTCAGTCATTTAGTTGTTCAACTTATCTGAAGTCAGTGAATTAGCTTTCATGTTTTGAGAAAGTTCCACAACTTGAACATTATTGGTCTTCTACTGTCTATTGTGCAAGTGTCCTTATTGTTATTGATTCATTCTCTTATATCACTGCATCGTTTTTGTTTCTTCGCATTGGTAGGTGGGCAATTGTTTACATTGCGCAGATGAACCCTCTTATTGTCCCTATCCTAAGCGAGGTAGAGTAGAAAACAATCTACTCAAACAAGGAACCTGTGTTCACAAACTAGGGAGCCAATGCACAAATTTGAGTTAGAGCCCTGCTGCTCTTTCTGTATCTTCTTCAAACATATTTTTTTCCCCCCTTTGTAATTCTTATCGCAGTATGGAGCAACAAAACTTTTCCTTTACTGTTAAATCTTTCGTCTCTCATTCCAATTCTTGAACAGTCTTCATATACTCAAAAGACTTCATTTATTGTTGATGAAATAAATATTCGGAAAAATATTTGCTATTTCCTATCTTCATCTCCTACCAAGGAATTTTGTGATTTTCTTATTGTTCTTGGCAAGTTCCTCTTCCTATCAAACGCCAATAATCCAAGCCTCAACCAATTTGTACTCTGGCATGGCTGTCATATTCTCCTAAAGTTTCCCTGTGGAATTCTGTTGAAATAATTGTGAGCTCCAAAACTGTTTGAGGTCTTTATATATCTCCTAAGAAAGTACAAACTTGAATCAGGACAAAATCACTCTCTTAACTACCATTACACAAAAACACTCTTTGGCCTACAATTACACCAAAACCAGAAACAACAATCTATCCTTTTTAGACAAACCCAGTTCGACCAATCCTTGTGGCTTAAGTTGAACTCGCCTGAAACAATTGTAGTGTATATTTCTTCTGCACTGCCACCTAAACACTCAGCGAATTGTAATTCTCTTTCCTCTTCAACGGTGTCGGATCGAAGCTAGTTCTACTTTGGGGATAGGGTTTTTAAAGTTTTGCCCTTCAGAGGAAGTAATCAGGGGCAGGTTTTTTGGCAGGTGGCCCTCTTGAGTCCTGCAGTTAGATATGTCAGTCTACTGATCTACTCAACGGGAATCAGAAGCGGGGAGTAAAATATTTTACTAAAAGGGTTATACCTGCTGGGCTGCATCGAACACACGGAATTCTTTATTCAGATTCTCATCGAGCTCTAGAATCGAAGCCACATTACCACATCTGGAGCATAATTGAAATAGGAGTAAATGCAAAAATCAAGCAAAAAGGAAAGAAGATACATAGACTGAAACAAACGGCTCTGAGAATTTTATTTACCTGTAACAGTAATTTGGGGCTGACCACACTGTCACAATTTGGCTATCGAACATCCATTTGTAACCCTCCATAACGAGTTGATGCGCACGGGCTATGTAGTCTATGTTGTTTGACTGGTTAAAAGCCGTGACAACACTGCCACCAAAAAGGAATCCAGCACCACGAGGACTCAATCCCCAGCCATCAACAATATCCTCAGGATCAGACCATAGGAGGTCACACATGGCACCATCATGTGGTACTTCTTGCTTCCGGTCAATTGTCCTGATCTGCCATAAATGTATGGGTTCGTCAGTTAACTCATACTAGGTGGAAAGTTCTAACTATATCAGTAGAGGAAACTCTTATTTAACCTGATCAAGAGTCATAATAGCTGGAGAGAGACCACCATGAACACAGAATATCTTGTTCTCAACAACAGCTGAAAGACTTTTGTACATAAAAAGACAGATTAAGGAATCTTTCATTTGAAAGAGAACCAAAAAACTTAGCACAAATAAAGTGGAATGCTGCTGTGCGTACCTCATGTAGTCAAAGATGTCAGTGCAGTATCTCCAGACATTGACAGAGCCGTATTTACGCAGACACTCATCATAAAATCCATAAACCTACTAAAAGCAGACTCTGTGAATAGAGTGAATATATAGACATAAAACTGAAAACTTTAATGAGACTGCACTCACCTGTGTGATTTGCCTACTTTCGTGGTTTCCTCTGATAAGAGTTATGCGGTCTGGATATCTAACCTAAGAATATCAAAGCGACCCACTTAAGTGATTCTAAAAACCATTTAGCAGAATTACATAAACCACAGGTCCACAAAAAAAGTAAAAGATAGTCCCGAGAATTACCTTGAGTGCGAGTAGAAGTAGAAATGTCTCAACTGAATAATATCCACGATCAACAAAATCTCCCATAAACAAATAGTTGGTCTTGGGGCAATCACCCCCAACTTTGAAAAGCTCCATCATGTCATAGAACTGCCCATGGATGTCACCACATAACTATTCCAAGACAAAATTCCAAGGATTAGCATTTCTTGCAAATAGTAAGCACATCAATGGTAGCTACTCTCACTTCTCAACGCTATGACTTCACTGCCCTTCAAATATTTTGACTTGTAATAATAGGAAAAACATAAATACAAGTCGTTCACTGGATCCTACGAATGACTACCATTTGACACAACATTACGAACCAAAATTTCAAAGACACGAAATCACCGCGCCCAATTTCTTCAGGTTTCTTAATTACAAGCTCGTAATTACTACTTTAAAGATAAAAGAATATCAATTCTTTCTACTTTGGAGATAAATTCTGAATCCCAGATCGAGTAGCAAGAACTTACAGTGACAGGGGCATCAACTCTTTGAACATTACTCTCTTCAACGAGGATTTCCATGGCTTTGAGGCAAAGGGCCTTCACCTCCGATTCGCTCAATGGTTCGCAGCGCTTCAGCTGCTCTATCTGCCGATCTAGGTCCGACATTTCTAACCTTTCCTCTTCTTCCCTCTTCTAATTCCTCTTCGGCCACCGGAAACGATCCTTGAATCTTATGAATCAGAAGAAATCAGCCAAACCCTCTCCACTGAAAATTCACTACTCTCGAAATGTTGTTCGTTCGTCGTCTTCTTCCCCAGGAGAGAGAGGTCTTTGCTCCTCTCCGCAGGAGTGCTTTTCCCAAACCCAGATTTCTTTTTCCCTCCTTATGTTTTAGATTCTAATTAAAACCACCCCACTTCTTTTCTGAAATTGTACATTCGCCCTCAATGTTTTAAAAACACTCTAAACCAACCCCTCTAATTTGTAAGCACACACATATAAATACAGTACAAGAGACCCAGAAGAAGATGGGCCGAGTTGGGCTTATTCACATTTAATGTTATCTCCACGCGCGTAATCACATCAGTTGAGAGATAACGGCGAAGTCTAATTCGATCGGAGCTGGAGTTGATGCTCGGCGACGATGGAGAAAAACGTCGAGAAGATGCTGAACAAAGTATCAGTCGTGTTCTTAAGCATCGGAACAGTGATAATGGTGATTATGATTCTCCAGACGCCGAAAACTTGTATTTCACCAGAAGCTCCGTCGAAACCTCATACGCATTTCCCGAGATCCACCTGCGATTCATCGCCGCGCCAGCATCTTCCTCTTGCCAAGAAGAACGCTCGAGTCTGGTCATCGAAAGCTTGGAAATCACGTCTCTCTTCCTTCTCTGATTACTTCCTTCGATTTCGCGATCTCGGATTTCTTCAAAATCACACCAAAGCTCTCTGTCTCTCCGCCGGCGCAGGGCACGCTCCGATGGCTCTTTCTCAGATCGGATTAGCTGATGTAACGGGCATTGAGTTGGTCGATTCGATTCCTCTTGTGAAAAGAGCTGATCCTCATAACCTTCCCTTTTTCGACGGTGTTTTCGATTTTGCATTCACCGCACATCTCGCTGAAGCTCTGTTTCCGTGGCGGTTCGTGGAGGAGATGGAGAGGACGGTGCGACACGGCGGGTTTTGTGTGGTTGCGGTTGATGAATGTGGCGGAGACGATGTTAGAGATATTTCTAAGTTTTTCACTAAATCGAAGGTTGTTGATGTTGCTAATGTAACTCTAGAAGGATCCAAAAGGACTAGTATACTATTCAAAGTTCAAGACTCTCCTACATAAGAGGTGTTTTATCTTGTCTTGTTCTCTTATGCCTGCCATGAACCTTAGGTCCTTTACTGGAATTTCTGAAACTGCTTCAATGTTCTCAGAGTGGAGCTAATATTCTCAAGTCTTATGTGAATTTGAGTTAATGTATTAATGACTAGCTTAATGATGTGTGTATTTGTGCAGGAGATTCAATAAATATGTGGTTTTATTTGTTCAAAAAGACCATTTTTGCTTTGAATGCTATAGAGCAACACAGTTGACTGAAGCTGCAATGTTTATTGCGAATTCGAGATAAATAAATCTCTTCGAAGTTGGCTTCTGATCTAAAAAATTCTTAGGAATCTTGGAGCTTTGGAAACAAGTAACAACTTTTGAAGAGTTTGGTGGGTGGGGTAACATGCATCTGTGTCGGAGGCTGAGGTTCTTGCTTCAATCTCTTTAGAGGTCAAATGTACTATTGGAGCTAAGCAACATATCATCGACTCGATTGGTCATTTTGTATTCAGGAAAATAATTAGTTCTGATCGGTGAATATCATGTACAAACAGATTTTTTTATTTTTTTTTCTTTTAGGACTCCTAAAGATTATGTGCATATATATTTTATTACAGTTTTAATTGTATATATTGCATTGAAATTGAAAAAGGTTGGTACAAACAGAGACTAACGCAACAAAACACCCAAGCTTTTCTATATAAGCTGCTGCAACGTGTACTTTACCATACAGATTTGGAAAAAGCAAAACAAACATAGATCTCTTAGACGATAGTCCATACTACTACCCGAAACTTCATTCACTGTAAAGGGACAAGCTTAACATGGATCGATTATTAGCCTATAAAGAGGCTCGATCGATCACTTAACATTAAGGATACCTTTAGTAGTAGGCTGTCTTGTCTTCACTGATACCAGCGTAGATCTTAGCGCAGTACTCGAACAAGCTGCCGTCGAAACACCTCCTAATTGCTTCTTTTGACAAAAACCCTTCTTCATCCCTCGCTAGCAAGTACAACAGTCCCCACTCCACTTTGCCGGCGATCCTAATACATAAAACATATGTAGGTAGACTCAAGCATTAGAATTACAGCAACACTAATACTTTTGTTTAGCACATTCATTCAATGAACTAATGCAGCAATGTACCATCCGAAAATGTCCCAAGCGTCACGATTTCCTTCTGTCATCTCCCATAGTTCTCCAAGACTCAACTTATCTGGCAAGGTTTTCGCATATTTGCTAAATATCAGCTCAAGATTCACCGGCATAAACCTGAAAGAGAATACCACATGCATCAATCATCATGTCTTTCTCTATCAATTAACCGATATTTCAAAATAACAGTCACTCACCTCCCTTCATTGTCATATGTTTGCGAGTCACTTCCATGCTTGGACTTGTGTATGTTGTGTATGTATATGGGGAAGAAAGGTGAAGGTAACCACCCCTGCATGAGCAAGACAAACACTTGACAAAATGAACATTGATCTAAAGTACAATATTCATTAAAAATATATGTGATATGTCAGATGAGGATGAGAGGTGTTACCGGAAGAGTAGCATAGCTAAGGGCCAAGTTGATAACAGCAGCTATTATAAGCGACCCAATGATATTGAAACCAAGCATTCGTAGTCCTAAGCACATGTTGAATCAACTTTTCATGTACTAGAAGATAAGATTGAAAGATCTATTATAACCTATACGTATAGACATATATACCAGAGTAGGTCTCCCAAGGGTAGATGATGCCATTATCATCGATATCAAAGAAGGCGACATGTTGCTGTAGAACACTAAGTCCGTAATTCTTATGGCCTGGGGTTCCGTACGGATGCTCTCTGTCTGGTGCTTGCAACGCTCTTGGCATATCTACGCATATCATATATATATACACATAAATACATTTACTTATGTACACACATTACCATCATATAAGTATCATTTTGCAGCATACAGCTGTCTATCTTTAAGATCATCAACATCAAATACATGCATATATAGACACACACATGAATTGCATTCAAAAGTTTTGAGGTTTGGTAAGTCCAAAACGGTTTCTTTAGTTCAACCAAATATATACATACGAATTGACAAGAAATTAGGATAGAAGTGGAAGTAAAGAAAAAAAAGGTGTTACAAGGTTTAGGAAGTCTATCATCCAAGTCAACACGAGCACGGCGATGGTAAGTGACCGGGGCGTAAGGAGCCACCGTAGCCATTGCGTCTCTCTCCATCATCTCACTCTTCGTACCCATCTCTCTCTCTCTCTAGACTGAGTGCAATGTATGTGTGTGTTTTAGAGTGAAGAGTAATGAGGTGGTCATAATAAGAACTTGTTTGATACTGATTGATGTGCGTGGCGGACATGCACGCGCCGACGAAAGCAGTGATTGACATCTCTTTTCTTGTCTTTGACGCACCTCTCTCCTCTCTTCCTCTGTCTTACACTTGACATGATTCTGAAGACACGTTTGCTTCCATGTTTCATCACTGTTTATTATTTTCTTGTCTGCCCGCTAAATCAGTAATCTCAACGCACACAATGTATCGGGCCTCTTGTGCGCTTTTTGTAAAGGCCCAACTTCGAGTACTAAGAGCAACTCCAACGAAGAGAACCCATCATTGGTTCTCACAAATTTTTTAATTATAATTTTTGTATGTTAACCTCTTTCAATTTTTTTAAAAGTTTGTTCCTCCAACAATAGAATTCTCTGGTTGGGTGTGTGTTTTTTTTAAATGGTGTCCCTCCTAGTTGAAGTGTGAGCCATGTCCTCAATTCCATTGTTTACTCCTTGGGTTCGGAGAAATCCAGCTACAAAAACAGTGTCGTGGTCGAGCTGGAGCATCTCGCCACGAAGATCTTGAGTCCGGCTTGGTTTGATTCATGGCCATCCATGGCTTCTGTCGATTTGAGACCAAATTCTCTCCCGATTTGGAGAAATTGTATGTGAGAGAGAGATTAAAAGAGAAAGAAGTGTTTGTTCTGCAAAAGAAAAAAAAATCAAAGAGAAGAGAGAGAACTCGAGAGTGTTTTTTTTTTCTTTCATCATTTTATTTCTACCAATGAGAAACGAACACATCACACACTATCTCAGGTTCTCTAACCTCTCACCAGAGAACCGGTTCTGTCTTAAATAATGATTTTTGATTTAATTTTATGCATTTAAATCCAGAGAACTCCACAACAGAATCTCCGATGGAGATAGTCTAACACCACCCCCTACTTTAGTGCGTGTTCTATACTCGCTCTCTATGAAGAGAGACCAAAAGAAAAGATTTCGAGCACTGGTCTTTGGACTATCTATATACACGAAGTTTCAGGAAAATTTTCATAATGTATTAAGAAACCTTCACACAATATCTTTTGTACACGAAGTCTGAGCATGAAAAGTTAATACGTAAACCCATGATGTGACTGTGAAAAGTTAATAACCAAAGACACGCACACACATCAACCCAAGTTTCATAGATTAGATATAATACTCAATGACCGGCTGATGGATTTGTTAGCAACTCCAGTGACTTCTTCAGATGTTCTACAGCAGTCGAGACTTCATCGAAAGCCAAAGCTCCCACAGCGAATCTAGCAGCCTTGTGTGCCTCTGCAATCTTCTCAGGCCCTGGCTGGTAGCTGCTGTCATAATGGTACTTCTGAGCTGGACTTGGTGCAGGATTTAGAACCGGAGCACTATTGATACCCCCATTTGAAGAGTAAGGCGGAGGAGGAGGAGCAGAGGAGAAGCTTGTGGAAGAAGGAGCAGGTGCGGAATGCGGGGAAGAATAGTACTGTTCTGGGTTTTGGTAGTGAGAGGGGTAGTGCGGAGGAGTGGCTGGGAGGCTGCTTTCACTAAAACTAGGATATGACTGGAAATTAGGGAGAGAATTTGGAGAAGTCTCATGAGATGGGTAGTTTTGTGGTGGCGGCATGTGCTGGGGAGGGTCTTGGTGATATGGTTGATGGTTGAAAGGATGCGGGTAAGGGGAGTCTGATGGTCCAGTGGAAGGAGGGCGGAGATCGTTGGAAGGGTAAGAAGACGGTGGTGGAGGCGGCACATCTGTGGGGTAATCGTTGTTAGGAGTGTCATGAAACCTGGGAGGTAGAGGGTGTTGTGGTACTTCAGGGAAGTGATGATGGCTAGAGTCATCATTTGAGTCATGGTACGGATCAGGCTCTGTTTTATGATGACTTGTTATGTTGGTAGCACTGGCATCGAGATCCTGTAGATAATTAACATAGACATAAGCTAAATTAATTAACTTGATGCAGTGTTTATATCTTACAAGTTGTCGAAGAAAATTATGTTTTATCATAGTGTTACGACAGTTGATAAAGCAAGGACCTAGAAGTAGACAGGTGGGTGCAGATATGTGGGTCTCTAGCTAGATGAGATGATCAGTGAGATGCAAGTTCCATAAACATTTGCGTGCGCACCACATGCTTTGATTATATCAGACAGAATACACGGTAGGCCAATATCTAGATATTCCCAAACCATAAACTGAGAAACTTACATAGGAGCCACTAGGACCACTTGATGGGATGGATTCTTCACTGTCATTGTCAACAGGGTCACCTGGAGTGGGCTTCCTTCCTTCTTTAATGGCTTTCCTTATGTCAGCAGCCTTCCAAATAGCATACTTTTGTTTCTGTTCTATCTGTCAATGGGAACCATTACATATAAGTACATCAATCACCTAACACAGCTGCCTCTTAACTTAAGGTGCGAGGTGTTGATTTGAAATGTTAACTGTAAAGTAACTGAAAAAGTAGGAACTCACGTCAGGAGGTACCGGGCCAAACTGACTCAGAATTTCAAAGAAGATGCTTGCAGCATAAAAGGTTTTGGCTGTGCCCCTGTCACAAAAACAACAAGAGTTAAATTTAGAAAATCCATCACAAGCTTCTGTAAAGGTTACTGAATGTGGATGTTAACAACTACTAAAATAAGGGGTAGTAATTGAACTAATATCAGTATCAACTCATAATTAACAACACGTCAAGGCTGGAGATACAGGTAATTTGGAAAAGCAGAACGGCTGGAAGATAACAGGTCGTAATAAGCCTTGGAAGCATCCAGCTAATTACTTGACCGGTGATCTTACGTTCTATATATATTTGATTTCAATAAACAGATATATTACTATGACGTGAAAGTCACCATCAAATGATGTAAGAGGAAGGTACCACCTAACGATATGTCAAGGTATCACCTAACGATATGTCAAGGTATCACCTAACGATATGTCTGCCGGATTTGCATACTTATTAGTTATGTATGTACTTATAAGCAATTTCCAGTATTGGCAAATACACTAATACTAGACATAGAATGAATCTACGGAAACAGGATATTTCGACTCATTGAAATAGTGTTGAAGGTGGCCCTAACATTAGTAGAAACTTACCATGGTCACATGCCATTCAATATGATAATGAAAACATAAGACAGCCAAAAACTTACAAGTCAGCTCTTCCTGCACGATCCTGCTTGTCGGCCTTTGCAAAGACATTTAGTGCAAACCCCTCCACATGCATATTGTCATCTGGGGACAGATTCAATGATTTCTTATCCTGAATCATCACCACAAAAAAAAAAAATGAAACTAGTCAAGAAATTGACTCATTAAATCTGTCACAATATGATCATAGACGCTACATTATATGAAAAGGTGGATTATCATTGGAGGCGATAAATCCAAGACTGAACTATTTCACCATCACATACAGAAAAAGAAAACCTAGTATAGAACATAAAAATTGGCCAGAAAAATAGGGAGAGCAACAAATTACAAAACCCCACCATAAGCCTGAGTACCATGTATAAGTGTTCTTGCTTCACATGCGTTATCCCAATAACATGAACCAACCTAAGCTAAGTTTAGATTAAAGCCTCCGTAGCAAACAAAAACATAAATAAACTCTCCAGGCTTGTGACAACATATAATGATCAAAATGACTCAAATCACTAAAAACAATCCTTAACTCCTAAGATAGACAGATGAAATAAATCAGACAAACTCAAAACTAAGAACTGAAAGGTAATACCTTTTCCAGTTGATTAATGAGGGACATGAGAATCGAATTGGTGGTCTTAGTTCTCTCGCTCTGCGGAATCTTCAATCCTCGCTCCATGGCATATAGCCGGCCTAATCACCACACCAATAAATTGCGATTAGAAAAACAAGTCTAGTTAAAATATCAAAAAATACTTGAACAGCTAGATCATAATAATCATCGCAGAACTCGATCATCTGGGTTTTTATTCTAGGTTACATATGGATTAAGAGAAAACCACAACGCACAGTAGTAAGCGACAAGTGGTTCATGCTTCTGCAACTCGTCAGCTCGTTGCAAGTAAGGCAGAAGAGTCTTCGCTGGTTCGTTTGGGTTCGACATAGATTCTCTCTTCTCGAGCTTCGTAGCTTTTCTCCGATTGTTAAATGTCTTAATGAAGAAGACACTTGAATAAATTTTCCTAATTTTTATCAAGGAACGCGCTTCTGATTCGGACAAATTCTGATTCTGATTAACTAGAAACGACGTCGCAGGGCCTGTAAAGTCCTAAACCTTCTTGGAAAACAACCCTCGAAGTTTTCTAATATTCACATTTTTTCACAACCATTATTAATTTATTCAATTTACACCCAAACAATTTTGGTATTTTTCGATTTTGCCCACATATATAATCATAAAACTTAACTCGGATAGAATCCTGTATCTCCTTCACCAAGCTGGTCACTTCACATTAAGTCCATGCTACCCAAAGCTTAACTACGAAATTTCTGAAAATAACTGAGTCAATGAATACAGAGACATAGACATCTATGTAACATTCTACTCTCAACGTCTTGTCTTGTTTCTAACTGTCTGTTTCTTAGACATTAGTCACTCCCAATTAGCAACTAACAAAAGTGTCAGTAAGCATTCCAACTCTTTTTCTTTACTATTGTCACTGTGAAGCCATAACTGGGTCAGCACCAGAAACTGGACATGCCGCATCTTCTTTCGTGATGGCTACAAGGTTCGAAGGAGAAGCTATCTTGTTCAGACTGTCTCTCTTGGACTTGCTTCCGTTCTGGCTTGAGTTCATAGATAAACGCCTGATAGGAGTTTCGTTGAGACCTCCTCCGTTAGCTCGTGTTCCCACTGGTTTCTTGGCACTGATGGGTCTTGCAGGGCTTGGTTTAGAACCAAAGGCCGAGTCTTGATCTGTGTGTGGCTGTTCTTGCTGCTTTTTATGTTCCTGATGATAAAAAGGCAAGGTTAGTTTAAACGAAATTAGATTCAACAAGAAGATTTGTCACAGGATGCAAAAAAATAAATTACTTTCAGCCTCCGCTTCTCATCTTCTCGTTCTTGCCTCAGCATAGTGTATTCATCTAGCATGGCGAGCAGAGGAACGCCATCATACTCAAAAGACATACTGTTATCCTCTTCCCATGCCCGGGTTTTAGCAACCAATGTGTCAACCATTGCTTGCACAAACAACACATGATATATCCATCAGTCTCAGTTTAGTTTTATGTGTACAGATAAGGGCGAATTTCAGAAGTTACCGGTAATCTTGCTGACCAGAATCCGGGCTTTCTCAGCTCTCTTGAGATTCAAATGCGCACCTCGGCTTGCGCTATACCTGTTCTGATCCTGTTATTCAAGAACAAAATCATCACACAAAACCTTGTGTTCTTTAATAATGTATTCATTAACATTTCCGAATTTAACATACACGGTTGTAGTCCTCAAGCCAGCTCTCTTCCTCACAAGCCGACATCCATTTCTCAACTCGGTCCAATATTTCTTTTCTGCTAAACGCTTCTTCCTTGGCCTTTGCGATCTGGCTATCCATGTCAGCCAGTAGCTCAGAGGGTTCAGTATTTCCAGCATCAATCAACGACATGATCCTCTCACGAACAACCTCTGGTTTTATTTCGATATGAGCTCGAGCATATATCTCCTCAAGCTCGGTTTGCTTCTTGAATGCAATTTCTTTCATTCTGCTAGATTTCAGTTGGTCAAGCCTATCCACTTCCACCTCAGCCTTCAAGATTTCACAGGATTTGTTTAAAAAGAGTTACTTATCATATTCATTGACCGATACATTATGATTTTTTTAACAATACCTGCTCAATTAGATCAAGTGCTAGAGCACCAGAGACAGTCACTTCATGAACTGAAGCTGAAATGTTACATGTAACATGGTCAAAAAGCTCCCTTTCCTCATCAGGAGTATCCATCAGATTCCACAGATCAGTTAGCTGAGTAGCTAGCTCTTGAAGCTGCACATACCAAGATTCGTTATTGAAATCTATATACAAGAGTTTCAGAACTTTCGGCACAGCTTATCAGACTTAAAATTCATCCATCAGTTTGATATTCAAAAGTTACTAAAAGGGATTTCAACATATGTCCAGCCTAACTGACCATGCTCCTGCCAGAGATATTTTGACTACCTTTTTAAGTCTTTGCATCTTATCTTCCTTAAGTGTCAAGACAGTCTTAGCCAACCTGGCAAGTGTTTCATTGCTAATGCTCTTGGTTTGAGCATTATTTGCCTCATCTAAGCTCGGATGAACTTCAGTGACAGTGCTTAAGAAATCTAAACCAAGGACGGCACATAGGTCATGCACCGTGCTCACAAACTCGAGCACCTTCTGTAACCTATCACTCTGCCCAAACACAAAGCAGATTTAGTTCTGACCTGAAAGAAAATAGCCCACACATCACCATGTCCAAACTAAGAAATTTACCTTCTCCTTCTGGAGCTCTTGGAGTTTCCTCTTGAAGTCATCTAATCTCTTCAGAGACAAGTCAGACTCGTCAACCACATGCGGCCCATTATTCAAACCGCCGGCGATCTCTTCACATATCTTCTGAATTTGTGATTGTACATCAGAAAACGCCCGGACCCTTTCCTCTTTCTGTTGCCAAAGTTGTTCAAGAGCAGGTGCTATTGCAGAAAGTTGTTCTTTGATCGTCCCTGCACTCTTATCTGGCTGCAATAGAGACAAAGCCATTGAATCACCCTGTAATCACCTAATAATCTCATTCCACTTGTAGACGCGAGATTACTTACAATATCAATATAGCTTTTTTCCCCCAGAGAAGTAGTGAGATTGGAAAGCTCAACAGTGGCATCAGACAAGGTCTGAAGAAGCTCTGCACGAGATTTAGCAGCCTGCTCAACCTTCTTTTTGTAAACATTAAGACACTCTTCCTCAATCTGAAGAAGCAGTTTGTCTCGTTCCTCATCACTCTCACCAACTTCGTCCCAGATTTCCTATAAAGAAAAGTGTGTCCACTGAGTTTGTGGAACCATACTACAAAGGCTAAGATGTGTTGTGTGGGTGGGTTGCAAAAATTACCTGCAACTTCTGTAGTAAGGTGCCACAAGTGATTTCTCCAATAAGAGGATTTTCAGCTTCCGTGACTGCCATTCTTGTGAAATCAGAAGGTTTCCTGCAAAATAAGAGAAACACCGAACCATTTTGGTGAAGATCCTAAAAGAAACCAAAGTTATGGGAAACCCGATTGAAACAGAAACAGCATTTGAACCTCAGAACAAAACCCTTAAGCAAACGACCCAAAATGCAAGAATACTGAAGCTCTTTAACTAAAAAAAAAGTTGCAATCTTTAACGGAAACCTGATCCAACCAGAAACAGCATTTTGAACTCAGAAGTCAGAACAAAATCCATTACGGTAAGACCCAAAATGCAAGAACAGTGAAGCTCTTAAAGAAAGAAAGAAAAAAAGCATTATAAGATGAAACTAAAGCAAAGACGAGAAGAAGTTCAGAGAAATCGAACAGCATTGCTGCATTGGTGATAAAAACAAAGCAAAAAGAACTCAACAGTCAAAAGGAAGTAGAAGAAGCAATGCACTGAAACAAATCGAATCCAGCAGTAGAAGATGGCTTTCTTACCGAAATCGATATTGAATCCTAGTGCTTTATCTTCTTCTCTTTTAGATCTGAAGCTCTCCGATGAACAGTCACTGTGAGGGTGAGAGAGAAAGAGAGAGAGAGAGCATAGGAAACAGAGAAATCTCTCTAAAAACTATGGTTATGGAGGTTGGGAAACGGGAGAAATGGGTCCCACTTTACGGAACTCAATAATTAATGACCAAAAAAACAACAACAAAAAGGTGAGACCCTCGTTGACTCACCATGTTCATGTCGTCGTTAAGGGCCTTTTATTGGGCTTTATAAGTAAACAATCCGGCCCATATAAAATAATGATACGTGTCGTTCATCCCGGGTTTGAACGTGAGTGCGACATGAATAGTTTTATTTGTATTTTGGTTATCTTCTAATTCGGCCTCACCGCTAATAAAAAAGTGCTCATCCACCACCTTCCTCCTCCCTTCTCCTTCTTCCCTCCCTCGCCTCCTTTGAGATTCTTCACTTTGCATTTTTTTTCAATCATCTATCATCCCGCCACATTTTTCCCATTAATCCTAAAGCTTCATTCTCCGTAAGTTCATTCCTTCTCTTTCATTTGTAACTCTTTAGTCGATTTGTTTCTTACAACCGAATCTGTGGGTATGTTTATTTTACATGTAAATGTTTTTTTGAATATGATCCATCTCGTTGTGCTTTTGATACGTCATGTAGGTTTCTAGGCTTTACACCTTCAATCTATATCCTCTGTTAATGCTTGTATTACAAGCAATCTCTTGTGAATATTTACAATGTATAAAGCTCGACTTATGGTTGACATTTTGATATTACAGATCAGACAGAAGAAACCCAGATATCATCATGGTTAACTAAATTTGAAGAACCATTAATCCAGGAACTGAGAGCACTGATCTTAGGGGATCTCGATGGCAATGGAGAAAGATCTCAATCCGCATTCTCCACGAATTAGAAAGCTAAGGGAGAATAGTCATCCTAATACATCGACTTCACGTATGTGTAATAATAATCAAAGAGATAACCATTATCAAAACATTCTCAATTCACCAAGGGATTACAATTACGCTCCTAGCTCTCCCACCGCCCGCACTCGCCACCGCAGGCGATCAAGCGAGGTATAACGCTCTTTTTTCTGTTGAATGTGTTATAAGATTCTTGAACTGAGATTTTATTGTCTTTTTCTCAACATTCAGAATCTATCTGAGGTGAGCAGAAGCAATGTAAGCAGAGTAAGCAACCTGTTACTTGGTGATAAGAACAAGTACAAATCAATGTGGATAAGGACATGCTCATCTCTCTGGATGCTTGGTGGAGTTATGTTTATAATCTACATGGGTCATCTCTACATCTGGGCGATGGTTGTGGCTATACAGATCTTCATGGCCAGAGAGCTCTTCTTTCTACTCAGAAGAGTTCACGAAGAGCGTCGCTTGCCTGGTTTCAGGCTCTTGAATTGGCATTTCTTCTTCACGGCTATGTTGTTTGTTTATGGACGCATGCTCCAACAGCAGCTTGTGAACACTGTTTCTTCGGACAGATTCATCTACAAGCTTGTGAGTGGTCTTATCAAGTACCAGATGGTTATTTGGTACTTCTTGTACATTGCAGGTTTGTGTTGCTCTTTCTTCTTCTTCTTCACCAACCTCACTCATCACTTTCTGGATACGTTAAGAGTTTAATTTTCATTCAGGTTTCATATGGTTTATCCTTACATTAAAGAAGAAGATGTATAGGTATCAGTTTGGGCAATACGCTTGGACGCATATGATCCTTATCGTTGTGCTTGCTCAATCTTCTTTCATCGTTGCCAATATATTTGAAGGGATCTTCTGGTAATAATGGATTCAAATGAAACATGTCCTTTACCTATGGGTTCTAGCTTGGTGTTTAAAATGGATCAATATGCAGGTTTCTTCTGCCTGCAGCGCTTATTGCTATGAACGATGTAGCTGCTTATTTCTTCGGTTTCTATTTCGGGAAAACTCCACTGATCAAGTTGTCTCCAAAGAAAACATGGGAAGGTTTCATCGGAGCATCAGTGGCAACCATTATCTCCGCATTTTTTGTAATATACTCATCTTCAATCATTTGATCCATTTATTTATAGCCATTTCTTTTTGTCTCAAGACTGATAGATTATCTGTGCTTCTGACAACAGTTTGCAAATGTCTTAGGCCAGTTCCAATGGCTTACATGTCCAAGGAAGGTAACAAAAATTAAATCTCCATTGCGATGTTTTCTTCTTGGCCTTTACTTCATCGCTATGTTGCATCTTTTGCAGGACTTATCAACTGGTTGGCTTCATTGTGATCCAGGCCCTCTCTTCAGGCCAGAGTATTATCCATTGCCCTTTTGGATTGCTCCATTTGTAAGCAATTAGTTACCTTCTCATGAAAATCAGGCAGCGATGTTGTCTTGTACTGTATAAGTCTTTGTTTTGAAACTGAGCACTGTTACTTAACAGTCTCCATGGAAAGAGATCTCGATTCTGCCTGTCCAGTGGCATGCTTTCTCTCTCGGTTTATTCGCATCTGCTATAGCACCTTTTGGTGGTTTCTTCGCAAGCGGTTTCAAAAGAGCTTTTAAGATCAAGGTTAGACATTTTCAAACATTAAAAGGTTGTGTTTCCATGAGTCTAAGAACAAATCTTAACTTCGTTTTGTTGCTTTGACAGGATTTCGGAGACAGCATACCAGGACATGGAGGATTTACTGATAGAATGGATTGCCAAGTAAGAGCCACTATAAGATCAGACAGATGAAATATTGTATTTTTCATAGTTTTAACCAAATTTTGCTGCCTAAACAGAATGTTATGGCGTTTTTCGCATACATCTACATCCATTCGTTCATTGTTAATCAGTACAGTGTCGAGATGATCCTAGACCAGGTTAGAATCATAATTCACTTAAAAGTTACGTAGTGGCTTTTTAAATATTTGATTGTATTATACCTGCAGATATCGAGGGGTCTGGGAGACGAGGAGCAGAAAATGCTTTATGTAAAGCTCGGAGACATTCTTCAACATAAGTTACAGGGAAGGTTTTAAGAATGAGATGCAAGTTTTGTGACTCTGTTTTCAGCATCTTTCCCCCTGGTTAGTTTCTGGTTGTATCAGACCATGTAAAACCATAATTTGTATCTGATTAAATTAATCAAAAAGGAGACTTGGTCAGTGTGAACCTCGAAAATCTGTAAAATGGTATTTTCCCATGCAATTAATGCTTCAGGGAGATAGAGAAAACAGACACAGAAGCAGGATATCTCCTGCAAATGCCATGTCCAGCAACTTATGCGAGATCTTGTTCATCTAATGAATAACCAAACCACAAGAGAAAACTATGACTCAAAGACTCAAGAAGATGTTAATGAGTTACTCGAAACATTGAAACATAGAACCATAGCAAAATTTATGAAAACCAGCTAACTTTTTCTTAAGCATCAGACTCTTTCTTCTCTTCTTCGTTTTCTCCTCCTTGTGTAACACCAACCTCAGCTGGTCTTATAACTCGATCATACAGTGTGTATCCAGACTGCACGTATATAGACATCCATCGTTACTAATTGGTATTTAAGGACTGTACAATATGGAATAATGAGAGACAAAGAATTGAGCAAACTTAATATATTTACCTTCAAGACATGAGCTACTGTGCCTTCTGGCTTAGAAGCATCAGGGACTTGGAACACTGCGTTATGTCTGTTTGGATCAAACGGCTCGTTTAAAGGATCATACTTCTCCATACCAAATTTCTTAAATACCTGCAGCAGCACAAAAATTATCAGGTTCTATCGACATTGCTTACTTAAGGTCTTATAACTACATTTGTCAATATTTACCTCCGCTAGCTGTTTCTCAGTCATTTCCACTCCTTCTAAAAGGGTCTTTAATAATGGAGCAGCTCCAGCCGAATCATTTGAAGTGTCAAGCTTTGAGAAGCTTTCTTTGACAACCGAAGAAGCTCTTCCAAGATTATCCGCCACATCCAAAAGGCTCTTTGCAAAATTCTGCATACATATATATTTTAAGCAAAATACTATAAGAAGGAAAAGCTGCAAACCAAGTTGTTGTAGTAGACTAACCTGTACGGCATACTTTTTGGTGTTTTCAGCATCACGTCTTGTTCTGTCCATGACATTCTCCATTTCAGCGTAAGTACGAAGAACTTTATCTTTCATTTTCTTAATCTCTTCTTCCTTTTGAGACAGTAGCTCTTCCTTCTCAGCTACAAGCTTCACCAAATCATCCACTGACAACTCATCATCACTCTCAGAATCTGATTCAGAAGATGCAGCTCGTTTAGCACCTTTCCGCTTTCTTTCTGCAGAATCAGTCACAGAATCTTTCGATCCAGAGTCAACTCCTGATTCATTTGCCTCAGCAGTAGCTTTCTCTTCACTTGTGTTCGAGACCTCAGTGTTGCTTTTCTTCTCATCTGATTCAGGCGAGGTTGAGGAAGAAAAAGAGAAATTTTGTAGTGAAATTGAATCCAGAGACACCTGGGCTGGAACGAGCTGCCCCCATAAACGATGCAAAATGGATTAATCTCAGTCAAATGAATCAAAGCAAACAAAAAAACTGTAGAAATCTAAGGCGGAAATGAAAGAGCATCCACTCATATACACATACATCTGACAATTCAAACACATGGGATCAAGGAAATATTATCAAAACACAGCTATCATTTCTAAAAACTCTGAATTGAGGTCAGATTGAGGAAACCCTTAAACCCTAGCAAAACCCTGAATCTAAATCCCGCACGGATAATGATAAAATTTGAGTCAAAATCAAACCTTGTGTGAGTAGTCGTGAACGAGGGAGTGATACCGACTCGAGAAGATAGGAGTCTGGTTCCTCGTCTGATGAGCGACGGCGGGGAGAGAGGATGAACGCAAACCCGCGCTGCGGGAAACTCGCGACAAAATTCTCGAAACCAACATCACGGGGATCAACAGAGGGACAAGCAGAGATCAAGACGAGAAGAGAAGAGAAAAAGAATGAATCAAAATCTAATTGTTGCAGAGAGACACACACACTCGTGCGCTTCGTGGAGTTGAGAATTACTCAATTCTTTCTCTCTTTGGGTTTTTCTTTTAGCGATTTTACGTAGTTACCCTTACCGATGCACGAGCGGTGGCTGAGGCTTACTGATTTAATCCGGCGAGTCTGTGAGGGTATTATAGTCAATATAACAACTTGGGCAGCTAATTTGAGAAGCCTCTAGAAAGAACCAACCAAACATAATCACTTGTACTTTTTTTTGGGACAGACATAACATAAGCATTATAGTCCATCCATCTCCTGGGCCTGATTGGTACAGTCCAACTAATCAGAACAAGCACGCACGCACATGTATGTGTGTTTCTCATTTACTCCGTATAGAGTAGGATCACACTATTAGTTGCAATAGTAGTGATAAATTCTAATCAAATTACATAGGTTGTGTAGATTTGACTTCATTTGGATGGGAGAATGTGAAAATTTATGTTCAACTACTTAGCAATAATTCAACAACTATAAATGACCCCTTAATTGCTAATATAAGCCTATTACATTTGTTTTGCTTGTACTTTTATTTTAATTCATAACGCAAACCTGTTTTAGTATACACCTGTCAGTTGGAAGCTAGCCCACATCTAGCTTTTCAAGAGACAAAAAAAAACAAACGAAAAAAGTTTGAACAATAAATATGATCATTAGTTGAGACTAAAAAAACCAAAGTTACTTTTATCGGCAATGTCACATTTGACGCATGAGAGACACTTTCTTGGCGTTACTTGTTATTGTCTTGTCGTTGCACCAACCAAAACTGTGGTTGAACTAAAAAAGAAGCCCCAAGACGTGCGACACAGTTTACGAACTATCTCAAATTTAATCAAGTGAAGAAAACTCCTTTGTAGCTTCCGAGATTTAAAGCATTGCTTGACTGAAGACCAAACAAAGAGACAAGAACAGAGAGTAGAGAGGTTTGTGCGTGAACCCGGTAAAAAAGGATGATGCGTTACACATATCTGAAGCTTGCAAGAGTATGAATCCTTCTTCCTTTTATGTAAAACCTGGCTTGTCTCCTTTTTTAAGTAGCTATAAATACGGCTCTCTGCTGAAAAATTAATCTCAAATCATTTTCGGCTCATTACTCACCTCAACTACCTCTCTGTGGCCAAAAATAACACAGAGAGACAATTCAGACTAAGGAGTATTTAATAAGGCATCATCTAACAAAGGGCCTAGCCTAATAACTACTACACAAGCGAAATTTGTTTCAGGTTCGATACAAGATACCTCTCTTCCTCCAACTTTAAATGCTTTGGTCCTATTGTTTCTTCCCAAATCAACCGTGTGAGGTTCTTGTTTTGCAGAAGCAAACTTGTGTAAAGCATGCTGCGAAATAGAGTTCTTGCGTTCTTGTTTCTAGCAGCTCAGCTCTTGGTGATGATACCTGAAACGGCAGCGAAAGTTTCTGCGCTTATCGTGTTTGGGGACTCCACTGTGGATTCAGGCAACAACAACCAGATTTCTACAGTTCTAAAGAGTAATTTCCTGCCGTATGGCCGGGATTACTTTGATGGGAAAGCAACTGGGAGATTCTCAAATGGTCGGATTGCACCAGATTTCATTTCTGAAGGTTTGGGACTCAAGAACGCAGTCCCTGCATACCTAGATCCAGTATACAGCATCGCAGACTTTGCCACTGGTGTCTGTTTCGCTTCAGCTGGAACCGGCTTAGACAATGCAACCTCTTCTGTCTTAGTAAGTCAACCATACTTGTATATCCTAGTAGTAGTACATTACTGTAGTGAATTGTAGATTTCATATAGTCCTAGTTAAACCAAATCTGACATGGTTTTTTTTGAAATGTGTAAGTCTGTGATGCCGCTTTGGAAGGAAATGGAGTACTACAAAGAATACCAGACCAGGCTAAGAAGCTACTTGGGTGAAGAGAAAGCTAATGAGATTATTAAGGAATCACTATACCTGATTAGTATCGGAACCAACGATTTCCTGGAGAATTACTATCTTCTTCCCCGCAAGCTGCGGAAGTACTCTGTGAGTGAGTACCAAAACTTCCTGATAGGAATTGCAGGAGATTTCCTGACAGATATTTACAGACTCGGAGCTCGGAAGATGTCTCTGTCAGGACTCTCTCCTTTTGGATGCTTGCCCTTGGAAAGAACAACTCAGCTCTTTTATGGAAGCCAATGCATCGAAGAATACAACATTGTGGCTAGAGATTTCAACACCAAGATGAATGAAAAAGTCTCCGAGTTGAACCTTGAACTGGACGGACTCCAGCTTGTGTTTTCAAATCCGTATGATCTGGTTTCAGATATCCTAAACCATCCTGAAGCATTTGGTTAGTAACAAAATTTCTCTAACAAAAAAAAAAAGCGTTTTTTCCAGGAATAGTCATGCAAAGACTCTCAAATCAAGAATTCTTCTGAGATAATATTCCTATAATTGCATTGCAGGTTTTCAAAATGTAAGGAGTGCATGCTGCGGAACAGGATACTATGAGATGAGCTACTTGTGTGATAACATGAACCCATTCACATGTTCTGATGCAAGCAAATATGTATTTTGGGACTCATTTCATCCAACAGAGAAGACAAACGAAATAGTAGCAAGCCATGTTCTCAAGTACGACTTATCTCGGTTTCAGTGATAAACAAGAAAGTTCCATACCTGATACCGCAAGCACAATATTTAACATACTATATACTACATTCTTTCTTCCAAAGTATAATTTTTTTCTTTCAGTAAGTTACTTGATATCAGTCAAAATCAAGCTTCCAGAGTGTTGTAAAAGAACCATTTTTCTTACTTTATGATCATGTAACTACTTGAAGATGCTGCTGTGATTGTTATAAAGATGAATTAGATGAAACTGTTGAAAGAAAAAAACAATGCAGAAATGGAATTGACTTATGATGCTAGAAACCAAAAACACTGACATTTCAATGTATTCCACAATCAAGAGTATATCTATTGGTTTTACCATCTGATTACAGAAGAAAGAATCATTTCAAAACATTTTGGTGAACAAGTTCATTAGAATATCTCAGTTTCAGTGGTAAATAAAAGTGACAAATCACACAACAACCAGAAGTGAAACCAAGTTGTGCAATCCGGTTCGGTTTGGCAAATCGTTTTAATCCAAAAAAAACCAAAGAAAAACTCGATTATTCCTTAACCGGCGGTTAAGAGTTTTTATTATTTTCACTCGCCTTTCTCTTGAGAATTCTCAGTTCTCTCAAACACTCACAGCACTATGTCCTTGTAGGGTTTAGGGTTTATGATTCAACAATTTCTGAGACAGAGTTTGGGAACGAACCCAAATCAAGCTGAAGTAAAGTTGATTGGATGCGGTGGTCGATCGCGACTGCGATTGCTTCAACGGCTAAGGGGTTTCTTCATCTTCATCGGCATTTGCTGAAGAACAGTGATCCTGGGTTTGCTCTTGCTCCGTCGCTGAGACTTTGCGGTTTCCGTCTCTGGGTACGAGCTTATTCTGGTGCTAATACTGATTATAAAGTGGTATTGAGAAGTGGGCTTCACAATCTTGACTGCGAAGATGCGTTTAATTTGTTCGTGCTCATGGTTGAGTCTTACCCCCTTCCTTCCATTGTTGAATTCAATAAAGTATTGACTGCTATTGCCAAGATGAAGAGGTACGATGTTGTCATTACTCTCTGGAATTGTGTTGAGAATACTGAAAACTTGGAAATTTCCCCTGATCTTTATACCTGCAACATTCTGGTGAATTGTTTCTGCCGCTGCTTACAACCCTCTTTGGCTTTATCTTACCTTGGGAAGATGATGAAACTTGGTATTGAGCCTGACATTGTAACGGCTAGCTCGCTGGTCAATGGATTCTGTCTGGGGAATAGTATTAGAGACGCTGTTTATGTGGCCGAGCAAATGGAGCGAATGGGAGTTAATAACGATGTAGTTGTCTACACCATACTCATTGATACTCTTTGCAAATTGAGGCTTGTGGATAGAGCGCTGGAGCTTTTCAAACGTATGAAAAACAGAGGAATTGGACCCAATGTTGTTACCTACAGCTCTCTCATTACTGGCCTTTGTAATGCCGGTAGATTGACTGACGCCGAGGGACTACTGCTCGAAATGAACTCCGGAAAAGTCAACCCTAATGTGTTCACTTTCAGTGCATTAATCCATGCTTATGGGAAACGTGAGAAGCCTTCCAAGGTTGATGGTGTGTGCGACAAGATGGTCCAAATGTCTATAGATCCTAATGTTTTCACTTACAGTTCACTTATCTATGGGCGTTGCAAGGAAGGTCGGGTAGATGAGGCCAGAAAATTGCTCGACACGATGAGAAGCAATGGGTGCTCCCCTAATGTAGTCACTTACAGTACTCTTGCAAATGGATTTTTCAAGTCGGCGAGGCTACGTGATGGGATTAACATTTTATATGAGATGTCTCAAAGAGGCGTGGCCGAAAACACAGTCTCTTGCAACACTCTTATCCAGGGTTATTTTCAAGCGGGTGAGATAGATCTTGCTCTGGGCGTTTTTGGAACAATGGCTTCTAATGGTCTGCCTCCCAATATTAGGAGCTACAACATTGTGTTAGCTGGTTTATTTGCTAATGGGGAGGCAAGGAAAGCATTGAAAAGATTCGAACATATGCAAAAGAGTAGAAATGATCTTGATATTATCACATATACTATCATGATTCATGGGATGTGCAAGGCTTGTATGGTGGAAGAAGCATATGATTTGTTCTGTAAGCTCAAGTTCAAAGGAGTTGAGCCTGATTGTGCAGCATACACGACAATGATCTCAGGATTGAATAGGGACGGGATGCGAACCGAAGCAAATGCACTGAATATATTTTATCAAAACGCACGTGCATTGAAACGAAAGCGCATCAGCTGAAGTATACTAGGGGATTTTTCTTGAGAGACATATGTGGACTCCGGCTTGCAAGACATCTCTCTTCAGGCTCCCTCTTATTGGATGCCCGCTCCTGGAAAGAAGAACACAAATCTTTTTGATGGAAGCCAGTGTATCAAAGAACAACAATGTGGGAAGAGAACTCAAACGCAAAGTTGAACAATGAGCTGAACGGAAACCGAATCTGACTGGTGATTTCAAATCCACATGACAGGGTCTTAGGATCGTGAGATATCCTGGAGTATTTGGTTAGTAATAAGCGTTGTATCCCCCCAAAGACATAAGCTAAGTTTTAATGAGTATCATCTACTCTTTAACTCAAGAATTCTTCTCATTGTGTTCACAATTCTCTTGCAGGTTTCCAAACTGCAACTGGATACTAGCGGATGAGCTACTTGGAATGTAGATTGAACTGTTTCACCTGCTCTAATGCAAGCAAATATGTATTTGGGAATCATCGCATGTAGCCCATACCACAAACATGTTCCTTAACATGCTACATTCTGTCTTCTGCTAACTTATGATGTTTCTGTGTTGTATTTCTTAGAAATGCTTTACCAATGATCACTTAGGTTGCTTGGTGTTATTTGAATCAAGCTTCCATAATGTTGTAAAAGCACAACATTTTCCCACTATATCGTGGAAGTGTAATTAGTTAAAATGCTCTTTTGATGTTATAGAAACGGATCAGATCAGCGCCTGAAAAAAAAGAAACTGTTCACGTATGAAATCTCAAAGCAGAAATGGAATTGAATCCAGAAACCAGGAAGACAATTTGTGTTCAACTATTAGAACTTAAAAAGTATCAACCATATCTCTTTAAGCATCCCATAACATAAATGAACATAAACAAACGACCCCCAAAGAAGCAAATGTTGGAACTCCGTTGTTAAATTTTTCAGACAAATCTACTTTGGTTCTTTCGGGAAATGCAACTTGATAAGAGAAGGAAGATCGACTAGTTCCACCCGCTGCTTGCCGAGCAAAATGCTCTTCAGCTTGTCATCACAATTCACGACATTCTTGTTTTTAGGATCCTAGAAGAAACAAAACAAATCACTCTAAATGATACAAAACGTGTTTAGCTAATAATAACCTAGTGGTGTTCAAACCTGAAGATTGTTGGTCTTGATATAGGACCAGACACGCATGAAACAACCCAGACGGGAGATCTGAGATTGACCAAGGAATTCACGTAGAGTAGATGGAAGGTTCACGAGGTCAATCAAATTCCCAAGTTTCTTGGGATTGTCTGTAATGGCCTTCTTCAACCTCTGCGGCAGCATCTTGATTCTGAACACCAGAGAACAGAAACAAAACGTTAGTTAACAACAATTAGACCCTTCCTTTGGGGAATTTCGTCGAGCATGTGGCGTGCAAACGAAACTAGAAACAAAACTTAGCGGGGGAAATGATAGAGGAAAGTGAAAGCAACAGGTCAGTGTACTGTAAACCAACTACTAAAGCTTTTAAACCGAAATAGTGGCGATTTTTAACGCTTCGACCTTGGGGAATGGGGAGGTATTCTCGCGTTTAAAAACGAATGATAGAACTCGAACATATCATTAAGGTTTATTAAACTTTAAAGGGACTTTAGTTAACTATTCCAATTTTATTATATTTTTTATTATAACAATCTTAAAGTTTTTGAACTGCCATGTTGCCCAGTGGACTCTTTTGTTTTTGAACCTTAAAAAGTGCCCAGTGGACTCTACTCTTAACGTTTACTGTATCTAGCAAAAGATGTTGCTGGTTTTCGATGGATTTTTTTCATAAAAATAATTGTTTCCAGACTAGAAAGAAAATACTTGTAACTTGATAGGATAAAACCGTATTAAACATAAAATAAAAACCGTATAAAATTTTAAAGTTTGAACTTATATTATTTTGTGATTAACTCGACAAAAATAATTTATTTTGTGATTAATAGAGCAGATCCACTCGTTTCAGTAAGCTTTTATCGTTTAAACTTTAAACTCATATTGTTTCATTATGGTATTATTTTGATCACTGTTACATTTTAACTATAGTTTTTTCAAAACTAAACTATAATTAAATCGAAAGGTTAAAATTGAGACGATTTTTTACCCACACGATTTGGCTATATACAATGTCTTATTTTCACCTTGTGTTTTCTTCTTTCTATAAGAGACAGAGAAAGGAAAAACAGAAAGACAAGAATAGAGGGAGATGGATCTGCCACTGTCACCGCCACCGCCACCGCCACTGCTACTGACGGAACATGTAAAATTGATAGAAGAATTACTTTTGAGGCCTGAAAGACTTTATCTATAGTTTATAGTGCATAGACATTTAGCGTATTTGCCCAAAAAAAAAATATATATATTAAGCGTATATTCGTAAAACCACTTCCAACATGCGGAAATACTACAAAGATTTGATGGATTCGGGTATATTTGAAAAGGTTAGATAGTAATTCTTGTATTCAAATCATATGTTTGTGCTGTTTTCTTTTTTCTTGCATTCAAACCCTTTGCATATCAGGGAAGATCTTAATAAACTCCTTCAAGCGAATAAGACCGGCCATGACGGGGAGAGAGACAAGAACAAGTATGGTAGTGATGCTGATGTGGGTATTTCCGGCACAAAGAAAGAGATGGATACGCCGCCGATTGAACGTATCAAAATGTTGGAAGAATTTCTTCCGTCACCTGAAGCGACCTACCAAAAGGCTTTAGAAAATAGAGATTTAGCTTGCAATGAAATCTTGTCCGGTATGCATCCATACTACAAAGCTCTAAAAGATTCGGGTCTATATGAAAAGGTTAGTTATGAATTTCGTTTGCAAATCATATATATAAGCTAGCGTGTTATGTTACTATTTTTTTTTATATTTTTTATGTATTCAAACCCTTATCAATTTGCACAATTTGCAGGACATCGAGGGCATTGAGAAACTTCTTCAAGCGAGTAAGACTGGTGACGATTCAGCTGCTGGGAAGATGTCGGAGATAGACAAAGACAAGGCGAGAGATTGTTAATTTATACGTGAATCAGATTATTGACCTAATGTATGAAAAGTTGAAAACAGAGTATAAAAATCATATATGTATACAATAACATATTTAAATGCACATACACCACTACTTAAATTGAATAAATAATTAATCAAAAACTTGTTTTAGAATTAAAAGTTTAATAATACCGGATTAGACTAACAATAAAATCTCAACTCTTCTGATTTGTTAGTGAAAATCCACTAACTAAAATATATTTAAGTTGCTTCCGTTAGATAAGATAGTAAATAGCTAGTCAGAATGGTTTTGTAAGGTCGTCGAATGTCATCATCACTAAAGCATATATCGTTAATCAACCTTAACAAAATACAGGCAACGTACGAACTGGTATTGTATTTCTAAAACTTAAGGATATCTAGGGAGACGTACACGACATTCTAGTCGACCATCAAAAGACAAAACCGACCTGTTTGTCCCATGGATTTTGTCATCAACATTATACAACTTAGCTCTCACATTCTCACAGACTGCCGACATGTACTGTTCTCCCCATAAAGCAGAAGCTCCTGGATAAAACCCTACTGTCCCAAAAAACACCATATCAAGACCCACCATACCTCCTGTCACCACAACTTCATCCCACATTTCCCAAGCCGCCTCTTCATCGATAACTTTAGTTTCGTCTCCCTTCACGATCACCTCGTTCTCCTCTCCGCCTTTCTGCCGGAGAGACTCGGATTTAACAGTCGACACGATCCTTCTCCGGTGAACCAGCCACACTGAGGGATTCTCGTACGTGGCGTGGAGTTTCTTGTTAGGGTTTTTGATAGAGAACATTGCGGACCATACCGGGAGATTGTGATTAGTGAACGATATATGCATGGAGTGTACCTGAACGGTGGGTGGAGTTGGAGTAATCCATATGATAAACGAGACACATGCAACGAAAGCGCTAATGATTGTGATGGCTAGAAAGAGTTTCACAAGTAGTGACCACTGTGAGATGTTAGCTGGTTCCGATTCTCGGGCGTTCGGGGCTGATATTGGTCGGAGTTCCGGGACTTGCTCCGTATCGGTTACGGTTATTAGAAGCGGTTGATTCATCTTTTCAACGATGCTTCTTTGTTCACCATCCATGTTGGGCGAGATCGATGATGATAATTTTCTTGTTTTCATATCTATATATGATGTGTCGAAATAGTTAGATTAAAAAGCAAAATATTTATCCAGTTGAGATTATGGTAAAGATTTCATCGATCAAACAAAATTTCATCCTTTTAGTTATATAGCCCTCAAATAGTTAAAGATTGCATCCACTATACAAGATATTGATGTTAGAGTTTCATTTTTTATTTTATTTTTACATTAAGAGTTTCATTTTTAACTCTCTGTTTAGGATGTGAATCTAAATTTAACAGTCGAGCAAATTTGATTTTGAGGATAATCTAGTGCGATTAAAAGAAAGTTAAAATCAAAAGTAGGAAATAGTTAGACAAAGTTAATATATTTTATATATATACAATATAAAATATATTCTTGATCAGAAAACAAACTACTAGCTAAATAAATCAAGCAAAAAGAAGAGAGAAAAAATGCCGCTAACTACTCCGCCCTCACTGTCCGGTGGGAAACTCACATTTCCCAAATCCTGCAATCGACAAGAATTCAATTTAATTAAAATTATAGAAAATATTAAACATCATCATATCTTTACAGTTATAACTATGAAGACACGATATAACGTGAGCATCTTAAAATGCAAAGACGAACACGATATAGCTGAACTATAGCAACTGCCAACTACTCAAATCATAAACTCCCTTTTTTGAAAACCAGTTTAGTAATGAATAAACACTTCCAAATTCAATTGAAGCCAAATAAATGTGATTGTATAATAAACTGATAATTAAAGAAGGGATGATTAGGATAACGTACGAGGAGGTTGCGTGACGACGTGAGCAGCTCCACCAAAGAAGCACGTACCAACACGACGCGCGTTCTTCTGGTAGTAACTGTTGAAAGCGTACGAAGCGTGCGCCTCTAACGACTCAGGATGGTAACACGTGGCACCCGGCTGAATCGGACGGCAATCAGCTCCTCCTTCTCCACAAGCGTAATCAAGAGCCGCCTGAAGCTTCTCCTTCGCCATCTCTCCGTTCGAAACGCACCACGTATGTCCCTCCTGCTCCACCGGAACCCCAGCTCCGTTACCGTTGACCGGCGTTGACCTTGACGTGAACGGGACGTCGTACACTCTCCCTTCGTTTGGGTAGAATAACCCGTAGTTTCTCTCGGACGTTGGCCCTGGTTTCTGGTTCTCGTTAAACAACGCGAACAAATAAACGTTGAGTGGGTCTCTCGGTCTTAACGGCGTCCCGTTTCCCGTTAACACTCTCTTCACAAGTCCACCGTTATACGCCGCCGCGTTTGCCTCGCTTGCGCCAAGCTCGTTATCGTCTCCAACGGAGGGCCACCCTGTTTCCGTCACCATCACCTTAACGTCGTTGAATCCGACGGCGGATAATGCAGCATAAACGGCGTCGACTTGAGCGTCAAAGAGACTGTTATACTTCAGTCCGGTACCGGAATCTATGTTCCCGGCGTTTTCTTGAAACAGAGCGTAGTCTAAGGAGATTTTGTCGGCGTTTCCTGAGTAAGCGAAGAACGGGTATGCATTAACCATGAGATACGACGACGTATGCTGTAACAGATCCAGCATCGGTCTGATAACCGGTTCGATTAAATCCGGTTTAAAAGAACCGGAAGATGGCGGGTAAGAATTAGCCAGCGCGCTAAGAGCAACGGGAGAAGAGATCTTGATCGCTTTGTCGAGATTATACTTGACGAGAGAGGTGTGAATGTTCTTCATCGCGGGGACGAGATACGGAGTCGTGTTCTTCGGATCGACGAACACTTCGTTACCGACGGCAATAGCTTCGATCTCGGTCGCTGGGAAGTATGAGGTTACGTTGGTTTGAACCCAGTAGTCGGCAAATGATTGGTTTGAAGCGGCGGAGAAGAGAAGCTCGTTGGGGAGAGCGACGATTACTTTGATCCCGGAGTTTGCAAGCGCGGTTAACACGTTTTTATCTGTGTCGTAGATTTTGATACGGCTGATTCCTTGTGATTTGACAAGGTTCACTACATTCTTCGGCGACGGGAGGTTGTTAGCTATCCGACCGTAATTGACTCCGATCATTCCAGACACTGTGAAAACAAGAACATGAGAGTACAAAAGACAGAGATGCAAGGACGTGTATCTATAAACTCGTGTGTAAAAACTAACCAACGTGTGTGAAGGGAATGGTTGAGAACATGGAAAGAATGAGAAAACAAGCTAGGAAAGAAACGGCCATAGTATTATTTGTCTCTGATTTCTTCAGGAACAGAGCACGAAACGCGGAAAACCAATGTCGTGTGATAGTTATTGGATACGAAAGATTAGTGTGTGTTCTTTCTTGCCTGGTGAGGGAGCTGGTCTCTTCAGTTTTTATATATGAAAGTGTAAAGAAGTGCCAAGTGGGGGATGTGGGATTAACTAAACTAATTACACGGAAGAATTGCTGAAAAACTTGAGAAGTGTATTTTTAAATATCTATTTATAGCTTAACATAATATTCAGGTAAAGAAACTTTCTAAAATTGAACATATAGCATAAAAGTTAAAACTGATTGATTTCCTAGTTGATTTGATTTTATCTAAAAATGACTAGAGAGGTTTCTTGTTTCTGCAACAAGACACTGGGGTTCTTTCTATGTGGATTGCACATATTTCGTTAATATTCATCATCATCCTTTCTTTTGTGAAGAGAGCGTGACTCACTTTATCTTCTTCAACCAATCTTTTTCTTAAAAATAAAATAAGAGACATCAACAATGACCAAATTCGATTTAATTGCTAATTATGTCATTCCTTCAAAACAAAAATAAAACAGATGGGGATCATGGAGAGTGTGGGATGTGGATAAGGGGAGGAGGAGGATTCATCACGTGAGATCAGGAACTAAAATCTAACAAGAATGTTAAAACCAAAATCACATTGTCTAATGGGTTCGAAACAGGTAGATGCGGCCCAATAAAAATGATAAGCCCATAAACCAAAAGAACCGGAGTATCTCTCTCAGCCGTAGGATTAAATAAAGACAAACCTAGAGAATATGAACCGTTGGATAGATGCCCTACTACGATTCGCCACTTTAATGAGATAAAGAGAGGAATCCGATGCGTCCAAGTACAAAAAGCCACGGCCAATTACAGAGATTTTCTATTTTTCCCAGACTAGTGTGTGTTCAGTCTTATTTATTTATTTACTTTGTTTCTCTCAATATCACACCTCTCCTTTGATCGTCTGAATCTCTCTCTCTCTCGTCGTTCCCTCTAAATTCCTTGTATCTGTGCACCGGGACGAGAATTTCCCACACAAACGATGTCTGCGAACCAGGAGGAAGACAAGAAGCCAGGTGACGGAGGAGCTCACATCAATCTCAAGGTCAAGGGACAGGTACCTCTACTCTTCTCCTCTGTCTTTCTTTTTTGTTTTTTTTGTTGGAGATTTGGGTTTCTGATTTCAAGGTCCCTTTAACCCTTTTAGCTGCCGTTAGGTTTGTGTTTTTCATCCTGATTTGGCTGCTTACTAGTTTTAGGGTTTCGTACTACCAGCTCAGTCTTATTGGTTCTTCTTCCCTTTTTTTTTTTGGTTTGGTTATTGATTTTACAGGTCGAATTTTTGTGATTTGACACGTTTCCTTGCTTATTGCTTTTTTGTTTTTATCAAATTTCAATTTTAGGTATTTTTGAGAGAGCTTGTGGTTTCTGTTGCTTTTGTTTGAGAGTAATTTGCAATTTTGGATGGGTAAAGTTCAAATAGTTGCTCAATGTTCTAAGGATTGTGAATTTTGCTGTCAAAATACATTTGAATTAAGCTAAACCATTTTTTGCGTATATCTCGACTCTTTTTTAGCTTACAGGAGTAGAATGTATGCTTGATGAGTTTGTGTGTTTATGTTTGGAATTCTCTCATAGAAAAAGCATACATTATATGATTAGAAATTTTTTCAGGTTACTACCAAAACAGAGAGACATCATATTCCAATTATTGTTTAATATGTTGTCTCTTACCTTTGTTGGACAATGTCTTGATCAGAATCATGTTGTCTCTTTTTTTTTTTTAATTATGTGCCATAGGATGGAAACGAGGTCTTCTTCAGGATCAAGAGAAGCACTCAGCTGAAGAAGCTGATGAATGCTTACTGTGACAGGCAATCCGTGGACATGAACTCTATCGCTTTCTTGTTTGATGGACGTCGTCTTCGTGCTGAGCAAACCCCCGATGAGGTAAAACATCATTCTGTCTTCATGCCTTTTCACCCTTTCATATTTTTAAAGCATTTTGTTTATATTGCTAATAATCTTGATGCTACAGCTTGACATGGAGGATGGTGATGAGATCGATGCAATGCTCCATCAGACTGGTGGTGGTGGTGGTACTGGTGGTGCTATGGCTTGACACTTCCTCCGTGTTTAGGACTGTGTGATATGGAATGGTTTAAGGAGGAATCGGCATTATTAGGATTTGCAGACTTGTTTTTTTCTTTTCTTTTTTTCTTATCGTGGCCATTATTATCTTTAGAAACTATAAAAATTTATGGTCATGAATGTTAAAGAACCCATTCGGTTGGTTTTTTGGTCTTGTCCGTTTGTTGTTATTGGATCCTATGTTACTCTACTTTGGGCTTAAACGTGTTATTAACCCGATTATCTATAATTTATTGGGTTTAAAATTCGATTAGTGAAGTTAAAGAGACGATGAAAAATGAAAAAGTTCTAATTGAAAAGCGTTAGTTGGTTGATGGTTGAACAATGATAAAAATCCAATCAGACAATCAAACAAAGTATTCAAACTTAGCCATGTTAATGATTTTGATTAGTACAAGTATAGTCAGTTCCAAACCATGAACTCCAGAACTAGCTTTTGGGATTGTGTAGACATGCTTAACAAACAGAGCATACAAGACAAACATGATCAATAATCAGTAATCTCTCACGCTGTATAAATTGCTGATTGTAGAAAGTTTTTGATACAAGAAACTGGGTGGAACTGAAACATTCTAGCACGTATCAACCAAGACGTCCATGACAAGTGAGTCAATCACTCTATATAATAATAATCATCATCGTGAAGAACATTTTTATATTCATCATAAACACGAACTTATAACATTACTTAAAAGAACCAGAGCAATTCTAGGCACAAAATACCCACAACCATCATAAAAACACCAAGAAGCGTCAAATGCAACTACAAGGAGAGTTTGCTTATTTAGGCTTCTAATTATACATACAAACCATCAAGTCACGATACTGTTCACTGAAGGACAATGCACTCAGCGGCAGTCCCGTTTGTGATCACACCTCCATGGATACGGTTGCTATTCTGGTTAACGACACCACCATTAGGGCTTTGCTGATGAACTACGGTTCCTTCATGATCCTCCTCTTGGTCACTACAACCTATGGCTTCAAAGATGAGAGCATTAACTTCCTTAAACCTTTCCTCTGACAGAGAAGCTTCCTCAAGGAGCCTCCAGGCATTCTCCTCTGAAGCTCCTTCGTAATCCTCTTTCCTCTTCAGTACCATGTGACCACTTATCTCCCATACCGCTGGGTTCACTTGTGTTTCCAATACCTCGGGGCTTACTTCACCTAGAGCCTGTTTCTCTGCGTAACACTGCAATTTATACATTCAAACTGTTATTCTCTTTTATTGGGTGTATTAAAAACATGTAGTGATCCAACAGTTTGCCAGCTAAATTGATACCTGTGGCATCACGAAGATCTGCCTTCCACAATCAGCGATGAGGATGTTAAAAGGTATGTTGTTGTTCTGGAGGCAGACGCAGGCATCTGATACTGTATCAGATAGGTCTTGCATAGAGCTTCCACCTTCAAAGAGAAGACTTCTCACAGGGTAATTCAGAAGCTCTGAGATTTTCACACCACTAGCAGTGGTTATCATCTTCTTGGAAGGAGCTCTCTCAAGTGGGAAAGGCATGGCCAGGTAATATGCCTGTTTACAACAATAACACCAAAACAATCAATTAAGTTGTCATAGATAACCCGGGAAAGAATAATTATGCTTGGGTCACTATTGGGTATACCTGAAAGTGAAGATGGTTGATAGTGGCAAAAGCACCCAGGCTGTTGTAACCTAGTCTGAAGTAAGGATTAGCTGCCTCAGCAGCCATGTGAACTGCAAGCAAAAGGCTTTTGTGATCGATCTTCTGTGGCAAGCAGTCAAGAACACGAGGAATGAGCAGCACATGCCCATACTCGATCGGGCTAACCTGTTAAAAACAATAAAGAATTAGTCTTTAGCAATCAAAACCAATAAAAGAAAACAAGTTGAGCTCTCTGCACAAGATTCTTTACATTGATGGCAACAACACTGGGAGAATTCTCAGGATCAAGAGGCATGCAGGGGAAGAACTGAACTTGGTCATCTTCGCCAGCTTCAAACTGGAAGAGCAGCTCCTCTTGACCAACTTTAGTGAAGTTAAATTTGCTGCCATCAAAAGACTGCAACACCTTATCCACACGGAACTCGGTCGGCCTCTTCTTTAGGTGACGACCCTCGTTTAGCTGAGCAACGAAGCCATACTTCCCCGGGATAACCTATAACATCAAAAGAAACAATCTTAGGAAACAGTGTAGAACAGATCTCGGATTTAAACAAACATCACTAGATCATCAAACAAGGTAAAAGAAAGACAATTACTTTGGTTTCGCAGGCAGTGACATCATAGCGGAAAAGTCCTCTCTGGAACCTATCCTCCCACTAAAAACATAAATAATTGATTATTATAATGCTAAAAAGCAGCAGCAGAATACAAAATCATTGCTCTATGTATGCAAGTATATGATATACCTCTCCGAGAACGAGAGACTCGAGGAAAGCCACAGGAGGCTCTTTAGCTTCATGGCTGATCACAAGCTTCTCTCTGGATTTTTCCAGATTCTTACAGGCATACAAGGGAAGCCTAGCCCCTGAAACAAAGGCAGCAAAAAGGGTGAATCAAAGAAGCAACAAAAGGAAGAAGAAAAAGACGATTGAGCTTTCAAAACGTACCATTAATGCAACATGCGCCGAGGCAATTCCGTCCACAGCCGACGGATTCATCAGCCGCCTCATCCTTCTGGTAGTTGGAAACGACGGTCGGAACTCTCTTAATTTTCAACATTTTCGAATTCGTAACCCCCAAAAATAAAGCGATGTAGCAAGCAGAAAAAGGAAGGAGAGAAAGAAAAAAAAAACGCTAAGAACCCTAAATCCTAGAAGCTAAGAAGATGGAAGATGAAGGTGGAACCGCCTCCGGCAAGAAAGAGGAGATCGGAAGGGCTGCCGCCTTCAGACGGCAGAGCTCCACGTCCTCCGTGCGGCAAAGGATTAGTTTCGATTAAACAACCCTTCCGTCGAACAATATGGACATGAAAGCTACCACCCGGAGATATGCCGTGTATAGCCGTGATGCCGATTACCTGTTTCCCCAATTCTGGTAAAATCGAACGCCGGAGAAGATGAACAGATTCACGAACCCGACACTCAAAACAGCAAAAAGGAGAGATCTTTCGATATTGGGTTTCTACAGATTATAGAAAGAGATTCCTAAAACAATTTCTCCTTTGAGGTATATTTTGCTGATACAGTGGTTTAGGAGATATCGAATGGCTTTAAATAGATAGGAGATGAGTGAACCAGAGAATTACTAACGACAAAAATAAAAATAAAAATAAAAATTTTATATATACATGTGACTTTCTTCTCCTCTCATAATTTTTCTGTGGTTGTGATTCGGACGTGAAGTTTCCTCTCTCTCTCATTGAATTTTCTTATCTTTTTTTCTTTCTGACTCAACAATATTTTCTTCGTTATTTCCTTATTTTCTCGAACTAGTTACCAAAGTTTTGGTTAGTCGGTTAAGGAGAAAAATCGAACTATATTATTTTAGGAAAAGACGTATTTTATCATATTGACATATTGTATCAAATAAGGGATATGGAATAAATTAATATGGAATTATATTTTCTTATCTCTTCTGTCTTCGAGATAAAGAATGTGGCAAACACTAATAGGATATTGTCGGAACTCTCGGAAGTTCATTGTACCCGTAGTCTTGTACGCGTGTGCATGTAAAAGTAAAAAAAAAATTACAAGAGGTGGCGATCAAATCTCTTTTCATGGTGTCATATCTCATGTCATTAACTCGTATGTTATGCTATTAGTTTGTGTATTTTTATTGTTATTTTTATGGATGTCTTTACATAAACAAAAAGTTTTATATGGTCATGTTTTTTCATGGGACGGTGTGTGGTCGTAGCGACTTCTACGAGACACAATTGGGCTTAAAACGAGGACCATCGTTCGTTTGGTCGATATATTGCGAAGCTAAGATTTAACACTTACGTATTAGATATAATGGGAATAGTTTTAGACCGTTGCTTTTAATTTGGAAGGTTTTTTTTTTTGTTTCTTTATGTCCATGACATATACAACAAAATTACAAATTTTAAAAAGAAAAAAGAAGCAAAACAAGGTAGAAAAGAAAAACACAAGTGAAGATCCTGGGAATCTAATGGAAAGGATATAGTTCTTGAACCACATATAATTTTGGTGGTCCATTGTTTTTGTTTGGCAATCTCTGTACACCCTCCTCCTTCCATTACCGTTAGTTTTATTTATCGTCTTCTTTATTCTATCAAACCATTTATCACGGTCTTTAAACGCCTCAGCATGTAAATACAAATTTTCTATTGCATTAAGAAACTGAAATAGCACAAATATACTTCTTCTTTTTTCTTTTGTTGTGTGTGTAGCTATGTTTTTGATTAGTTATTGCGGTGGTGGTGTCACCACCATCCATGCAATGCATGCAAGTCAATGTTAAAGCGGTCAACGATGAAACAAAAATAAATTTTATTAAATCATAACTGCGGTTGACCCTGGGGAAGAAAACTCAATTCCTCTGTTAATATTTTTTCTTGACCAACAAAGTTGAGAAATCATTTTTTTTTTTTTTTGTAGTCATTAATTTCGAAAGAAACATGTTCTGAATCTAGTACATGCAAATTTCTATTAGAGTTTTCTGGCAAGTATCAGCAAAAGAGGAGAAACCGAGAAACCCCAAATAAATGTTCTAACTTGTAGGAAAAAAAAAAAACAGAACCGAACACTTACAATGGTAGTCCAAGTACCAAACTTTAACACGGAAAGCTCTTTAACTCTTAACGACCAAATGTGTTGATTTCTGTAATGTAGTAGTATATTGTGAATACACATTCAATAGCTTATCACAAAAAGAATACATATACTTCTAGTGGTCGACAACTATAACATTATACATAATCTTACAAGAAGTGTTTTGAGTGATAGTAGCTACGTTGTTTTTTTGGGGTACTCTCTTGGTCCGAATATGGTGGAACCAATCCTCACATTGGTGCTTCCCATTTCAATCTGCAAGTTCCATAAGCTCAAAGAAACATAGTCAAAGATCATCTTTTACATATTTCTGGTTCCTTGGAAGAAAGTACGGACATGTACATTCAAATGATTCTATGTCAAAGATGATATAAGAATGACAGATATATTATTACCGCTTGCTCGAAGTCACCCGACATGCCCATGGACAGTTCAAACTGATCCTCAGCCATTCCTAGTGCCTTGCACACATCAGCTTTACAATTTGAAAGTGTCTGTCACGGTTTCAATGGGAAATAATAAACCGTGGTAAGTAGAAATTTTATAGAAACAACCCGTTTGTCGCGGTTGTAGAACACCCTGAAGTTCTACAACCGCGACAATAGTCAGTAGCATTCAGTATCTAATAGCTAGAGTAGATTCAGTAGCATACCCTGAAGTTCTCAGGAGTAGACGTATAGTCAGGCATCCCAATAGTCATTAATCCGGAGAATACCAGGTTTGGACAGTGTAGTTTCACATGTCTTGCTAGCTCTACAACACTGGAAGGTTCGATTCCAGATTTAGCTGCATCAATTTAAGGAACAAACAGTTAGCCAGTGGACGAAGCTGGATAGCCATATCAATTTACAGGACAGGGTGGAAGCTCGGTGGTAATATACTCACACACTTCTCCGCTTGTGTTCACTTGAACCAAAACCTTTAGTGGATGTCTCCCAAGGTTTGAAACAGCTCGATCTAGATGATTTGCTACCTGTGAAATTCGAGTGAAATCAGTCCCAGATGATTGCACCAAAATAAAAACATCCGATCAAAACCTCTTTGCAAAACTGAGAATATCTGTCACTGATTTCTTATCATTCTACTCTAGAACTATCCTCGTAACCTGAAATCTTGGAATTGCAAGACAATCTCACAGAACATCTCGTAATCCTTAGAGAATCCAATCTTACAACGGTGTTACGAGTGAAGTTATATTACCTTTTCGCCATCTACACCATGAACCATTGCCAAGTTAGGGACTCCAGCTGCAAAGTTTGGATTAAAAAAAGAGTTTCACTTTCACTTAACCCTTAAATCAATAGTTACAATTCACTCCATAAAACTTGGAGAGTGATTATATATTCCAAGAAAAAGGGAATTTGAAGTCACACTCAATAGCGTTTTGGCTTTGTTGCTCTGTAAATGCCCAACGAAATGCCACTCTATATCTCCGGGAAGCTGCAATTCACACAAATCGAACGAGAAACTCGTTAGCAAATTGAAAGATTCCCAGAAAAGGGAGAGACACATAAATAGTAGTAACTGAAGGAGAAACATCGGATTCTGAACTGTAAAGTTAGGGAAGTGAGGTTCAATCGATCTATAACAAAAACCACACACGAGATTCAAATAATACTACTGAGTGAGATTCGTTGGATAAATTCGTGAACCTGTGGAGCTTTATCGATGATTTCCTGGACGTAATTCTCGCCGAAGCAGCGGTGGCCGGCGTCGTAGATTTGGCGGATAAGTGAGACGGGTTTAGTCTTGGAGACAGCAAGGACCCTGACCCGCTCCGGATCTCTTCCTACTTGCTCCGCCGCCTTTCGAGCCCTCAGAATGACAGACCGGAGAGCAGTTGCGGCGGTTGCCTCCACCGCATGAGCTGCCATCGCACACACTCGCCTGGGCAATTTCGCCTTTTCCGGGAATTTATTTAATTTTTTTTGCCGTTGATCACAATTTTTTTACGTTATTTTATTAGGTTATGGCTTTTGGATATTGTGATTCACGACGGTCCACGAATTCAATAAACTTTATCTTTAACAAAATTGGATTAATGTAACACTAATCAAAATTACCTTTCGAATTCGATAAATTAGATCTTTAAAATAGATTATCACCATCATCAAATTATGCAATTCTGAATATAAATAATAAAATTATGAAAATCGAGTAAATTGATATGTGTAGTTTAGGAGCCCTCTGATGAGAGTTCTCCTTGTATTTGCATAAACAAAATCAAAATCGTATATTTTTTACATACTCTTTTAAGACGTTAATGGTATTCAAAATTACAACACCCCTTATTAATTCAACTGATATTGGACATAGCATCCAATGTAAATAATTGTTAAACTTTTTTTTTGTTTTCTGTAATAGACTTCAAATTTAATTAGCTTTAGTTAGTGTGTTGTGTGTGTATTATATATAACGACTCTCTCGTATGATATGATGTATCTATCAATCACGCGTAGTTACAGAGACCGTAGACGCATAGCTCGCCTAGCTCACACGGATTGTTACACTGTCCACAATGACGTTTGTCGTAAGCCAGGTAAACGCATTGGCCGCGACAACATGTTTGTGAGAACTTGCATTTGCTCTTACACGCGCCGCAGTTCTTGTCGTCATTGCTCACATCTATGCACTTGTTGTTGCAGCACGTCACCGTCGAGTTGCTTCCTCCGCCTCCGTAGAGATTACATATCTCAGGGTCCTTGTGGCAATGGTCCGCAGCGTTAGGGTTTCGCTCACCTACTTCCTTCTGAGCCAAGAACCTACTAGGCCTTATAGTCGGCGTACCCGGTACATCAAAGCTCGTGTTCTCCTTCTCCACTGTGGTGGTGGTTGTGATGACTGCGATTGTGATCACGGTTGTTATTGCGAATGTCACTAGTAGCTTCACGAGGGCCATTTTTTGGAGGTTTGGGATTGTATGTGTGTAAAAGGGAGAGATAGATGGGTTTCTTTCTGTTAAAGGAGAGAGAGAGGCTGTTCTGTTTTTTTCTTCTTCTTAGATAGACTCAGTAGGAGATAGAAAGAACTGATCAGATAGGTGAGGATGAAGGAGAGGATGGAGTTATGGTTTATATATATAGTTGTCGTCGAGTAGGGTTGACGCAGTAAATGCGGTGATTAGGTTTTATTTTCCGTAAGTTTGTAAGCATTTTTATGATTATAAGAATTAAAGAAGAAAAACTATGTGCATGTACATTGTTATGGTGCGTGCTTTACGCCTTAATTATACGAATGAAGGAAGAAAAACCAAATAAAATATGTATATATGTTACTTGTAAGATGATAAAACCAGTTGACTACTAGTCTGTAGATGTTTTATTTAGTTCCTAAATGATATTTTACCGCAAAGAGATAATTAATCCATCACCCCATTGGTCGACCCAAGATAAGTCAGGCGAGTTGAACGGAGAAGCAAAGGCGTCCCATTTCTTAAAATGATTGTTATTGGCTGCGAGAACCAATAAACATTGATTTCTCTTTCTAGTATTGGCAAACTTATTAGACAAGCCAGCTTGAACAAAGTAATCTATATACTGTGAACTTGTGAATTGATGAAAAGTTCATTTACAAGTTTGAATATATGTTTGAAAAATATATTTTTATATTTGAAAAGTTCATTACAAGTTTGTATATCTTTTTAACAAAAGAAAAAGGAAAAGTTTGAAAATATGAATAATTAGTATATATGCATGCAATATTACGTTAAACTATAGTAGAAGATTTCGACGAGATGAAGTTAACATACGCTCTACTTGACACGACATAGTTGTTAGCTTTTGACTCAAATTATATATCATGCATTCACGTTTGTGTATTGCCCACTCATCAGTCATCAGCTGGAAAGGAATTAATAGGTCGTGTGTTCGTCAACTATCTTTTTCCATCTATGTAGGTAGTAGTGATATATGCAGAGCAGAGGGCCAGGAAGTCAAACGATAAATTTTACGTTACAAAAGTCAACATCGTTTTTCTATTGGCTGTACTCTGAACCTACCTAGCTCTACGAAAATTATACCGTACGTCTACGGATTTTTATATTTTGCGTTAACTAATTTTTATATTTTTCATGAAAAAAAGGAAAAAAAAAAAGAAAAAGAAAAAAAATTATCATGCACGACGACGCGTAGAACTCTCGTACGAATAAGAGATATATTTACAACAAAGTCCGATACGAAGTATGTATAAATATTCTTAACATATTACAACAAAGTGACAAACAAAACAAATGTTGTATGTCAAAAAAACATTCTTCAAGTCTACCATTTGAACCTCGCGAAAATATAAAGACTGGTTTAAAGGCCCATTCACAATATTCATAAGTAGTATATGATGAATTATAGGGTGATCAAACAAAACAAAAATATTATGTCCTATACAGAAGAAAATAGTTTCAGATGGGACGAGAGAAGCATCAAAAGCTACTTGTAGAGTTTCTAGAGAAGTCTAGTTCGAATCTCACTGTTGATATACTGTAATATATTTATTTTTTGTTTAATTATACAATCATCCTTATGTTTTGTTTTCCTTTTCTATATAAATGTGTTAAATTTAAAATGATGCCGCAAAGTATACTGTATATAGTTCTTTTGACTGCAAAAGGAATCTGGAAGGCTTGATGAGTTTCCTCAATTGATATGGCTTTTGCTTTGGGGGGATCAGGGATAAGCTCATCTCACGATTCTTAATTACTAGTTCAACATTTTATATTATTTAGTTGCCATTAGTTCTACATATGATGTAAGATACAATTCAAATTTGCTTGATAGGACTGATAATCCTCGTATTATGAGCTATTTAAAACCCGTCACAAAGTAGATAGTATGGCAATTATTGACAATTTACGAATACATGAACACAGAGGAAAAGAGACAATAACAAAAGTATTGAAAATTGTAAACTAATATAATCTTGCTTTCCATTTTCGAAATAAAACAAATCTACAACAACATAAGCACTGAGCATAATATGGTCTTGTTTAGTGTTTCTATACATATACACTCAAATCTTACGGTTAATAAAAGATGTATACAACTCAATCTTGTTGACATACACACCATTTGTTGTCACAAATCACATGCATGAATCCGCGTTTTTCATCCAACCCCCCCACAGCTTACTATTAATATTATGATATATTTCAAACTCATTCCCATAAAACCGAATTTAAAAAGAAGAAAAGTAAACTCTGAAGTCCTCCAACTGTATTCTCGGAGCAAAAAAGCAAAGAGCCAATAAATATTCCCCAGCTTGCATTCTAATTAAAGACATTATCATCATCTGCATTCACATTACTGCTACTATTCGACCACACATTTTAATCTTTACAGCCCCGCATAAACGTACAACTAAATAAAATACTCACATATACTAGTAATTTAAACTTTGATCAAGTTTTAATCCACGTTAAATGGTCTGTACTTCTTCATTTGATCATCCACGCGCCTCCGTCACGTGAGTCATTCAATATTTGTTTCGTTTCTTTATTATGGTATCGGAGGATTGAAGTAACGGCGCCGTCCACTCTGGCTTCATGCCGTCAAAGCTGTCTTTGCCCATTCCTCGTCCGCCACGTACCCTTCTTTCACGCTCTTATTAAAAAATATTAAGTGCCACACAAAGAATGCTTTATTCATCTGTGCGTTGCCAAATATGTACGTATCTGTGTGGTTAGTGTGTGTGTGTGTTCGTTGCCATGTATTTCAGAACAAACTTCTCAATTAAGTAGTAGCATACACCCAATAAAATATATAGTAATACAGATGACTGACTCAACAATCATGCTGCTGTTATCAACATTTGATAAAGTTTGCACTCATTGAGAAAGTTTGCACTCACAGGGATGATGATCTTGCAGTGAACGTCATTCATTTCATACCATCCTCATTTTGGATATATTATTAGAAAAAATCATTTACTAAGTTTCATTTTGGTTGTCATTGGTATGATTCATGCTTAAATATTTACGAAATTCTCAGACTAAGCTACGCCTGTCATATTGTTCAATAATTTTCAACTTTTTGAGTATTAGATTAGACTGCTGTAACAGTAAACAAATAAGTAATAATAATTTATCCAAATATAGCTTAAGTGAAAGATAAGCTATTAAAGTAATTGGAGGAGAAGAACATCAAGTAATTTAAGAATGAAGAATGTTGTATCAGACTTCGAACCAAAAAGCCCCATGCCAAAGTCATATACACACACTTCTACATACCCAAAACACACACAATACATAAATATTCTTTTATATATAAAGCTTCTTATAACACTACCCATTTGCTTAAACAAATTCAACATCTCTTAATCATCTCTTTCCCCAAAAAATATTCTCTCATTCTCTAATTTCAACATCTACTCTGTTTTTTTCTTTTCTTTTGCTCTGTTCCAATGGAGATGAACTGGACAAGAGGACCAATCATAGGTCGAGGCTCCACTGCCACCGTCTCTTTAGCAATCTCATACTTCGGTGAGATCTTTGCTGTCAAATCCGCCGAGTTGTCTTCCTCAACGTTCTTGCAGAAAGAGCAATCGATCTTGTCTACATTGAGCTCTCCTCACATACTCAAGTACATAGGCTCTGGTTTAACGCTCGAGAGCGGTGTGATGCTTTACAATATTCTCATGGAATACGTTTCCGGCGGAAGTCTTCACGATTTGATCAAAAGTTCCGGCGGGAAGCTGCCGGAGCCGGAGATAAGTTCATACACGCGTCAAATACTTAACGGTCTGGTGTATCTCCACGAGAGAGGGATTGTTCACTGCGACTTGAAGAGCCAGAACGTGCTGGTTGAGGAAAACGGCGTTTTGAAAATCGCTGATTTCGGATGTGCTAAATCAGTTGCCAAGTCGGATTTTGCCGGCACACCGGCGTTTATGGCGCCAGAAGTTGCTCGTGGTGAAGAACAGAGCTTCCCGGCTGATGTGTGGGCTTTGGGTTGTACGGTGATCGAGATGATGACTGGATCAAGCCCTTGGCCGGGGCTAAACGACGTCGTTGCTGCAATGTATAAGATTGGACTCTCTGGTGAGTCGCCGGAGATTCCCGTGAAGATATCGGAGAAAGCTAAAGACTTTCTAATGAACTGTTTCAAGAAAGATCCGAAACAGAGATGGACGGTGCAAGAATTGCTTAAACATCCTTTTCTCGACGACGACGGATCTCAACCTAGTGAGTGCTTGAGCAAGACCTCATCTCCGAGCACTGTGTTGGATCAACGATTCTGGGATTCATGCGAAGTCTCGAAAAGTCATTTAATTCCGATGGATCATGAAGACTCTTTTGCTGATTACTCGAAATCATGGGATTCACCGGCTGATCGTGTCGAGAAACTCGCCGGAGATGACAAATCAAGTTTACCGGCTTGGAATACTGAAGACGACGGCGGGTGGTATCAAGTGAGAGGCGATGAAGAGGAAGACGCGATTTGCGTTGAAGCAACGTCATCGTCGGAAGCGATTGAAGATTGGATATCGAAACAAGACAGCTTGTTCTCGGAATATTCCCCTGACGACATCATTAATAATTTTTACTCTAATGTTACTATTCAAGGAAATTTAATTGCATTTTATTATTTTAGTGTTGAAGATACAAATCTACCTATAAAGAATGTGTTTCGTACTAGTAATAATGAGAATAAAGAAAACATTTTGTGTTTTTTTTTCAAATTGCTAGCTCGTTTTTTTAATACATTAACCAAGTTTCTGATGAACAGTGAACATTAATGTCCTATACATATACATACATTACTCACACTATTCATATAAAACTAACATTGGCGTTAAGGACTTAAGGTTATGTGCTGACGATTTCTAGGGACTATTGTACGTACAACTCTAAAAGGCAATTCAAACCGTATCTTTCAAAGTCGGAATAAGGAAGTGTTTGTGTTCGAGTTGGAGGCTAAGTCGATCTACAAGATGATGAGAGATTTGAGTAATAGATGAAGTCAATCTATCTATATATTTGGTGCGAAACGTATCTACTACATACAGACGACGTCATTTCTTATACAACTTTTTTGTGTGTTGACCTAAACCGCATAAGACCCCGTTATGTGAACGCATACGACTCTTTCTTTGGGGAGTGACATGAATCATGATCAAAGTCGGCGTTTAGTTAAGTTGCTAAAGCACCCAAGTACAATCTTTGAAGTAAATAAAGCTGACCAATCCCTTTAGTCTACTTTCACCGTCTAAAAATCTAAAAAGACACACGACCACCGACAATGACAATTTCGTCGGTCTTGATAGTTGATAGTTCTAAATTCTAATGCACATCCATCATTGAACATTCTGCCTTTGACACCAAACACCTAACAAAACACATGACTTTTAAAAGTATCAAATTAGCCGTACAGTTTTATTAGGTAACGTTTCCGGAAATCTGTTGAAACATTAAATTATATTTTTTTCGTACTTATCCAAATACAACAATTTAAGAACACCACTGATTACTGTATGATGAATCCTCTGGACGACAAAAAAAGCTCTCACTTTCACTTAGTATTTAATATATGTATTGTGTATTAGTACTTACTTCTTTATTATTTATTGATATACTATTAATTTAGGGTTAATTATTTGTTTCCTTTTAAAATCATTAAAGCATTGATCTCCACCGTAGTAAGCTAATTTATAAAAAATAAAACTAAAACAATAATAGTATTACAAACCATTTTTTCTCGTACCTTATCATTACACTATCCTTTAATATGTCATATCCTATCCGCATTACACATATATAACTGACTGTGAAGGGTTGATATTGGTGACTGTTGACTCAATGCTGATGTCCTGATGACTTTCAGATTCAACAGACTTTGATATAAAACGCTTCATTAAAGTGTAAATATGATACATGATTAAGCTTAAATACTAAGAATTTTACAATATAGATAACCGGAACTAAACCAGATCTATATACACTAACCATAACTAAACCAATACTATATACACTCTAATAATGACCTCATTAAACGAAGAACATACAAAAGCGTATTTTGTCATCTCATATATTCTCTTTTAGTATAAGTTTTGGTTTGTGACAGTGGTAGTTAAGTGGTGAATGCCCAAATTTGACCACCTTAACACATGTCATGATGTTATATCCAATACAAATACAATTTCATGATTTTAATCGTTCCAAATCTACTTCCAAACTTGAAATTTGTATTCGACTTCATGTCGTCTCAAAACTATAACATGCACATGTTACTAAATCATTATTTCAGGCAAACTTTTTATTAGAAATGAAAAAAAAAAAAGAGTTGACTTGTGAAAAATGATGGGAAAGAGTTAATGTTGGCAAACGCAGTCAATAGTAATATGATTATATGAACCTTTATATTTTTATCATTTTCTGTTCTGATCATCTTCCATGCCTTCCATTTACATGGCTGGAGTAGCTAGGTGTGTGTTATACAGACCATAATCAGTCCTTATCCATTTAAATCTCATTTGTTATTTGTTTGACATTCAAACTTTTAGAAATAATAACTTTTCTTTTTGTTGTTGTTGTTTCTAGAGGCTTATGTATTATTATGTCCTGTATGTATCTTATATTATCTATCAAAGTATATAACTCGTATTTACGTAATCACTCTTGGTATTTGGTACTTGTACCTTCATTATTATTATAAATTTTTTTTTTAAGAAGTAAGCTAGAAGATGTTACTATTTGAGTACGATGAAGCCCAGGCCCGTTATGCCTGTTATATAGAAGTTTATAAATCCAACAGAAAGCCCATGTAACATACGAGATGAAACGACGTCGTTAACTGAAGTGGGTTAGTGTTGACCAGTCAGTTTAGTGGACGGACACCCTTTTGAAAAATCGAAGGAGCTTTTTATTTGCAGTGAGTGAGTTAGATGATGATATCAATGGAGACTACGGCGGCGCCATTCTCATCGGTTGTTCCTTCCAGACAAAATATTTCTTCTTCGATTCGCGTTGCTTCTCCAACTTCTTTGTTCCTCTCCCGCAAGAATCCTGGCAAATTTAAATATCCGAGAAGCCTCTCCGTCCGCGCATCTTCTACCTCCGATTCTGGTACTTTCTTATTGACTTTTCCTGTTTTACTTCATTGGAAGGAACTATTTCATATTTCTCCCTCCTCTCTGAAGCTTTTTAATCTAAATTTGTATTCGTCTCTCTGGTGAGTGAGTAGTTGTGACTTTGCTTGACTACGGAGCTGGGAATGTTCGCAGCATCCGTAATGCTCTTCGTCATCTCGGGTTCAGCATCAAAGACGTAGGCTTTTCTTAATTCTGATTTTATTTCCATTTTCATTTCAGAGGCTGATATGATTGGGAAATGTAGTGTGATCTTATAAGTGTCGTTAGGCAAATACTGAAACGAACTTGAAATGTCAGGTTCAAACGCCAGGTGACATTCTGAATGCTGATCGGCTCATATTTCCTGGTGTTGGAGCTTTTGCTCCCGCCATGGATGTACTTAACAAAACCGGGTACGTATTGTACTAAGCTCTGTGGAGTTCTCGTTTCATTGATTGTATATCAATTACCACAGAGTAGCTCAAGGTCAGAGGTAGTCTTATGTAGCAAATCTCTAACCACATCTCATGCTTATATCATTTAAAGTGCTTTTCATTCTGAGGTGTTCGTTAAGCTTACAGTTGATCATTTTCTTTATATACGAACTTTCGGTTCTTGATGTTTCAGGATGGCTGAAGCATTGTGCACATATATTGAAAATGACCGTCCATTTCTAGGCATATGTCTTGGGCTACAACTACTTTTCGAGTCTAGTGAGGAGAATGGACCAGGTTTTGCTTGAATTCGATTGCTCCACTTCTTTTTATTTTCTAGAATCTTTCCGTCAATATATTCAACATGATCTACTTTATGATATCATGTATTTTCATGCTGTATTTTCTACTTAAGCATCTGTATATTTGTCTTAGTCAAGGGTCTTGGTGTGATACCGGGAATCGTTGGACGCTTTGATTCTTCTGCTGGTATAAGAGTACCCCACATTGGCTGGAATGCTTTGCAAGTGGGAAAGGATTCTGAAATTTTGGATGATGTTGGAAATCGTCATGTATATTTTGTTCATTCGTACCGCGCCATTCCGGTATGGACAATAATCTTGTCTTTCTGTCATTTTCATATACATACGTTTGTCTTTCACTTCTTCTACGTGTATTCTTAATCATCAGTTCTATAATTGTTGTAGTCAAATGAAAACAAAGAATGGATTTCGTCTACGTGCAACTATGGTGATTCCTTTATATCTTCCATTAGAAGGGGAAATGTGCATGCAGTCCAATTCCATCCCGAGAAAAGCGGGGGTATGAAATTTTAGTATAGTATTCTTCATTTCGGAGTCTATTTTCATATTTAGTCTCCTACTTATTCTGAATCTGGAAATTTTCAGAGGTGGGGCTTTCTGTTTTAAGAAGGTTCTTGCATCCAAAATTACCAGCGACACAGGTAGCTTTCACTCTAACCTTACATGTACAAGCTTCCTAATTTTTTGGTGTCTAATGGAAACCACATTTCACTTGAAGACAGAAGCCAATGGAAGGGAAGGCTTCAAAACTTGCAAAGAGGGTAATTAGCTTTTAATATTATTATTGTATGTCTGTTCTTTCCACAACTTTGCTCTCAACTATTATGGTAGGCAGCTTTTCTAAATTTTATTTTTTCTTTAGGTGATTGCTTGTCTGGATGTCAGGAGTAATGATAAAGGAGATCTTGTAGTAACTAAAGGGGACCAATATGATGTGAGAGAGCAATCTAATGAAAATGAGGTCTGTGAAAATTGTTGCTTCAATGTTATATGTATTGTATTAATCTTTGTGAAAAGATGAAACATTGTTGGGTATCTGGATGTTTTGTGATACGTCCATAACTTACCTGATAGGTTCTGGATTTAACTAATTATTCTCCTCTGAACAATATGCTCTGAATTTTTTAACTTTTCTTGCACAGGTTCGAAACCTTGGCAAACCTGTTGATTTGGCGGGGCAGTATTACAAAGATGGTGCAGATGAGGTATGCTTTCACAGTACTGTATATATTTGTGTTGCAATAACAGGTTAATATCTCCAAGCCTCTTTATTTATATTTGTTTTGACACTTAAACATGCTGCTTGTGGTTTTTAGATTAGCTTTTTAAACATAACTGGATTCCGCGATTTTCCGCTAGGGGATTTGCCGATGATACAGGTACCTAATTTTTTTCTCATTAGGATTGAAGTATTACTTCCATACTGTGTTATCCCTATCTCCGATTTAGATCACTTTCCATGCTTTATAGGTGTTGAGGCACACATCAAAGAATGTCTTTGTACCACTAACTGTTGGAGGTGGTATTAGAGATTTTACAGATGCTAGCGGCAGGTAATTAGTCATTTCAGCTTGCTTCTATATTGTACAGAGATTATGTTGTTGTACAGGGATTATGTTCGTTATTTTTTCGTTTTTTATGCAAGGACGTTGCAATTTCTATCCTTTACTCAATTTAATATTAAGTTACTATGGTTCAGGTACTATTCTAGCTTGGAAGTTGCTGCTGAGTATTTCAGATCTGGTGCTGATAAGATATCCATAGGAAGTGATGCTGTTTACGCTGCAGAGGAGTTTGTGAAATCAGGAGTAAGCTTGTACTTGCCAGTCTAATTTATCCGAGGTTTTGTTCATGCTAGTATCTAAAACTGACGGGACATTTAATCCCCTTTTCCTTTCTTGTAGGCGAAAACAGGGAAGAGTAGTTTAGAACAGATATCCAGAGTTTATGGAAATCAGGTAATTGGTTACCTAATCCAGAACAATTGGCTTTGTTTTTATTTAAACCAGCTTGCAGAAACTAAAGGATGCTAGTTGCCTTAGACAAGGAAGGATATTAATATCTTAGTTACAGATGAAATAAACAGTGCATATAATTTTGGCTGCGTTTAGATATTTGTTTCATATATCATCTAATTTGTGTATGAAGTCGGCAGCAGCTTTTCACTTAATAATACTTGATAGAATTTTTGTCTTCACAGGCAGTGGTTGTAAGTATTGATCCTCGTAGAGTTTATGTGAACCATCCTGATGATGTGCCATACAAAGTCATCAGAGTAGCTAACCCAGGTATGCTGGTGTTCTCACCTCAAAACGAATATTATGTAGGCTGGTTTATATCGTGCACTAGTTTGAGCGTCCTCATGAATTAAAAGTCTAAGGAAAGTGTTTTTACTTCTACCGTTAACCGAAACTCTAGTTTCCTAAAGGACATGATATGGTTCATCTTGCATCAATCTCATTTGAGCTTTTCGTTGTTCACCCTTGAGTTCCTTGAACTATACTAAGAACGTAGTCGCATTGAATATAGTTTCTTCATAAATTTGCATACAAATGGAGTAACCTGGATTTAACCTTGTTGGTGTTAGGCCCGAATGGGGAAGAATATGCCTGGTATCAGTGCACGGTAAAATTCCTGCCCTCCTTTGCAGTTTATTATTGATTTGTCTCATTCCCTGACAACTACTGGATCCTCAACTAAAAGGTCAGTGGAGGACGAGAAGGTCGGCCTATTGGAGCGTATGAGCTTGCTAAAGCGGTTGAAGAACTAGGTGCTGGTGAAATTCTATTGAACTGTATAGACTGTGATGGTAAGTACACTCAACCAGTCCTTCCGAACTTTTAATTGGTTTCATATCTGAATATTTGAAGCACCATAACACGCGACAATGAGTGAATATGAACCATGGAAAGCAAAATCACACACAGTCACTTATAAGCCTTGTTGGTTTAGGAGTTAAGATCATTGTATGCTAAAATTCTCTCCTTATGAGTTATGATGCCTTCCTTCTCTGCGAGTTTCAGGTCAAGGAAAAGGATTTGACATAGACTTAGTAAAGCTCATCTCAGATTCAGTAGGCATACCGGTGATCGCAAGCAGTGGAGCAGGCACTCCTGGACACTTTTCCGAGGTGTTTGAGAAGACAAATGCATCTGCGGCGCTTGCTGCCGGCATTTTCCATCGGAAAGAGGTAACCTTTTTTTTTACTCTTGTTAAAACCCTTGGCTAAATATTATACCTCGTCTGGTAACACTGTTATACTACCTTTTGTATGAAGGTACCAATCCAATCCGTGAAAGAGCACTTAAGAGAGGAGGGCATAGAAGTTAGGATCTGAGAATTTTTGGTCTACGTGTTACCATTATTCATGTCACATTCACAAGAAGATCAAAATCTTTTACATTCAATAAGTAATTATAAGTCGGAACAATCGGAGCTCTAGCAGATCTGAGTGATTTCTCTTATAATTGATTTCCTTACGTTGAGAGCATGTTAATTTCTTGATTATTTTCAAGGTAGTATATGGATTTGTGTTTTTTTTCAAATTGACAGTAAGAAAGTATACAAGTTTTCAAAAGTATTTACTTTTCAGTTCTCTGGCATAAAATGTTCATTTCTATTATTATAGGAACGAAAGCATATAGACCTTTCTCTAGTCTAGACTTTATTAACTAAGCATATGAAGTTGTAATGATCCTGATGAGGGCTTGTGAAAAATGAAGAAATACATTGGTATGTTTTGAGTCATAAAAAATCATTCAAGTTGAAGAACATCAGAAGGGTCTTTTATTGATTTAATTATTCAGTCAAAATTGAACATGTGTATCAAACTGTGTAACAATTAAGAACGACACTGAGGCCTATTCTTCCCATCCGGCAATACTCCGGAAACTGTAAAGAAACTTTAAAGAGAATTTTGTTGTTAACCCACAAAGGTTTAAAAGACACTGAGGTCTATAACTGGCAAAGCCAGGCACTTTCTGGCTCCTCAAAACCGATTTTTTTCATATGTCAAGAAGAAGCCTTTGTGGATCCTCCACAACATCCTTGACACGGCGCAGGAAGTATACAGCCTCTCTCCCATCAATCAGCCTGTGGTCATAAGTAAGTGCGACGTACATCATTGGTCTTGGCACTACGGTTCCTCCTACTACCATTGGACGTGACACAATCGAGTGCATACCAAGTATAGCAGACTGCAAAATTGCAAGTTTCTTAGTTAAATAAACTTGTTTCTGATCAAGACCTGAGAGTGGAACTGAACTAAACCTGAGGAGGGTTAATGATTGGAGTGCTTATGAGACTTCCATAGACACCACCATTTGAAACGGTGAATGATCCTCCAGCCATCTCATCTATTGATATGGTTCCTTCATTTGCCTTCTTAGCAAGCGTGTTTATTGTTTTCTCTATATCGGCAAAGTTCATTTTATCAGCACCTCTTATGACTGGTACTACAAGTCCCTGGAAAAGAGACACACAAGATAAAAATTTAAGCAACACATACCTGATCGCAATAAGGATGCAATTTAGCACAAACCAATGATACCTAGAGAATGTGATCTAACCTTAGAGGTACCAACAGCAATACTGATATCCACATAGTCTCTATATATGATATCATCCCCGTCGATAACTGCATTTACAACTGGTTGATGCTGGAGGGCGCTAACAGCAGCCTGAGATAGTTAACAAAGAATTTGCATTATTTGTTACTCTTTGAATCTGGCATTGTATAATTAATATCGGGACAAAGTAAGTAATACATACTTTAATGAATCCAGACATAAGCCCCAACTTTACTCCATGTTTTTCATAAAAGGCATCCTTGTATTGGGATCGGAGCTTCATCAAATTTGTCCTACACAAACAAAGGAGCTCCATAATTAGCAAACAGCATCAAACTGACTAGTGTTCAGTGCACCAAAAGTACTCACATAACTGAGATAGACATATCAACTTGGGGGATCTTAGCTGTTACTCACATATCAACTTCATTGAAAGTTGTCAGCAATGCGAAAGTATTTTGAGAGTCTTTCAATCTAGTTGCAACACGTTTCCGAAGTCTTGTCATTGGAACCTGCAGTGTTGTTAGATGTCATATCACCAATCATGTTACTGTAAACTATTAAGAAGGGAACAAACCCAACTTTCTGTTAACCTCTGACCACAGTAATTTAAAGTATTAAAGACAGCAATAAGAATAATGAGAGATTTTGCATACCCGTCTTTCTCTTTCCTTAGGAGGAAGCTGTGGTTCTTTAGCAGACTGTTTAGGTGGTGGTGGCGAGGACGCTGCTTTGGGTTTATCTGGTACAGGAGCATTTTCCACTTTGGACTTCTGCTTATCTTCAGCAGGAGGAGCAGGTTTAGGCTCAGATGTCTCTGGTACCTTCTGAGTGGGGGCAGCATGAGATACAGCCTCAGACTTTGAAATAATGGCGACCTTGGTTCCTGGTTCCACAGTATCTCCTTCCTTGACTAGAAACTACATTAGAAGACCAAACCAAACAACTCAATGTAACTAACCATAGACAGAAAGAGGACAACAATAACGAGTTACAACACATCAAAAATGGCAAACATGCTTACCTCTTGGATCACACCACTTGCGGGGCTAGCGATATCTATTGTCACCTAATGCAGAAAGATGAATCAAAAAATAGTATTCGAAGAAGTTAACCCATAATCTTCAAACTGTCTTCCAATAAAGCAAGAAAAAAAATTATTGATACCTTATCAGTTTCAATTTGTGCAATAGCCTCATCAGCCTCGACTCTCTCACCAGGTTCTGAAAGATAAGCATCACATGAACCAACCAAAGAACATTTAGATATACATCTACACATCAGGAAAGAACCAGAAAAGAAAATGCAAACGAGAAACTTACTCTTCAGAAAGTTTGCTAAGGTGCCATCGGTGATAGATTCCCCCATATGAGGCACAACAGCTTCCACGGTATCTCCTTCAGTAACATTAACAAGAAAGCGTGTAAGACAACCCTACAAATCCAATCAAAGCTACACTAACAGGAGATTATAAAAGCCAAATTAAGACGAAAGTTTCATAAGAATCTATATCAGAACTATAAGCTCCTGAATTTCTTCTAAGCAATCATAGAATCTCAAATATGGCAAACCTAGTACCTCAACTGAAAAAGAGAAAGAGCTCAGGTAGAACATTCGTACCACTTTCAGATGAAAAAGGCCTGACCCATCTTTGCAGGGTAGATGAAACTGAGCTCGCTGACCTCAAGCAACCAGACGTCCCTACTAGTGGGATGCAAACAAACAAGAAAGTGCATAATCCTTAGAAAGCTAGACCCCCAAAGTCACATTAAAAAGTAGTAAGAAATACCTGAAGAAGCAAGGTTATGGAAGCTATAAGCATGAGTTCCACGATGCAGTAATGTCTGTTCAGATTCTCACATATATTCAAATGAAACTTTATTAGTAGATTACTAAAAAATAAAAAAGAGAGCTTTAGATTACAGTTTTAAGGTACTTAAAAGAAGTCAGAATACATGAAATCTGTTCACAAGATTCAAGAGCATATAACACCGACTCCATTAGGGATACATAGAAGTCTAATCATAAGATTCAAAACCATATAACATCAACTCGAATGGGAATAGAATCCGAAAACATGAAAAACAAAACGTACCCCTGTTTCTGAACCTCTTAGCAAGCTTGGAGAAGATGCCGCAACACGAGAAGATTGCAGTGATTTTCCAAATAACTGAAACAATACAGAGAGAGAGATAAACTTATCACATTTCAATGAACAGATCAAAACTAGCACCAAACGAGATATAAAAAGAAAGAAACAGAGCACTAACCGAAGGAGAAGAGCCTTTACTGGCAGCTCTCCTTATAACAGCACGCAACATCATTGGTACCAAATCTCTGTTTTATTCAATAACACAGGTCGGAAAAATTTATCAGTAAAATGGAAAAATTTATCAGTAAAATGGAAAAATTAAAAAAAGGTAGGATGTTCGATCCTCATCTAGAGTTTGACAGCGAAATGAAGAGCCTTAAAACCAAAAAGCAAACTCAGATTCATATATTTTTTATTCCCCCGATTCAGATATATCTCGCTGCCGAAAACAAAAATGACTTTAAGAAAGAGTTACAACTGAAAAAAACTAACCGCAAGGCTGAGAGGACACGCAGAACGGCGAATCAAAATGTTAGGGTTTGGATTTGGAGAAACGAGAAGATCGGGAAACGCATATGACTTTTGAGCAAGTCACCGGAATATGGCAAAGTTCATAAGGCTCTGTACTGTGATAGCCACGTGTAGAACTATCATTCGTTAAAATTTTATTTTATTTTTGGGCACATTTTGATGAATGTAGAACAGTAGTAGTAGTAAGTTGTACAATTTTGACGAAAGAAAAAAGATGTTCACTCTTGACCCCCAAATAAAAAAAAGAATTACACAATTGAGTTGAAAAAAATGTTCTCTTTCATATTGCTGGTTTCGCAAATAGAGTTATGTTAGTTGGCTTCCACTTCTTGGTCATTTGTGTTTGTTTGTTTTTTCTTTTTTTCTGAACGTACCTATTTTGTTGTATGAAGAACCAAGAACATTATCATTGATGGTTTCTCTTTCTCACAGTAGAAGGATGTGTTGTGTTGGCTGGATTTTAGACGATTGCCTCTCAAGGGATTGTGTGTATACACTAGGAGAGTTTTCTTCTATGCTTCTGATTTTCTTTTAATATGGTCTAAGTCTTTTATTGAATAGTGTTGTGTTCCTAACACAAACACACAAGTACAGCTATTGCTTCACCACAACCATGGCAAAAGACAAAATGAACAAAAGAAGCAAATACATAAAGAACTGAAGAAGAAAAGCTCAAAACTTGACTCTGAAGATGAGCTCAGGGAGTCTGCATTTTCTGTTGTGCAAAGAACTCCAGACCTTCAGACAATGGAAAGAAACAAAAAATCATACAGAAACAAGAAAGGAGGGCAAAAAGCACCCTTCTCATCTCACCTCACAAGATACATACATACATATATAGAGAGGGTGTTGAGCAGTTTGGAATGTGTGCCTATACTACAAAGTGTCAAGCGGATTTTGCCTCTGTACTCTTCTTCCTCAGTGTGTTTCTTCTGTTATTTTATTCAGAAAGACGCAGCCAAGAGAGCATTTGGGCCTTCTCCACACCTCCGATGTACATCCTTCATCCGATCCGCTGATCTACAAATCCCACTGCAGCTCCAATCGAACGAGGCAACACAGATGTTGCCTGCCTGAGCCTTCCACTCACAATCTGCAGTTTCTCATTGATCAACATCTGAACTGATAAAACTTTCATACATGAAAATGATTATGGGAATTTGAATTTTTTACCTGTTGTACCACAACATAGCCTACGGTCATCTACATGCTCCACATCCAATCCAAGAAACCATGATCCTAAAGAGACATCCTCATTCACGTACTTGTGAAGGACGTTTCTGTATACACAATTTGTCCTTTGTTAACAGGCAATCAACCTATGAGCATATAAACATATAAAGCAGTTTAGCTTGTGGGAAATAACTCACTGGTTTATCGATATATAAGACGCCAATTCCCTGGAAATTGCATAGAGCTGACCCGTGGCATGGCGGAAGTATTTGTTACCCTCTTCTCCAAATTTCCAGTACTCGGGTTCATGATATCTCACTCCTCTAACAATGACATTTCAGAGAGGAATGAAAGTGAGACAAACATTGGAAATGAGAAGTGGTCTCTTGAAGGTGAAAAAACTTACTTCTGAGCAAGAACGGGTCCAGATTTCATGCAACCAATATAGACTCGGGGTTTCATCCGGTATCTCGCTAATTCTGCTCCAAGTGTGGCTGCAGAAATATCCGTAACAGAAGTGAGCAAAGGTACAAACTTGAGATTACAAGAACCACAACAGTTCAGATAGAGTAAGAAGGTTTATATTCACCTATATTTACATGCACATCATCATCGACTTTCACATAGAAGTCTGCATCCCACAGTGCAAAAGCGGTGGTGAAGTAAGTCTTAGTCTTTGCTGACAGCTCTAGATAACCTTCAACATGATCCTGCTCAAACAAACTTTAGACTTAAAAAAAGGGAAAGCCGTGATATTGGTAAAATATGACTACCCTGAACCTGTCCACAACAAGTATAATTCCATAAGAAACATGACCAGCAAAAGTCTTACCAGCCTCAAGAAGTCTCCATGTTTACTTTCTTCAGCCTGAATCGCTCTATCAAGAATTCCACCCGGAGTGGCACTGCTCACAAGAAACACTCGATAAGGAAATATATATACATGAATCAACCACACAAACCATTATGTGTGCCACTCGAAGGTAGAAGTTTTACCTATGGCCTATTACAAACCGCATCACGATCCCTTTCTCTTCCTCGAGCTTCTTTCTATCCTCACCTAAAGAAGACCCATGTTCAGTCCCAAATAATATACTTACGACTGAAAAAAACACTGCTAAGATGAACATACCGGGAGGCATCCAAGTAGCACGAACTGAATCCCTGCGCTTCCTGCTGCTAAACGCGGTATTTACTCCAACAACCATCAGATACTTTCTTTTGGTGACAGTTTCAGGGAGCTTAAAATCATCAGAAACGGGTGAACCATTCATGATGGATTCTTGTGCGGCTCTTGCAGCTGCCAATTCTGTTTCCAGAGTTGAAATCGTTTTATCAAGCGTTCTGCATAACACCATACAAGCAAAACCCGAAAAGCTTAATGCGAAATCCCAATTAAAATATAAAAGAACGGCTTTAAGTTCCATATCATATATTTTTTAACTTACTGAATGGCATCTGGACTCTTGTAAACTTCTCCAAGGATGTCTTTTGATTCACGCTTCAAACCCTTCTGATAAACACATGAAGAGCGCTATGAACGGCCAGGACTCAATTGCTCTAATATTTCACGAGTATCAATCCACCTAAATGAGAAGACTTACTTTTGATGAATCACAGTCCTCTGACTCCAACCGCAGCCGTTCATCTGACGCTACTGTGTCCCTTGATACAAGATTGGCTTCAGGCTCCGGCCACATTCTATCAACATACACAGTCAGATAAGAGCACTCATCAGCTTATGACTTTCAGAAGAAAATGTAGCATAATGATTTGATTACTGGTTCTTCCATGAACCATACAAATGCATCTCAAGCATGCTATCAATACAATTTGTCTATAAATGCATCTCAGACTATATAGTTTTCAATAATTATTATACAAGTAATACAACTTTGGCAAATAGCGAATGAAATTAATATCATTGTAATTTTTTGTTTTATCAAAACAGGAAAACTTAACCACATTTTCCCGGAAAAAAAAAAAAGAAAGAGAAGAATAAATTGTGTATTCCTCCAAATATCCATAACTTCTCACACCATGAATTCTCAAAATTCGTTTAAATTTAAAAATCTGGGTTTTATTTACACGAAAGGGAGAAAATTTTAACCCACCGACAGTCCAAAAGGAGAGAAAATTTAAAACGTAAGAACAGAGCAGCTGTTTTAGTATACCTGTCGGAGAAGAGGATTCCCGCGCAGAAGAATCCGATACAGAGAAATAAAGTCCATTTCTTTGAGACAAAACTCTTCGAAGCAGAGAGCTCTAATCCTCCTCTATGATGCTTCGACGACATTCTCTTGTATATTTCTAATTACGAATCTAACGAATGCTAAACAAGACCAAAATAAAAAAAAACCTCTCAAAGAGCTACTGAAGATGAGAGACATCCATCCCAAGACACGACTCACACCCCCGAGTCTTCCACAAGTCAACCCGCAAGACTAAACCTCCACAGCTCTCAGATCCAATAGATCGAGACTTTTCTCCTCGGAAACGAGAATGTAAACACACAGAAAGTTCAGGTTGTGATTTGAGATTGATCCTATGAAAAAGACGAATGTATGAGAAAACGACAAGAGAGAGAGAGAAAAAAGCCCGTGGCTTTGTTCTTCGCTTTTGTGCGTAGAATTCGAAGCTGGAAGAAGATGAATCGAATCTTATCCTTATTTTGTGTGTTGGGATAATAAAAATTATAATTTAGTTTTTCTGCTTTATTAGTTGATTTTGCACTTTGGTGTAATAATATCAAGTCGATTGGATTAAGTGCAAAAAAGACTAATTAAATCTAAAGCTACCGACTTGGCCACCCGACGAATAAATTGACCAAACGAACCTAGTCAAAACTACAAATAATAAACAAATCAAATTACAGTTTTTTTTTTCAGAACAAAGGCTTTGGCGAGAAGAAAACATAAAAACATTTTTAACACTTTCAGTCTTTCATTAATATTCATTGTCGATTACTGAATCATTTGTTTATATGTGTATAAGTTACTAGTAGTTAAAAAGAAAAAAGAAAACCACAAGATGAACAATAATGGTCTTAAACCAACAAATGAATAGGTTGAAAAACATAAACGATAATGAATAGTGTTGGATAGGAAAGTTTTAATTGAACAATTTGCAATCACATGTGTTCCCAAGCTGTCCAAGGATGGCGACAAAGGGAATCAACAATGACCACGTGTGCTCCACATGATCCTCCATCAAACCATTTCCTCCTTACACCTCACCTTATACTCACCTCACCTTTTTTCTATATTTTGTAATCTTTTTCTGGACTTTAAAAAAAAAAAAATTATACATAAAGAGATCCTCACACTTTCGTTGTCATCGACGGTTCGAATCGTGTAATTCAATGAATCTTAAGTTCACACAATCTTTTCTTTACTTGCAAGTCTTTTTGATAACCTAACTTTAGGTGAAAATTTTCGAAACCTTCGTTTTCAACAATAGTTATAGTATATATTATGCCAAATGAAACATATCTATATATACATCCTAGCAAACTAGACTTCTTCTAAAAATGAATTCACCTAATAATTCATTTGCTAATTAATCACAATGTAAATATCTAGACATTCGAGAGGTTCATATATGTATTATCTAAACATTTATATATATATACAAGCTCTTGGTCTACTCAAGAAATCCAGTTTGCTTCAATATTGCATTCCTGACCTTGCTCAAATCTCTTCCTTTCAGTTTTCTTCCAACTCCTTCCATAACTGAAGACGACGACGATCTACTCCGCCCCATGAAATATTCCTCCGGTGATACATTATCATCATCACTATCATCAACCTTCTTGTTTGTCTTCTTTGTGTGAACCATTGACCAATCAGGGACATTAACAGGAGCCGAGTGTTGTGTCATGGGTGCCATTCCTTCTATCCTCTGCCTCTCGGGAATCATTCTTGGTTCGCTTGGAAGTAAATTTTGTGTTGTGAAACTAGGTTTAGCGGTATGGTTACTAATCACAAACGATGATTGATATCCATCATCAAGAACATCCCATACATCATCTTCTTGAAAATCATCGTCTCTCCAAGAACTCCATACCTCATGTCTCATGTCGTTCCTCTCCATTGTTCCCTCACCTGCTTGTACAAAACATAAGAGACGACCAATAAAAAACTTCAATTAGACCCAAAAAAAAAAACTCTTAGCTAGTAGCTAAGCTAGCCACAAAATCGCATATGAGACGTACAAGACTGTGAGGATTTACGCACCTTTTGTTTGATTTATTGAAGGTTTAGAGAATATAATTATACAACGAGATTTATAGAGTAGAATATGTGTCAAGTGAAGCAAAGTAGCTTGAAATTTTGAGAAGAGAAAGGAAGAAAGTGACACAAGAGGTGTGGGATTGAAGAACAAATACATAGATTGGTTCTATTTTGTCTTTATAGATATGTTCCAAAGACGTGAGAATCTATATACATTTTTACGTCCGGACACGAATTACATATGATCATAATGAAGATGAGTTTAACGGTCAAACAAAGTGCACTACACTACTACTACTACTACACTAAAGCATACGTGGCCAATTTTGCTTTTAGTTTCTTTCATCACGGAAAGTAAATGTAATCATGAATTGAATTTGCTCTACAAGTAAATGGGTACCACATGCAATATGTTATTTATAAATATCGATAATTCATGTTTTTGTTCTTAAAAAAAAGAAGCCAAAAAGTACTTCATAGATTCATCCCCTTGGAATATCGAAAATTTGGAGTAGCTGGCTTGACAAAGGTCCAATTCAGACGTCTGACTTGGTAATAGTGTTCTTTTTCTTGACAAGACATCAGCGTTTTCATTGATATTGACCATGCATGCATGTTCCATATATATAGTTGGTGGTCATGCACTGAGCATAGTTTGAACGAAGCCACTACATCAAATTAATCAAGATTTCGTATAATTATTAGTTTGTTTATTCGTAACAATTTCATAAACTATCAAACATAATAAATGGTTGTGTAGTTAGATTTTTTTTTTAATTTTTTTTTTTTTGGTATTTCTCCATATTAACTGATGTAGAAGATCGACGAATAATAGTAAATCTTTGAAAACATTCAATTAACACCGAGCTACATGCTTTATATATAATCTATGGCGGCTAATTAAGGTGCATACTATACATTAATTGCATTTGCAATCAATACAGGCGTGTAAGAAGAATTAAAAAATATACATTTAGTTATTAGTAATGTGATTTGCTTAATTTATAAGAACAAATAAAACATTTTAGCTTGAAAGGAAGATTTTTCAGTGGATGATGAGCGGTTGAGCGCTTGGCCTTGGGCCCCTTTTGCGTAGCCGTCATTCATCGAACTTGGTTGTTCTCTTATAGGGAGTATTAAAAAAAACAATATCGCTCACTTCAAGATTTTTAACTTATCTTTGCTTACCTAATCAATTTGAGCCATGATATATGAAAGCGAGAGTTTTGTATATATTCTGGACCTTCGTCAACTATACATGTCGTGGTCCAATACCAAAACCAAAAGTATTGATTCGTCTATGGATCGGTACTGAAGTATTGATATGAGATAAGTTAGAAGTTAAAGAATCACCCACCATAGTACAAAATCAAACAGCAACAAGTGAACTAAGCAAAATTCATACTAACATAGGCCACTTCTATAAGGTTTTAAGTAATGGTTATACTTTGATGTCAAATGTCTGCAAGTTTAAGTGTAAGAGAGTTGTTGGTCTAGTAAGCGACATTCATTCAGTAAATGGACATACTTGTATGTCCAATTTTGAAGATGTATGTATGTATGTCTATCATGATGCACTGATCCTAATATTACTCAACGAATACCACATTTTAGTTTAGATATAACCATTTCCACTCTTGTTTCTTAGTTATTCAATTGTTTACTAGCAAATCATCACACTCGGTCTTGATATCTCACAATAATTAGATGTTAGAGCATCAAATTTCCCCGTTGGTTATACTAACTAAACCAGTCAATACGCCGTATTCATCATAGTCACAGAAAACAGAATAAACAGAACAGGAGATGCAATATTGCGATGTTGATGCTGGAAAAAGCAAAGACCAAATGATTCGGATGTGCTTGGCTACTTAAGGGTCGATAAACTTCAAAACCAAACCCAAGCAATTGAGTTTAACGACAAAATCTTTGCAATAATCCACACACGATAGAGTAAATTAAATGAAGAAGTTGAATAAAATCAGTCATGCAGGAGAAATCTAAATGATCCAAACTGGGAATATAAATCCATATTGAATTAACAAAAGTGAAATCAATCTTGAACTAGAGATGGTGAAAGAAACATAATTTATTTGAGACATTTAACTTGCATTGATAAAAGTCTGAATGAGTATTGAAGATCTTTCCCCAAGTGTAAATATCAGTTACAAATTTAATCTACAGAAGAGGGAAATCACCCTTTAAAGCTTTGGGGGTTCAATGAGCAACTAAAGCATCATTACTCAACAAGTTGCTATTACCATTAGTAGATTCAAGTACGGAGTTTGGAGAAGGGACGTTCAAGTTCAAACTCATCATCGTCTCCAATCCCACAGATCTCGCAGGGCCAAGTTTCTTCCGACCGATGCGATACGGACCATAGATCTTGCTCAAGAGATGGGGCACCTGGTCCATGGTCAAGGTCTGCGGCGCCAAGACAAGAGCGTTCTCTGTTGAAGACGAAGACGGCGGGTCCGAGAGAGAGTGAGACAGGAGAGAATTGGATCTAGCGTTGATTCTAGAGTTACGGATCTGAGCCAGAGCCCCTGGTTTCATGTAACGGTGGAAACCGTCGTTTCTTCTCACCGGAGATTTGGAGATTCCTTTCATCGGGTCCGAATTGGAGAAGAAGATATTATCAAAGGACCTGAGGATGAAGATTGGGAAAACAAACCGAGGGATTTTGTAAAGGAAGGAGCGGGGTACGATGAGTGGCGGGAAAACTGGTATTGGAGATTTTTAAGAGGTGGGAAATAAAAATTGAGTTTTTAGGGTTTTCAAAAGGTACGTACGGTTTGGTCATGTGGTCTTAAACGCCGTGTGAGAAGGAGGCGGCTTTTGTTTTTCTAAATTAAACCGAGACTAATACCGGTACTCCATCTCTGGTTCATATAATCACAATCTAAACCGAGACCCTCTGATTTATCGGGTCGGATATTCTTTAAATATTCGTAACCGGGTCGGATCTTTTTAATCCAGACGGAGCAGGACTCGATCGATCAGGCAATTCTGGGAGTGTTTTGTTGTGTTCAATTTTCTTTTGGGATCATACAAAGGAGAAGAAATCGGCGTCGGCGGGAGAAGCTATGTCGAGGCTATGGGCGAGATTTGCGGGATTATTCAGTAACAAGAGTTTCATCGGAGCTGACAAGACTGGTAACAAGTACTTTTCCAGAATGGAGGAGATTGACGGATTGGGCGAGTACATTGTTCTTCGAACCTCTTTCCTTCTTTTTATTGTCTGCTTAAACTTTTTGTTGGATTTTGCTCATTTACGTGAGATTTATTTCTTCAAATTAGAATTTCTTTGGTTATCTACGTGTGATCGTGTAATGAGCACTGGGAATCATGTATACGAATTTTGATTGGAGTTATGTGGAGTCCCCTTTGTGCAGTAAGTTGTTCTGATGTGCTGCTTTATACTTTTCAGTGAAGGAGAAAAGATGGGTTATCTTTAGACGAGAACAGGACCCAACTTCTATTCCTGGTAACTCTTCTTCAAAAACTCATCAAATAGCTTGTTATATTTATCCATATGTTCATTTTGCTTGGGTTTAAGATTGATCTGCCTCAAAGCACTCAAGTCGTCAGATTTTAAACATAAGACACATGTATAAGAATCTAGTTACAGTTTTTGTTTGATCATTTTTGTAGTTGAATGGATATGTTGGCTAAATGGGCAGCGAAAAAGGGCTCCTACTCCTGAGGTAAGATAAACTCCTTTTTAACCAGGATTATCTTTTGTCAGCATAGTGTTCATTCCATGGATAGATTGGCTATATGCCTTTAGTTTTTGGCCCTTGATGTTGGTGTTCCTTACTTGTCCAGGAAATGGTTGAACTTGAAGAAAGGCGTGAGCGTGTGAAGCTTAATGTTGCTCGTAGGTGTTCTAGATTATTAATACATTTTCCACAACTTATCTATCTTTATAAACGTCTCAAGCTTGTTTTTTCCTGGTCTCATTGATCCTTGATGCAAATAGTTTATGACTTTGAGGTCTTGATTTGTGGAACCTTCAAGTTCTGAATTAACAAAGTAGAGAAATGATTTTTCTTTTGTGACTTAGAGAGTCAAGAATTTCTTTTTCCCCTTTTCCATTTAATATGTTGCTTCAAGTTCTATGCAAATGGTAATTTTTTTTTTTTGCCTTCAATCCCTTTTCAAGTTCTCAAGAAAGAAGAGGAAGAGAGGAAAGCCAGAGAAGGCACTGGACGCAAAGTCATGACCATGGGTAATTAACATTTAGTGCTCACTAAAAATTTGTTCAGTTTGTTTTTCCTATATGAAGTGGCTCTCCTTGGTTTGAAGGTAAAGTTGACGGTCCAGATTTGACAAGCTTTGTTCGCCAATTTCCACCGGATTCAAAAGGTATTACATTTTCTCACTCAGTTGATTAAGGGAGTCTCCGTAGAGTGTAAAGACTAACTTCTTATTTCTTTTCCTGAATTCCCTTGAATAATTTGACAAATATTATTATGGGCAGGCATTTATATTTTTGTGGTGTTTGACCCATCAAATAGTGTCCATTACACTTAATTTACATTAGAGCTAAAGCTGTGTTCATAAAGTATCTTTGGAATAACGTCCGTTGTGTGATAAGAAATACTTTTGAGGGAATTGTTGATCCTTTTTCAGCTTTTCCTTGTCTAGCTATTGCACTGATAATTATAGATCATAGATTGATACATCACTTTAAAGTCCGTAATTATGATGAACTCCTGATAGTCAAAGGGTTCCCTCTATGTCCTTTGATTGTACTAGCTTAGAAGGGAAATAAGAATTGTTCACTATGCCATTTGTTGATATAAGGGATGAAATTATAACAGTTGCTAGTTTTCCTATAACTACAATGAGCTTATTATGCTACCATAATCTCGATATGTAAGACTGACGGTCTAATTGTTTGTTTGTTTGTTTGTTCGTTCATGATTTAAGGTGATAAAACAGAGGAAGCTAGTGAAGAAGCAGATAAATCAAGGTGAATCATTATGATTCAAAATATCTCCGCATCAATCATATCTAATGCTAAATCTTCTTACATTCTGTATCTTTTCTTGATGCAAAACACAGCATTTTTCACAAGACCACCATAACCAAGTTTTCTCACATTGCTTTTACAGGGTCAAGGAACATGAACCCGAGATAGTTACTGCAGAACCACTGGAACCAAAGTAAGTCTAGCTGGCTTCCCTTATTGATCCTAAAGTTCAAGTTCTGACTCGCTGATATGAAACATGAAATGTTCGTTTTGATTGCTACATACTGCTACAATACTGATTATTTTGTCTATGAACATGAGCTTATGTATTGTGTTGGGTATGCTTAAAAATCCAACAAAACTAATGGTGATGCTGATGATTATGCAGGACAACAGAGCCATCAGGGTCTGGATCATCATTTAGGCCCGGGACATGGCAGCCACCATCCTAAGCACATCTCTCTTCACGCAGATAACAAGCCAGCAGGAATTTTGCGTCCTAATTATTTGTTTGTTGTACTCTACACAAACCGATTGGTTTGACTTTTACAGATGAACCACCATAGACGAGAGAGCTTTTGAGAACCCTAGATTTGTGGCCTTTGACGCTGTCACTGAGGACTCAGAAGAGTCAAAATGAGAAGAGAAGTCATATTCTTATGCTTTGTAATCGTTAGGGTGTTTGTCTCTTGGCATAATGCTTGAGACTTTTATTTGCCTTGTCCTTCATAGCTGAAGAAAGAGACCCTTTGTTGACTTTATTTGATAGGTATAAGAAAAAAAAAGACCTTCAAAGAAAGTGAAAACGTTGGTGATACAAGTTTACTGACATACTATATCTGTTTTAGTCTTATGATTTTTATCTATACTTGGTAACAAATTCTTGACTCATGGTATGAGACTATGAGAGCTACATTATGCACAAAGCCACAAACCCTCGTTGAATAAAAACAATTTGGGCCGAAGTCTCTTACGCAGGCCCACTATAAGAGGTATATATATATGTTGTTACACACAAATAGTTATTTGGAACATATTTACGTAGAAAGACCGAACATAGCTACAGTTCGTTCAGAATCTTCAAGCCGAGAAACTGGTTCCCTCTAAAACCCTAATATCTATATGTAAATTATGTGATTGTTGTGTCTCTCTCTTAATATTTCGGCTTAGAGATTCGTGATTCGTGAAGTTGTTCATGATTCTTATAATTTTTTCCCTTAACTTCTGATTGTTAATTATATTTGTTATTGTCTTTCAGCTACGAAAATAAAAATTCAGTCGTTGGATTTCCGATTTTGTGATAATGGTTGCAGAAGCAGAGATTTTTCATCATCAACCCTTACTGTCTGAGGATGAGCTCTTAGATTCTGATGAGGATGAGGTCTTATTTTATTCACTCTCTCTTTGACGTTTAACTCTATTATTAGATGCCAATTTTTTCTTTTGTTGACGTCGTTGAGTCTTTAGGTCTTGGGAGAGTCCATGAGTTAATTGTCCTGAATATCATCTTTAAGTTAACTGGTAAACGCATATCGTTTCGTAATTAGATGTTAAGATATGCATGACGTCTTTTGTTTCCTCAATTAATTGACGTCAGGTTTTGATTCTCTCGATGTTAGTTTTGTTTGTGTTAAGTCGGTAATAACTCATCAGGTTTTGTATATATCATCTTTATTCACTAAATTCAATTCTTATTCCATGCTTAGGAAAGTTTGGTAAAAGTAAAACATAGAATTAGTCAATTATATATGGTTTGAAACTAGTCTCAGCTCTATCAAATATATATACAGTAAAACCTCTATAAATTATTAATGTTGGGGCCATGAAAATCTATTAATTTATAGTGGTTTTAATTTATCGATAAATTAATAATTTATAGAGAGATTTTCCTAATTTGGAAAGTTTTTCAAAAGAATATTTAAAAATAAAATCTAACAAAAATTAATTTGTCTATATATACATATATTTTGAAAATTTTACCTAATTATTAATTTATAATATTGATGAGACCATATATTTACAAATAATTTAAAAAAAATATTATCTTATTATTTTATCGAAGTATGTCTAAAATTACAGTGATCCCAAGTTGAGACTGAAAAAATTTATTAATTTATAGAGAGTATTAATTTATTGAATATTAATTTATAGAGGTTATACCGTATATTTCAACAAAACAAAATTGCAGGTCAAGGAGGATAGTAATTACGACACAGAATACTACATGAAAGTACGCAAGGATCTAATCAAGGCGGGTCATATGGTGACCATAACTACGATTGTACTAGCTGCACCGATGTTGTACTCCATCTTGTACGGAGTGAAGCTACCGGTTCCATTCTGTTACACACGTGGCGTCTTTGGTTACCCTCTGTGGAGTGTGGCGATTGTGTTTCTCATTGCCGGCCTTGCTTATACCGTCTTCGACTATTGGAGGAATCAAGACTACTAGCTTTGATTTTAGATGCATGTGTTTTTGGTTTTAGTTTTAAGATTTTTGGAAATTAATTAGTTTTTTTTTTCTTTCTTTTTAACAGAATTAGGAAACCTACGTCAAACTAAAACTAGTTTCTTTTTCTTTAGTTTTTGAGGAAACAAAATTTCCAAGACAATCCAATCATAAGTTGTAGAATAAGTGTAGCCAATCACACATTAAGGAGATAAAGAAGAAGAAACAAAAACTTTGGAAACGTAGAGTAACATCGGCCGGTTAACCTGGAAATTAAGAATCCGACTCAGAATGGGGTAAAACATAAAGAAATTGGACATAGAGATCTCTATTTACATCACGAAAATCAAACAGAGAGAATCCAGAAAGGAACGAATCTATCAACAAATTGGTAAAAGAAATACCAAGAAACTAAAAATGTTGAACTAGAGCATTTCGAAAACGAACAACCCTTAAAGGCACAGAGATCGTTGCATGGGAGAAAGACGAGGAAGAGGATGGAGTCGTAACGTCGATGGTATTGGGATATGAAACCGCGATTACTGATGAGTTAGATAGACGCAAACCAGAGAGATCAGTGTGAAGAAGATGAAGACGTAGCCGATCGTGACCAATCCTACTATCGCATCCATCGGAACAAACAAAGCTGCGCCCATGGAAGATAGAGATCCGATGACACCTGCGTACGCCGCCCAAACCGCCGCAGAATATTCGAGTCCGAAGCCGATTCCTGTGTAAACCGTGGCGACGAGAAGAAGGAGTACGGCGAGGGCGACTAAAGCATTACGTCGAAGTCCAGTCGTGGTTTCAAGAATCCCTTTCCAAGCTCGTTCGTTGCCATCCTCACGACGACGGCGGTTGCCGTGATCACCAGGGGCAGCTCCGTGACGACGACGATCTCCACCGTTGTTTCTGCCGCGAGCCATCTTTCGTGAATCTTGTATCGGAGAAAATTTTCAAGAGGATTAGTATTTTTCAAGAGGATTATTATTCTTAACACATACTCATATTGGATTTGTATTTATAATCTGATTCTCTCTACTCTTAACTACCCAACAACCTTAACGGCCATTGGAACTTTCCCGCTGAAACGTTTTTCCATATCCTCCGCTTAACCGGTGGTTCATACAATTGGATTCTAAATCGAGTTCAGTTTACCGGTTTAATCATATTTCTTGATAAGTCTTAAAATTTCGGTTCAGTTTTTCCGGTCTTTAATGAGAAAAAGGAAAAAAATAATAATAAAAAAAAATCTATAGACGGAGGAGCAGACTCGATCGGGGAACAATTGAATTTGGGGGGTGTTGGGTTCAGGTTTTGGATCATACGAAGAAGTAATCGGCGGAGAAGCTATGTCGAGGCTACGGGAGAGATTTGTAGGATTGATCACTAGGAAGAGGCAAGAGGTTTCATCGGAGTAGCGCAAAGATTGGTAAAAGTACTTTCCTAGAGTGGAGGAGATTGACGGTCTGGGCAAGTATTGTTCTTCGAACCCCTTACCTTTGAATCAGGTGTCTGAAGTAAATGCATTTTAAAACTGCTTTGCTGACTGAGATATAATTTAATTCCAGGTTTCAAAAGTTTTGTTTTTGTTTTTGTTTGGAGTTGAGCTAATCAGAGATGTTACGGGCATTGGAATTAATGCATCTGACTCCTAAAAGAACCTGTTTGTATTTGTATGCTCACAGCGATTAATAAGACTCCTGTGGTATCCATTTGTGCAGCAGCAAGATGTTCTAACCTGCTTCTTTCTTCTTTAGTTATCCAGAATTATTTGTGGTCAGTGTAGTGCTTCGTCCATGGAGGTTTCGGTGGTATATAGATTGGCCGTATGACTTTAAGTATATGGCCTTTGATGTTAGTGTTTCTCACTGTCGAGTTAATTATTGAACTTGAAGCAAGGTGAAGCTTAATGCCTGTCGTAGGTGTTCCATATTATTAATGCATTATGCAGTACGTATCTATCCTTTTCTTTTGTAGCCTCATTAAGCATCCCTGCTCGTTTATGACTTGAGGACTTAGATTTTTGGAACCATAGAGTTTAGAATGCAAAAAAGAAGGATTTTATCTTTTTTTGTTTGTGTTTTGTGTATGTACGTTTACCCACTATATATGTCGCTTCAAGTTCTATCAAATGTTTCTTGTTTTTGTTTTGCCTTCAATCCCTTGTTAAGTTCTCAAGAGAGAAGAAGAGGAGAAGAATGCCAGAGAAGGCACTCCACGCAAAATCATGACCATCAGTATTTAGCATTTGGTGCCCACAAAATTTGTTACATTTGCTTTTCATTAATATAATAGTAGCTTAATGTTTTCCACCGGATTCAAAAGGTATTACATTTTCTCTGCTTTTAATAGATTTTGGGAGTCACCTAAGAGTGCTGTAGACTAACTTCTTAGAATTCCTTTTCTCCCGTTCTCTGAAACACTTTGTAGCATTAGAGCTAAAGCTGTCTTTGGAAATGACTCTGTTTACGTAATAAATAATGCTTCTGAGGGTTGTTAATTCTTTTCCTTCGTGTAACTATTACACTGGTGATTATAGTAGTGTGTGAACTTCACTCGGAAACATCTTGTGCAGTTGATTTGTAAAGTCTGTGATTATAATGCAGTTTTGATGGTAAAAGGGTTCCCTACATTTCCATTTTTATTGTGGTAGCTTTGTAGGGAAATAAGAATTCCCCGATTTATGTCATTTGTTGATTCATGGGATGAGATTACAACAGTTGCTAGTTTTCCTTATGTCACCTTAGAGCTTATTATTCTACCACAAACTCGTGGAAGTAACTGATGATTTAAGTTGTGTCTTGTTTGTTAATGCTGTAAGGTTATAAACCAGAGGAAGCTAGGGAAGAAGCAGATAAATCAAGGTGAAGCATCAGGATTTCATGATATCTCCCACGCTAATCCTATCTTGTGTTAAACTTTCCTACATTCTATATTTTTTTTCTGGAAAAACAAGACCACCTTAACCAAATGTCCTCACATTGCTTTACAGGGTTAAGGAACATGAACCCGAGATAGTAACTGCAGAACCACTCGAACTGGCTTCACTTTTTCAATCCTAAAGTTCACATTCAGGTACTTTTTTATTAATCCTAATATGAAACATTGATCGTTGTTTGTTATTGTTACATACTGCAACAGTGCTGAATCTGTTCTCTATGAACATGAGCTTTTGTATTGTGTTTGATATGCTTAAATCCAACCAAACTAATGGTGATGTTGATGATGATGGAGGAAAACAGAACCATCAGGGTCTGGATCATCATTTAGGCCCGGGACATGGCAGCCATCATCGTAAGCTTACTGATGATTGGTTTGACTCGTACAGATGAATCACCATAGACGAGAGAGCTTTTGAGGACCAATAATTTGTGGCCTTTCACGCTGTCATTGGCGACCTAGAAGAGTCAAAATGAGAAGCCATCTTCTTATGCCTTTGTTTTCTTTTAGGGTGTTTGTCTCTTGGCATAGTGCTCGAGACTTTTATTTGCCTTTGTCCTTCATAGCTGAAGAAGAGCCTAGCTACCCTTTGTCTTTCATCGTTGACTTTTATTTATTAGGATTTAAAACCAAAAAAAAATTCGTGTACCAATAAACATCATAATTCAATTTTAGTATTCATCCTGAAGAACAATTAATTCCTTCTAAAATCGAGAGGAGAAGTCCTACTTGGTTTGTTCCAGACACAAGCCAATCAAAACGTGCTTATTTACCAAAATAAGTGTCTGGTTATAATTTTTTTAATTCTGGTTTGGGTTAAGTTCCAGTTTAGTTTATGGAAAAAGAAAATACTTTCTGGAAAAAGAGAAATTATTCCCATCTTCCCCTAAAAAGCCATTTATTCGAATGTTCTCACATTGGTCTAGTTGTAGAAGCCTTTTACAGTATTTTTATAAAATAAGTGTTTTTTATAATTTGCAAGCTATTTTTTTTCCTTTTAAATATTTCAAAGAAAAAAGAATGCAATTATAAAATGGTCAACGTTCATAGGGAATCAGAGGCCGTCCGCTTGCGCGTCTCGAGTTGATCCAACGGTTAAACGAGATACACCTGACCTGGCCTCGGCATTGTATATTAGTGAGTGTCCTTCGAAGGTTCTGTAAAATCTCTTCATCGCCTCTTTCAGAAGCAGCTTGGCGAAAGATCTCTTTCTATCTCTCTCTCCTTCGCTCCTTACACGATCTTCTTCGTTTCATTTTTGATCCTTCTTCCTTCCTTCGCTGATTTTTTCCCAATCTCTTTCGACTGTTCTGATTTGCCGCCATGTATCGACGCGCCACTTCCGGCGTGCGTTCTGCCTCCACGAGGCTCTCTTCTTCTCTCTCGAGGATCGCCTCCACCGAAACAGCTTCGGTCTCGGCTCCATCCGCGACGTCGCTTCTCAATCAGACTAACCGATCTAAGAGCTTCTCGTCGGCTCTCCGCTCGTTTCGAGTTTGCTCTGCTTCAACGCGGTGGAGCCATGGTGGGAGCTGGCGATCACCTGCTAGCCTTCGTGCTCAATCTAGGATCTCCGCTCCGGTGATGGAGAAATTTGAGCGGAAATACGCTACCATGGGTATGTCTCTATTTGCTTTCTTAATTTGTTCTAGAAATGATTTGCTCTTAACTTGTATTACAAGAATCCGTGTTTACCTCCATATCTGCTTAGATCGATTTCGTTTTAGACTGGATCATTTGAAATCGAGAATCACCGTCGGATCTTCTGAATTCTCAACATTTTGATATGTTTCTGATGCAAGTAAAACTAGCTAGATGAACATTTGATTTGCTCTTGCAGTTTTTGTATGATTTTTGTTTAGACCACGGACAAGCAAACTCATGTTGGTATATGCATTCATTCAATTATGATTATAAAATTCTAACAGTTTTGGTTTGAAAATTAACGCAGCTTCTGAGCATGCATACAAGGATATTTTGACAAGTCTTCCTAAACCTGGTGGTGGAGAGTATGGGAAGTACTACTCGTTACCAGCTTTAAACGATCCAAGAGTTGGTATGGTTCCTCCGAGCCTCTATCTGTTTTGTTGTAATCGATTTCTGGTGACACTGACACCTTTTTCGTGATAATGTAGATAAGTTGCCATACTCTGTAAGGATACTATTGGAATCAGCAATTCGTAACTATGACAACTATCAAGTTACAAAGGATGACGTTGAGAAAATCCTTGACTGGGAGAACACATCTACTAAGCAAGTTGAAATCTCCTTCAAGCCAGCCCGTGTTATTTTACAGGTTTGTAGCATATTTGTTTCTGTACTTGTACACTCATCACTCTCCAGTCCACGAAGACAGGTATAGATTAAGCTAGCACTATGTTAACTTATATTTCTTTCCCAGGACTTTACTGGTGTACCAGCTCTAGTTGATCTTGCTTCTATGAGGGATGCAGTGAAGGGTCTTGGTAGTGATCCTAACAAGATTAACCCCTTGGTTAGTGAACCTTTTTTTAATTGCTTTTGTGTTGTAATAGTTTGATATAGCAATTCCCATATTTTCCTGTACATATGTAGGTTCCTGTTGATCTTGTCGTTGATCACTCAGTCCAAGTTGACTTTGCAAGATCAGAAGATGCCGCACTGAAAAATATGGAGCTTGAATTCAAAAGGAACAAAGAAAGATTTGCGTTCCTTAAGTGGGGTTCAACGGCCTTCCAAAACATGTTGGTCGTTCCTCCTGGGTCTGGGATTGTCCATCAGGTACAAGATGACACTTTCATTATAATCTAGCGATGTATTATGGTATATCATGTGATGAAAGTAAATTCTGGTTGCCTGGTTAAAAATTTCAACAGGTAATCTGGAACATAAGTGTGTGGTTTAGAAGTTTAGCCTTGTTAATCTCTTTGCGTAGACTACTAGATTTTCAAGGGGTGCATCAATCTAATACTACTGTCTAATGGTTCTGTTATGACTTATTTGACACTCAGGTAAACTTGGAATACCTTGGACGTGTTGTTTTCAACTCGAATGGATTCCTCTACCCTGATAGCGTTGTTGGAACCGACTCCCACACAACCATGATTGATGGATTAGGAGTCGCTGGGTGGGGTGTTGGAGGAATTGAGGCAGAGGCAGCAATGCTTGGTCAGGTGAGTCTATCTTCTCTGGAAACCGTCACTGTTTGATTTGGGTTTATGTGTCTTGTGTACATATACAAGTGTCAAGTTCGCTTTGCCACTAATATGGTACTTCGAAAATTTGTCAGCCCATGAGCATGGTATTACCTGGCGTGGTCGGATTTAAGTTAGATGGAAAGTTGAAGGAAGGGGTTACTGCTACTGATTTAGTTCTCACTGTGACCCAAGTATTAAGGAAGCATGGTGTTGTCGGCAAGTTTGTTGAATTTTATGGTGAGAAACCATGGCTGTGTGACTTTGAATTCCTGATGGACAATTAGTTAGTCAGTATACATGCTTTAACGTTTTTATTTCGATATGAAGGTGAGGGGATGAGTGAACTTTCACTTGCTGATAGAGCTACAATTGCAAATATGTCCCCTGAGTATGGAGCAACTATGGGTTTCTTCCCAGTGGATCATGTTACCCTGGAGTACCTGAAGTTGACAGGAAGAAGTGATGAAACTGTGAATTCTCTCTCTCTCTCTCACACTTTCTCTACTTTTTTCATTCTTTCCTTTTTGGTTAAATCGAATCATCATGCATAAAATGTGCTTTTAGTTTCAAGTTCTTGTTCTTGTGGACCACATGGCTTACATGTGCTGAGGCTGACTATTGCTGCATATTCTCGTTTTTCAAAACATTTTAGCAAGCTATCTGTAGACTTAGATTGTTTTGTTCTTCAATATGCATTATCACATGGCTTAGTTCTTTTGTATCTTACCTAAACAAGCTACGTATCCTGTTTCCTCTGGTTTTTGTGACTCACATGATTGCCAACTTGGTTTATTTAATTAGGTGTCAATGATAGAATCATATTTGCGCGCAAACAATATGTTCGTTGACTACAATGAGGTATGAACATCCTTGTTCAGCTTACTGTATTTGATTTTTTTCGACAAGAGTCTCAACTCCAAATATTTGTGGACGTTATTGCAGCCCCAGCCAGAAAGAGCATACACATCTTATCTGCAGTTGGATTTAGGACATGTTGAACCATGTATTTCTGGGCCTAAAAGGTATGCTTTCACTTTGTTTTGATATTGAGAACGTTCTGAGCCATCGCCCTTACCTTCATTACTACATTTTCTGTTCAACAGGCCTCATGACCGAGTGCCTCTGAAAGATATGAAGGCTGACTGGCATGCATGCCTTGACAATCCTGTTGGATTCAAGGTGAGATGCAAGTTGTGGTTACAACAAAAATCATTAAATAACCAATGGCGTAGATTTTCTTTCTTGGAATAACTTGTAAGACTTTGCTTCTTGTTTCAAGGGTTTTGCAGTACCAAAAGAAAAACAAGAAGAAGTTGTGAAGTTCTCATACAAAGGACAACCTGCTGAGATCAAGCATGGTAGTGTTGTTATCGCGGCAATTACAAGTTGTACAAACACATCAAACCCTAGTGTCATGATCGGGGCTGCACTCGTTGCAAAGAAAGCTTTGGATCTTGGCGTGGAGGTGAGTTTCTACCTAATCTCTTTTCCCTGAGATCACTGGGTATGAATCCTGTTTTGACTGTAGTTGATGTCACAATTCAGGTAAAACCATGGGTTAAGACAAGTCTTGCTCCAGGTTCTAGAGTTGTCGAGAAATATTTGGATCGAAGGTGTGTTGATGTCATTGCTACTTCCATCTGAATAACTTATATGATCACGGAATGCTCATACTTAATACCTTCTCTGCAGTGGGCTCCGAGAGTGCTTGAACAAGCAAGGATTCCAAATTGTTGGCTACGGCTGCACAACATGCATTGGGAATTCAGGCGACCTTGAGCCAGAAGTTGCATCTGCAATAGAAGGAACTGGTAACAACATTCTCATCTATACGAACATACTATAAAATTTTCAGACCATTTTTTTCTTTGTTTCTCTTAGAATCTCCTTGAACCATTTTCATTTTCATTTCACCTGGAATTCTTGTCAACTTGAATCTCACTTTTTGGTTGGTCCATTTTTCTTCCTCCGTGTCACAGATATCATCCCGGCTGCTGTGCTGTCTGGAAACCGAAACTTTGAAGGCCGTGTTCATCCACAAACAAGAGCTAACTATCTTGCTTCACCACCATTAGTTGTTGCTTATGCCCTTGCTGGAACGGTTTGTATTTTTCTAACTTTCAATTCGAAAATGTTTGTGTTTGTCTCCTTTGGATATCCTTAACTGGTCTGGCATCATAGTATATTATCAACAAGATTAAGTAGTCTCATCAATCTCGAGTGTGTTTATATATATTGATTTCCTATGATTACAGGTTGACATTGATTTTGAGAAAGAGCCTATTGGAACTGGAAGAGATGGCAAAAGTGTGTACCTGAGGGACGTGTGGCCAAGCAATGAAGAAATTGCTCAGGTACATTGCTGACATGCTTAGAGGGTAAGTTATCCACCTTTTAATGTTCCTTGCTAACATTTCTGAAATTCTTCCATAGGTTGTTCAATATAGCGTGCTACCAAGCATGTTCAAGAGCTCATACGAAACAATAACAGAGGGAAACCCCTTGTGGAATGAACTCTCTGCACCGAGTTCCACGTTATTTTCTTGGGATCCAAACTCCACGTACATTCATGAACCTCCGTATTTCAAGAATATGACCGCAAATCCACCTGGTCCTCGTGAAGTGAAGGATGCCTACTGCTTGTTGAACTTTGGGGACAGCGTAACAACAGACCACATCTCTCCAGCAGGAAACATTCAAAAGAGTAGTCCTGCTGCAAAGTTTCTAATGGACCGTGGTGTGATTCCGGAAAACTTCAACTCATATGGAAGCCGAAGGGGAAATGACGAGGTTATGGCTCGTGGTACATTTGCCAATATCCGTATTGTTAACAAGCTCTTGAAAGGAGAAGTTGGCCCTAAGACTGTTCACATTCCGACTGGAGAGAAGCTTAGCGTTTTTGATGCAGCAAGTGTAAGGAGAATCGACACACAGCTTCAACATATATGTATCTTTATTTAAGTCCCTTACTCAATTCACATATACTTTCAGAAATACAAGACCGCTGGACAGGATACTATCATCCTGGCTGGTGCTGAGTATGGAAGTGGTAGCTCTCGGGATTGGGCTGCCAAGGGTCCCTTGCTTTTGGTAAGTATTTACTTCATTTACAATGGTTGTTAGATTTTGGTTATGTCTTGTGATCGTAACAATTAAGCACAAATTAGGGAGTGAAAGCTGTAATTGCCAAGAGCTTTGAGAGAATCCACCGCAGCAACTTGGCTGGTATGGGAATCATTCCTCTGTGTTTCAAGGCCGGGGAGGACGCGGAAAGCCTTGGACTCACTGGTCATGAACGGTACACAGTCCACCTTCCTACAAAAGTCAGTGAGATTAGACCCGGTCAAGACGTCACTGTAACAACTGACAGTGGCAAATCCTTTGTTTGCACTCTGCGCTTTGATACAGAGGTAAACTGGTTTTATAGCAAACAAATTCTGTAAAATCTTAATTCCTATTGATCTGAGCCTTGTTTTGTGGGAACGTGCACAGGTGGAATTGGCATACTATGATCACGGCGGTATTTTACCATACGTCATCCGGAGTTTGAGCACCAAGTGATCTCAAGTGTTTCTCGCCTTTTTTTTTTCTTTTCTGTTAAAGATCCAAATAAAGCAAGTTTTTCGAGAATCTTTTTTCTTTCAGGTTACACTGCAAAAATACACACTTCATTCTATAAACAGTTTCAAGTATTTTTGACTGTAGCATCAATTGAACGATATAGAAACAAGATTACAGAGTTACAAACACAAACAAGATTACACAGTTACAAACACTTTTCTGTAACCACCGACTCTTCTTTTCTATTCTCTTTTCCTCCCAAAAATTGCTGTGTACTGATTCAACGTGACTAGAGTAGAGAAGAGGCATGCATTCTTAGAAAACCCATTCATCTTCCTCCTATATTTTCTTTGACATATATTGATGAAAAGAATCCATATTGCTAACTCTTGTGCAAAGATCTGGAAGCCTTTGATGCCAAAACCATTGCTTTGGCTTTGTCGCTTGACATCATCCAATCCCTCTCAGCACGACGTTGATGTTGCCTTGCATTCTTTGCACGTTTTGGGGCCAATCTTGCATCTCTCTCTGCATACGCTAGTCTGAACTTTTCTGCTATTGGCAGTTCATTGGATAACGGGAAAGATGAGGGCTTCTGCTCAACTTCAGTAACAACCCACGTCTTAGGATCAATATCTTTGACAAAGGGTCCGTCTAGTGCAACATCTGGTAGTGCTTCTTGAGGAACCTCGTCTGTTCTGTACGAGACAAGTGATGGCTTGGGATTTACCACTATTCTTGGACACTCCGAGGATAGCATCTCCAATGAATCCTTATCAATTCTTGGCTGCAGAAAACGTAAATTAATTGTGAAACTTGTGCATAAAAAAAAACTAACAGAGTGGTAGGAGACACAGATGGAGAAAGAGTTGAGCAAGACTAGAAAGTATATTCTTCTTATTTACTTATGGGTTCCCTAATCCAAAAGTCCAAAGCTAAGGAAAAATTAGCCAACTCGAAAAGAGAGCATCAATTGGGTAGCTTATCAGTCAAAGGGACAACACATACCCAAACAAGCCAACGCAATGATTGACCGCCATGACCAATCTCTGAAGTGTCTAGTTCTTCCCATGTTTCTCCTTCAACATTACTCAAGTTTGGCTTAAAGAGACCTAAAGATCTGCGTATAGTGGACTCACTGCTCGGGCATCCTCTGCAATATTATTTTTTTTGTTTCATTGTCTGTTTTGTAGAGTTCAAACCCACACACTATGGGTTCACTTCGATCTCACTTTTACCCAGAAAGTCACTCAAATTCATGAATAATTAGACAAGCCACACCAACAACAATACATGAAAGGCCAGCTTGGTGCACTTAGCTGGAGAAAAAAAAAGTTTACCCGCATCTAAGAGTCTCCAATGATCGGCAGTGTTGTAAAAGCTCTGACACGCCCAAAGATGTGATTTTGTTGCACCGGCTGCATAAAAAAAACCAGGGAACTATATAATACTGGACGAAAAACAAACATCACTTATTCAACATACAATGATACAAAAGCTCCTCACTAAAGAACCAGTAAGAGCATAAAAGATTGTACATTTCGATCGATGGATAGAAAATTGATATCAGAGCTTAACATAAAACCTTAGAGAAAGCTTCATGCTACTTAACTAAAGTCAGTATTACCAATCAAAGTCATCCATAACATGAGGTACAAATACAGAGATCCGGACTCAACACTCGTGGTCAAATAAACTCTTAGTAAGCAACACTCGTGGTCAAAAAAATACCTAATGTCCACAGCTCGGAGAGATTTGCACATTTCCGCCACTTTAGCTAAGCCAGAATTCGTAAGATCTGAACCGCTGACGTCTAGAATTTCCCAGGAACTGTCAGCCAAAGAGATAATAACATCATCATCCAGTAGCTTTCTTCTTCTAGCAATTGCTGCAAGAGACATCTGTTGCCCATGAACATGCCTTCGATTAGCAAAGTGCATAGTATACTAAACCGAGTAAACAGCTTGAAAGAAGAAAACACTGAAACCTAAATATGACCTTGATGTCTGCTGGGAATATAGCAGCGATATCAGCTAAACAAGGGATCATTTCATCTAAATGCTTCCCAATAACTCCAAGACATAAGCTCACAAGAGACGGAGGTTTTGAGTTCAACGGAGAAATTCCTGTGACTGGAGCAAACCAGAAGAAACATATCAGAATCCAACTCCTAAGCATCACCACAGCCATGCTTATCCCCAAATTTACTACCCAATTCAACCCAGGTCGAGAAAAGAAGGCTTACGTAAAGAAGATAGATAAGCTGAAACAAGAATCTTATCCTTTGGTTCACGATTCGTATTCAGGTCGAGATTCTTGAGAGATCTTGGCAGCTTTTCTTCCATCAAAACTCACCGTGAAATTTCTGATCGCCGGAGATTAGAATCGACGACTAGTTGCTACCGGCTGATTTTGGGAGTTGGTCAGCTCAAACCGGAAGATGAAAACAAAATTAAAGAAACCTTTCGTGGGCCAATTATGCGGTTATGGGCCTATAACCTTCATAGTTGACCCACAATCATTTGTAATATAATCTGAACTGAGTCCTTCTTTTACAATTTTACTGACATATTTAATATTTACCAATTCAGTCACACAACAAAAGACATTTTTAATTTGTTATGTTACATCATTGGACTCGCTCTGTTTCAAACGTTAATTTATGTTCCAACATCTATGAAGTAGGCATGACCAAAAGCTAACCTTAACCGTATTTTTAACCGTAATCGGACCGTTTATCAACCGTAACCGGACCGTAACCGTATAAAACGGTTAAAAATTGTAACCGTTAACCGTAAAAGTAAATTAGTTACGGTTAAAAAATAATAATAACCGTAACCGTTAATTAACCGTAACCATAATTAACCGTAATTAATCGTCGGTTAACCGTACGGTTAAACGCTCGGTTAACCGCATATTTAAAATTTTAAAATAAATTATATTATAAGTGTATACAATACCCATATTTAACTAATTCACTATAAATAATTGAAATCACATATATTATTTACTTGTAAAATAAATAATATTTCATAAAATTTTATCTCCAATATTAATATTATAATAATCATCAAATAACCGTAACCGTATTTAACCGTAACCGTAATTAACCGTAACCGTATATAACCGTAACCGTCTTAACCGTATATATAATGATTAAGGTTATGGTTAAAAGAATTATAACCGTTAACCGGTGGTTAATTAACCATAACCGCATTAACCGTAACCGTGGTCATGCCTACTATGAAGTGCTATTTTATTGAGATTATTACCAATATGTAACAATACGCTTTTTTTCTTTAACAAAGAATCATTATGTTTTGACATGTTACAACAGTGTATACCCAATTCAACTAGATAATCCAATAAAGAAAAACCAATATATAATTTGCCTAAAAACCGAGCAAAACACCCAAAACCAATACAATAGCTAAAACCGAACAAGATACCCAAAACCATGAAAAGGAGAAAATAAAATAAAACTAGGAGCCAAACCAGAACACTCTTGGTACAACCGTTATTAGGTTGGAGGCGCAAAGAATAAAGGTATGAATGAAACCAAAAAAAACAATGAGACTTTGTTTATGGAAATTTTGTGTAGAAACCATTAGGAACAGCAACAGCCATTGGCTGATTCGTGGGAAAAGGAGGCTGCATAACTGGAAATTGCGCAGGAACGCCATAAGATTGCAGTCCACCGGCCGTGAATGGTTGGGAAACGCATAGCTGCTGGGGCTGGCCAGCTGCAAGTACACCTGCATCACGAAATGGGTCATTCTGGTTACGACAATTTCTTTGGTTTGGTCCATAAAAGAGAAAATAAGGTTGCTTCTTAAGGTATTTATTTAGTTAGAGACTCCTCGAGTATTCTACCTTGATGCTTCAGGTATTGGATATGTTGTATGGTTGGTAGCGGATGAGAGAGCATAGGTGAAAGAGGAGGTGTTCCTTGAAGCAGATCCTGAAAAAGTAAGAATATCGATTACTAGAAATGACTATAAAGATATGAATATGAAGACATTTTTGAGCAAACTTAAACCAATGACTACGTTGTAATATTTCTTCTTTCACTCAGACATACAGTTATCTAACATGCAAGTCATAGATTGATTAACCTAACATCATTAAAGGTTCACCAAATTGCTTCTATTTCAAAATATATACTAATCAAGAAACTAGATCCATCAAGTTCTAACCTGAGAAACTGGTTGGACATATACAAGCTGCCCCGATCTTGCAACCATTACCTGGAGTACAGTAGAAAGAGCCTTTAGAAACAAATACACAAATGAAGCTTAATACAGAGCGATTCTTTTTATAGCCGCGCCTTCAACAAATGTTAGCTTGGGAACCTCCATAAAGAACAACCTGAGGATTTAGATTTACAAGCATCGGTGCAGCTGGAACTGGCTGGTACTGAGAGTTCAATCTCTGCGGCTGTGCCCTGTTAACAGTAGACCCAATCATCTGCAGAAATATGGGTTGCAGGTGAAAATATGATTCATCGATGGAAGGAGAAAAGAGTTGGTGGTTGAAAATAAATGGAAGCGTTTTAACAGTACAAACTAAGTCATATCAATGCAGAATGATTGTTAAGCTGATTGTCAAAACTAACATTTGAGGTTGTTAATCATGCAGGCGCTTAGTGGTGTGAGGAATAGTCTATTCTCAGTTACCAGTTGATAAAAGCTCTTTGACATAACATGCCCGAAGAGAGTAAGATAGGCAGGAACAATATTGAAAAGATAATACTTACGTGTTGAGGAAATTGAGTACCACCGACAGCATGTCCAACAGTCGAATTACCATATGGTACAAACTTGGAAGGTTGAGATTCTCGAGGCATATAAGGGTTGTTTCTAATTTCTGGGTAAATAGCTTCAGGAACTGGTTGTGGAGGAATGTTGCTTGGTATATAAGCAATATTTCCAACATCAGGCATACCAACAGGAGACGGTGAAAGACGTTTTGTATAAGAGGGAGAAAAAATCTTTGCATCTGGATTGAGCTTGAACTCCTGTAGGTGGTAAAAGTTGCAGAAATAGAAAGATGGTAATTGAGTAACAGATCAAGTAAAAGGAACCTTCAGACTGATTTGACAGCATAAAAACGGCTCCAATGAACAAGCTAGCCTGAATGTGAAAGAATCAATCTTTACGAGAATCAATCTAAAGATACTAAACTGTACACAGGAATTACCTTAGCCTTTTTGACTGCCTGGATAGTTACTGATGCAGTTGAAGATGCCACTAAACCCTGACACAATTCTGAGGTGTTATCAACAGTTGTACTTTGTGATGATGAATTGTCACTTGAAGAGGGCCTTTCAGCAGCATCGTGAAAACCATTGCTAAAAGGTTCGGCCATCAACTTTCCTTCTTCTATGGGTTTAACTCGTTCGAACATACTATCCACTGTATGTTCGTTATTCACATGAAAGAAAGTCGAGGAAAAGCAAGTTAGAAAACATTCAATGTCAAAAAGAAGCAGAAACAAGTATACCAACAAACATAAAAACAATTCCGGGGAAATTGAACTCACAGCTAGGACTTGAGCTTCGCATATCAATCTGCAATAAGAATCTATCAAGTAAGCAGCTGGTAAGTAATAATCAATCAAATGAACTATCTTCCTACAAGACTAACAGTATCCTCTTGACGAACGTCAGAAATTTGTACACTAGGCTTCAAAATCTGGGCTCCAGCCTGCCTGTTAACAATAGCATACAAGAATCAGAGAAAAGCAAAGAAATTTATCTCGGCAAAGTTTAGACATTGGCATGCCCAAGATTAAGTGATTTGTGCCCGCATGGATATATTTGATGCAGATGCTAAGCTAGATTGCTAAGATTGACATGGAAATAGAAATTTTGTTACAGAAAGAAAATATTGAGATGGAAGTCGAGGTTATGTTGTACTTCATCTTTCAGATAAATTGAAAGTAATATTGACCATTAGTTTAGTTTCTGTTTGAAGATAAAGTTTAAGCAAGCACACAGTTTACCTCATATGATTATATCCCTTTCCTTCAATGCAGAATTTTGTGGAGTTATTTACTGCACATAAAATGTCTGTGGCTGATCTGACATTTTCTGACTCATTATTGCCTGTTGTAACATTTGATGGAAGCGAGACTCCCTAAGAGATAGATCCATAAGCTTGTCACATACATTGTCAAAACGCAGCTCTAAGAAAAAGTAAGTAAATGAAGGAAGAAGAGAGAACGCACTTCCGCAATTATTTGAACAATGTTGGAAGATAGAATAACAAGTGTCTCGACAACACTCCCGCTTGATACATTCGCTTTACTTGTCCCCTTCTTAATAATGCTTGCATTCTTCAAAACAATGCCTAGACAGAACAAAAACCATACATCACACCAAGACATAGACAGATCCAAGAAAAGAAAACCATAACAAAAGAGCTGAAAAAAGTCCTTGATCTGGACAAGCCTAAGTCCGCTACTATCCAAACCATTAGACTGCTTAATATAGAAATATGAAATCTCATTGTCGTTGACATCACACCAGCAACAACTAAGTGATATACGACAAACAAATTAACAGAGTCATGATCCCATTCACAGATCTCTACTACGACATTATGCAAAAAAAAAAAAAAAAAACAGGTAACAACACACTACGAGAAATTAGATGTCGACGAGAAAACCAAAATCGATCAGACAGATTGAATCGAAAGTGTTACCAAAGCCGTTGTCGAGGGAAGCTGTGTAGAAAATCCCAGAAAAGACGGAACCATCCTTGACGTGAACATGAACTTGCAATCCGATAATGCACATAGTTGCTGCTATTAACACCGATTCGTTTAGTGATGATGAAGATTTGTTGTCGTCTTCCACTTTCCCTGCGTATCCCATCTTTCTTAGACCTTTCAATTTCTCCAGAAGTTTCTATCAAAATCACGGTCTATTCGGAACTAAATTTTAACATATATCATCGTACTAGCAAAAACCACCAAAAACAAAAAAACAAAGATAGAAGAAAATTCTAAGAACAGATCTAGAAATTTACGAGGGAACTGGTAAAGTAGAGAGACTCTCTCTTTTATTTTTCGCTCTTTTTTTCTTCTTCTTCGTTGGAGCCTTAATGGGCCCTTTTTCGTTAAACACGGCCCATTAGGATAATTTAAGCATTTTCTTCTTCTTTGATTTATTTATAGTTTTTATACCATAACCAAAGGTCACACTAATTAACCAATCAATAGCCAAAAAGCTTTAATCAGCCATCCTCTTGCTTATGTAACCATTTTTAAAAGCTTAACTGAAATGAGAAAACAACTTATCAGTCTCATTGAAGTTTGCCAGCATTGAAATGATTTCACAATACCAGCATTTACATCCACGTATGCACAATAAATAAAGCAGCAGCACTATCTAACAGTCTGTATAACATGTCAATGCTATATGTTGGATTTCGTTACCATAGCTCTCACCTTGAGACTTAAAAACTCGATTTTGTTTAACACAAATGTTAACACATCAACTATTGTTAAGCAAGAAACACGGATTAACGTTGTGCTCACTTAATAATGATGTAGAATGTTAAAAGTAGTTCTTAGGCGTTGCAGGAAGAAACAGTACATCAACAATAGGAAGAAACATGACGGTCAAATTAGTCAAATGACACAAGAAACACTTGTGGGTTAAGCCTTTTGTTACGACTTGGAAGGGACACTCAACAACTATCACGCGGAAGCCAAAAAAACAATCCAAAAGAAAAAGAGTTGAAAAAGAGAATCTGGGACAAGAAGCGCTAATACACATCCATTTCAATCATTCCATTCACCCTCTTTAAACGGTGACAGCTTTCTGGAGAACTTCAGCTCCATCACGACATTACTAGCCATGCTTCACTGCAAATTCGGATGGAACAAGAATCAGCAACATATACAGTGTTATGGATACATTGCCTAAAACTTCATAGATTTTCTGGCAGAAACTAAGGAAATTACCTGCTGTTGCTGCTGGTAGCCACCAGGCTGCTGGTAGTTTCCATAGCCACCGCCAGCGTAACCACCATAGTAGGCGTTAGGGTCCTGAGGAGGTGGTGCGTATCCATATGCTTCATATCCCTGAGGAGGATACCCATAGTATCCACCACCACCACCATACTGGGCTTGATCAGGTTGATTCTGTGAAATTATGGGTCAAGCCATCAGATCACAAAGTAGAGAGCATAGTTAGAATTTTGGTGAATTGTCTAACGGATACAAACCTGTTTGTTGGAAGGACTACGACCCCATGAAAGACGAACGCTTTGTCCACCCAGCTGTGTTCCATTTAACATGGAAAGTGCTTGCTCGGCACATGCCCTGAAGCACAAAGACAGTAAAGTTGTGAAACAACATTCTCAACCTAAGATGGAAGTTTGTCTCCAAAGTCACACTACCTATTGGCGTATTGAACAAATCCACAACGCTTTCCTGCCGGTATTTTCACATGAACTAGTTCCCCAAATTGACCAAAAACTGATTTCAAAAGATCTTCTGTTACACTTTGATCCAAAGCTCCAACAAAAATCTGGAATAGCAAACATGACATATCAATTCAACATTATATCAAACACAAATAAGTCCCAAGGATACCAAAACAAAGTACGCACTGTTGTGTTAGTTGGGTCGCTTTCTCCTTGATTTCCTTGGGTGTTCTGATATGAAGCTGCGAATAAAAACAGTCAAGAGAATGTTAGCAGAAAACTCCACCATCAATGTTTACTACATTCAGTTGACAGTGCAAAGAAACAGACACTAACAAAAACGCAAACACGAGAATAGAAGTTGCAAATTTTGTCCAAATCAGGAGAAGAAAATGCAACTTGCATATATATATATATATATGATACAGCTAGAAGATTAAGGTAAAGGGATTGAAGTTAGTTGATAATTGATATACAAATCATAAATATGTACTAGGGGAAACAGGATCCAACTTTGAGAAACTAGAAAATGTTAGAATGGGACCGAAATTTTCTAGGGTAGCACAAGTAACCTAAATTCCGTGTAATGTCTGACAGTCTTACCATCGTAATCAATTTGCCAAAAGAAGAATTGTAACAGTATAACCAAAGAAGAGCTGAATAATTTAGAGGCAAACAGTAAATGAAAGAAGGAAAAAGTTGCAGCACTATTACTGAAAGAAGATGAATTGAGAGGTATGAAGAAGATCACAAAAACACTCTTTAAGGAATCAGACTTGGAAAAAACCGAAAAATAACTAACAATATAAATATGAAAAAAAAAAAAAAAACTTAAAAGGCGAGGGTTAAATTAAAGGGAAAGGCTTATGCTTGATAAGTAAAGGAACTGGAAAATAATTTGCGACTGAAAAAAGCTTTGTAATTAACTTCTTCTGAAAACATAACTAACTGACCTAAATGAGGCCACGCAATAAGGTGGAATCATTTTCAGCTGAAGTCAGTTCCAGGCCCCCCCCAAAGAGAGCCACTTGTTCTCCTGCTTAAAGACAACATGAGTTTTTTCTATAAGTTTTAGGATGTTTTGTGATATTAAATTCTTTGAAGTGCTGAAAGACAAGAAGAGGAAGGAAAAGGGCAGAAACATTGAGCACCAACTAACAGAACACGATTCACCAATCAGAAAGATAGGTAAAGTAATACCCCAAAGAAAAGAAAAATAAACAAACCTAGACAGCTAAAGACAAAGGGAGAGGCTTAAACCACTCAACATATTCATAAGTCATCAGAAATCCGGCTGCTTAATATAAAAACATACCTGGTTGCATTGTAAGAGGCTTCTTGTTGGCAGCTGGACCAGTACGCATAGGCCTGGATGAGCAGAATTGACCATTCATTTCAGTCATGGCGCGAATCTGCTCACTTTCATCACCGAACCTAACAAATCCATACCCCTTGGACCGTCCAGTAGTCCTATCAGTCACAACTTTCGCACCCTTGACAGAGGAATATACAACCTTGAACGTTTCAGTAAGCATGAAGTCGGTAACATCAGGAGCCAAGTCTCCAACAAAAACTGTGTGCTCTGGACCTTCAGCCTGGCGCCTCTCTCCAGCTCCGAGCTGAGCCCAGTTCAACCTAAAGGTCTGCTGTTCACTGCTGGGCATTGGAGCACCATTGTAAGTCTGCAAAACCCTCTCAGCTATAGCGTGACTCACAAACTCAATAAATCCATAACCTTCTGAATATCCGCTCTGTTTATTGCGAATTACTTTAGCTGATTGAGCCTGCAGCCACAGAGGAACAAACACTGACTCAGATTTCACTATAATCAAATCTTCAAAGGATGAAACTTTGAATATTTTTTAATAGAATTACGAGGGAAAAGAAACATTAACTCCGAAAAATTAACGGGATTTTTAAATTACCTCGCCAGTAACAGCAAAGATGTTCATGAGATAGTTCTCATCCATCCAAGGCTGCAAGTCACCAATCCACAACGACCGGATCTCACCAGCTGATCCTGGATTCTGAGATCCACCACCACCATACTGCTGCTGTTGTGGTTGACCAGGAGATGGAGCCGACTGAGGATTCCATCCTGCCGGCTGCTGACCTTGTTGTTGCTGCATCATCCACGATTGCTGCTGCTGGTGGTAAGCTTGTTGGTCGGAAGGAATCTGCCCTGACCCTGCGGCGGCACCGTTAGAAGCTGGAGGTGGCTGCTGCATCATGACGACGATAACCTAGAAGAATGTCGCAGATGCAATTTTAAGGGTTGAGCTCGAGAGGACGAAAGGGGCAAATGAGGGAAGAGTGATTGCTGTCTGTGTTTCCATTTTTATACTCTCAAAAAGTTGCTTATGATATGGACCTCACGTGGCCCAATCACCGATCCTGGCCCATTAAGAGCCCCGGGTTGATAAAGTTAGGGTTAACCAAAAAGCGGTTCGGACCAGTTAGGATCGGTTTGAGATTAAGATTTCTAATTTTGAACTCTTGTCTCTCTATTACGACGTCGCCGAACTCATGTTCTCTCTTGTTAAACCCTAAAACCCTGCAAAGAGAGAAGATAGAATTCTGTTAATGGCGGAATCAATATCAGACATGGAAGATCAAGGTACAATAAGAGCTTAAAATGTGCAGACTCGTTTAGCTTTTAGCAATATATGTTTGATTTTGCCAGCAACAACCAGAAAAAAAAGCAGCTGTCCTCTGGAAAAGTAGTAAAAACTGTGAACTGCTGGGAATCTTTGAGTCAATTACTATCTTGTTTAGCTAATATTTGGACTTGGTTTGTCCTTTGAATGAAGAATTTTGTTTCTCTATTGCGCTTTAATATTTTTGTTTGTCTTTGAGCATCTTTTAATCCTCTTGGACAGTGTGGGTTGGTGGAGAAGTGAATTACTCCCTAACTGAATAATTTGTTTGCTATTTCAGGAATGGTGGAGGACGGAGGGAATATAGATCTTGAGGTGGAAAAATCCCCATTGATGGCTTTCAGACCTTCCCACGATGCTAAACTTAGAGAATTATTGCATAAGATTTGTTTACATGAGATTAAGCTATGCTCTGATGCATCAAAGGAATTTATTAAGTTACTAAAGGGAGAAACTGGCGGCGATTTGTTGCGTCTTTATTTCCAGAACTCACCAAACTTTGCTGAGCTTCTAGAGGCATGGAAGCTTCGACATGGAAATCAAGGACTTTCCTATATATTCTCACTTATCCAGACGATTTTGAGTCATCCAGAGGGAAAAGGTAGATCAACTGATGTTGGAAGAGCTATTGACCAGTTTGGTAGGTTACTTTTTGAAGAAAAACTGGATGACATTTGCAAAGAATTGAAAAGCAAAGAGGTAAAAAAACAGAATGCTGCCCTTTCATTGTTGGCTTCGATTGTTAGACGTGGTTCAGGTATGGCATCAGAAATAGCTAAGATATTTGATTTTAAGGGTTTCACAAAACTAGCAGAGTATAGAACGCGAGGGGCTGAAAAGGCTAGAAAACACTCAACAAGGAAGGCCTGTGTGGACTTTGCCATATCATTCATTGAAGTTGGGAAGCCTGGATTGCTAAGGTCAGTTTTACAGCAGAAAGAAATGTATTCTAAAGTCCTGCGAGGCCTTGGGGGAGACGATGAAGACACTGTGGCTTCTGTCTTGTCTACGTTGAAGGATAAGATCCTTGTTGAAGAATCATTGATTCTTCCTGGTCTAAGGAGTGTTCTTTTTGGAAGTGTGGTGTTAGGGGAGCTAGCCAGCATTTCAGCAAGAGAGGATGGTGGAATTGTGAGTGAGTTGGCTCATGATGTTCTTGTTAAAGTTTGCACAGACCCCTCTAATGGACTGATGCCAGATGCAGGGAGAAATTTGGCAGGCAATTCTAACAGACTACTAATGCTCATGAAAAAGTTGAGAGCAGCAGAAATTGGTTATCACAGAGATTTGCTTTTAGCTATTGTTAGGGGTAGACCTTCTTTAGCTTCGGCTTTCTTTGACGAGTTTCCGTACAATGTGGAAGATTTTGCATCACCATCCTGGTTAGTCTTCTTCAGAGCACGAAAGTGTATCTATCTATATTTTGCTGCATGTACCCTCAGATTTTTGCTGCTTTGTCGTTCTTTTTGCATAGTAACTGAAGTCATTGCAGGTGTTCTTTTATTTCCTTGGCAGCAGATTTGGTATCGGCAGTAAGAACTTCATTTTCTTTTGACTTTCTCAATCCAGACCAACATGCTACACCTCATGGTGGTTCAGATGTTCAGACTATTATGAAATGCATATGCCCTCGACCATTTAGCCGGTCACTTGTCACTAAAGGGATGCTCCATTCTGATTTTCTTGTGAAACATGGGACCTTGAGATTTCTCTTGGAGACTCTGAGGCTGTTGGATTCTTTTGTTACCGCTTGGAACCAATCTTCATCTCATAGATGTTCTGTTGAGCAAAATCATGTTTCTCTCGAGCGGAACCTCATGGGTGAGGTGAGAAGCTTTTATCCAGAATTCCAGGTGTTATGGACTTTACTGAAGTCCTTAGGCGGTTCTAGTGCAACTCAAAAGCCGCCTTTGAAGAGAAAATTAGAGTTGGATGGTGGAAAAGTGAGCAGAAAAAAGCGCTTTAAGCAATCTGAGAAGGATGTTTTGGAAGAAGAAACTGGTGATATTGTCATTGGTGGGGTTGTGGATGCTCATATGACAAATCAGGAAGATGCTGAAAAAGAATCTCTTGGGATTGTTTCAGAAATTTGGGCTTCAGAACTTTGTTCTAAGCCTATTAATTCGGTTGAAGAAGCAGAGATGTGCTTTCACATAAAGCTTCTGGATGCCCTCAAGATTTATGTGGTACGCTGACATTATTTTGTGTTGTTGATAATGAATAAGCAGAACCTCTACAAAATTTGTTTTACTCAGCTTAATGATAACTAGTGACAGGATGTCAAATATTAATTTTGAAGTTTTTGCAAGTGTAGTATACCGATCGAAGTTTGAAATTTGAGTTGTAGTGATTTGTCCAGTTGACAGGTAGAGAGAACGGAAACGGTCATGCTTTGCTTACTGAGTTCTGGTCAAATGTCTCGTTTCTTGTGTCACTTCTATATTACTTATTAATTATTGTAAAGATGTTTATGTGTTATTGGTGGCTTAGACGTTCTTCATCTGTACTTGATGAGTTCGGGTTTTAAGCTTTGATATTTTACATGTTTTCATATTTGCAGTGTGGTGTACATAATGTGCTTGAAGGAGCGTTTGATATCTTCATGAAATTTCTGAGCAATTCTTTAAGTTTGCCTGCTGAATTGCAAAGAGCTTTCTTGTCTTTGCTAAATGCGTACATCAGTTGGACGCCAAAGGACCTAAGTGACAGAGGTCCTACTAGATATCCACCACTTATGTACAAGCATTTGCATGTGTTCATGAATTTGTTACTTTTTGCACCACACAAGGAAGTGAAGGATCTAGCGTACAATTTAGCAATGGCAGCTATGAGCAGCAGTGGTGCATTTGAAAAAAATTCAAGTGAAATTGGTGCATGGTTCTTGTTTCTACCAAGTTTTGATAAGATTAATCTTCCTCCTGAGGTTCAAGAGGCTGTACAGAGCATGTCGTCAGTTGTCATCTCCTTTTTATGCGACGCAGTTAGAACTGTTGGAAATAATTTATTCAAGCCCTGGGACATTGTCAGAAGTTGCTTGTCCCATTTAAAAGATATAGGTAATTGTGCCCTCGAAATCAATCGTTTATTATAGATATCACATGCTTACTCATTTTGCTCTGTTTTAGTGTCTGCAATGTAAAATATGTTGCTCCTGTGTTTGTTTTAGGTACCTTGTTCTATGTAACCATTTTTTTAGGTAACGACTGCAAAAATTTGTTGTCCGCACAAAGATGAAGATGATTATCTAATATCTCTGCAATTAATTTATGAATTGATGAAAAGTGTTGGTTATTAAACAGAACTAATAATCTCATGCAAGTTATATCCTAGTGACTTGTCCTGTGGACTTGTGATAAGCCTAGAAGTATTTATTGACTGGGGGTATCTTCTTTGTGTTGGTTGCAGGTGTATCAATTGGATTTAGCCCTCTAATTGTTTGTGTACTGCAGAAGTGTGTGAGGCTAGTAAATTCTGAAGCTAAAACGTATTCGTTACCAAAGAAGTCAGCAATATCCCTGTACGTCTGCAGCACACTGAAATATCTTTTGCAAACTCAGGTAAATATCTTTAAACGCAGGTGTATGTATATAACTTTTACCATCAAATAGGTTCATATTACACCGCTAAAGGTACCAATATCTTTTCTATAAATTCAATATTGTAGGCAGATTCCAGATTACTCTCATGTTTGATCCAGTCAATTTTGTCTGAGGTGGTTGATGAATCTAAGGTTTCTTTATGTGAATGGAGGCCATTGAGAATGTTACTTCTTTTCTCACAATCCTTGTCAGACAAAAGAACTATCATCTTGCATTCCAGAAGGACAATGAGTCTACTTGCTGACAGTTCTTTTTCAGAGACTCTTGATGAGATCAAAGGACTGGTGAGAAGCATTTCTCCAGATGAAACTACAGGAATAGTTAAAGCGTTTTCTTCTGCATTGATATGTGCAACACCTGAATCGATCTTGCAAAATTTTGCTCCTGTGATGGCTGTTTCTTGGGCTTTTTACGGAATATCATTCTCATTTTTACAGTCCATCTTCTTTTTAGAGGAAAACTTCCTCGGAAACCTTTCAAAGCTATCACTTGACTTGTTTGTGCGAGGTTCAGATATTACTGGGTCAAGGAATCTTTGGGAAGGAACAGTAGATAGTGAGATTGATTTTTCTTGCCACTCATCCATAGCTGAAGAAATCAGAAGTAAGATGGATATTCGTGATATTGAATCTTCTGCCTTCTCGATGTTAATAGAGCATGCTCCTTTTCCTATATTACTTACTGCCATTATGAGCATGGATATATCTTGCTTACCAGTGTTTCCAAGAATTTCAGAGCTACTGTTGCTTAAAGTTTTGCAGCCTAAAAGTGGTAGTATTGACTCAAATATCCAAGTAATACTGTTCTGGCTCTTTCAAATACGATCATCTTACAAGGTTCAACCAGCTCCAGTACTCTGCCAACTCTCTGAGATCTGCTTACGTCTCATGAAGCACTTATTCTCTCAAATATCAGAAATGAAGCTTGTTTCTGGACCATCTTCAAATAAGTTGCTTGCTTCATTTGCAAAGCAGAAGCATCAAGTGGCCCAGACAGTTCTTTGCCACCCAGTTGTGATGGCACTGTTAGAGAGTCCCTTGGATTGTTCATCACGTCAAGTACAGAATGTTGAGATTTTTTCAGAAAATTCGCTGACAACGGAGAGGCTAGTTTTTAGTGAAATAGATCAACACATCCTTGATCTATTGGTTTCTACGTGTGACTTTTTGTTTGATGAGAAACACAATGTGTGGAAATGGGATGTCAGGGAAAATAACTCCACTATAGCTTATAAGGACTTCGTTGAAAGGCTTCTCTTGGAATTCAGGGTCAAGTTTGAGCTTTGTGTTGATTCTCAAAATTACGCTTCTCTTCTCCAACTATCACAATTAATTCATGCTTTGTTGAGGTTCATATCACCTTTTCAACTTTTAAATGTTGCTCATTCCATGCTGAGTAAAATTGATGAGAAAGAATCGGCTAGCCAAAATTCAAGTAAGATTCTTAGTTTGGGATTGGGTATTGCTGGCGGAGCTTTTGAAATGCTTATATTTTACTCACACCAGCCGACTGCTACGAGAGGGGTATATGATTTGCTGTGGGAATTAGAAGAAAATAATTATGACAGTAACCTCATTGAGAAAGTATATAGCATGGCATGCAAATTTTCTACCTCTTCTGGTTTGGATTCAGCAGCAGATATTTGTTTGCTTAAGGTTTGTGGTGGCATTTCCAGGGGGAAGCATTATAAAAATTGTAGTGTTCACCGGTTGGTCTTGATAATTTCACTGATTGTTGGTAGAACCCCTGAAGACTTGATTATCCATTGCATTAAACAGGCAAACATAACCAGAGCCAAGATACTGTTCTATCTTGTGGAGTCCAGTCCCTTGCATCGTTTAGTCTTTGGAAACTTTTTCTGTAGTATGCTAAGTAAGAAGCAGGATGACACTGCTCTTAGAGATGATCAGTTTATCATGCTTCTGCCTGCTGTTCTATCGTATCTGACATCACTTTCTGCAAAATTTGAGAAGCCGTGTAATAGATGTTTGGATATAACTTCAGTTTATTCAAATATACTAATAAATGGTTTTCTTCAGTGGCCACAGTTTTTGTCTAGGTCCATCTTTGAAGAGAAGTATGAAGAGATTCTTCTGTCAACGACTGAGGATATTGACACTATGTTTAATGCAAGTCTTCTTGGGAAGGCAGTACGTATGTTTCAGTATCACTTTTCCTTGACTGAAAGTCCAACTAAAGAAGATGATCTCTTTAAGTTATTTAATTCCATCTTTCCCCACACTAGTGCTAGGAAGGAGATGTTGGATTACGAGATAAAGGAAGTGGACGTTCAGTCAGTAGACCAAATGTTCAATGTTGCTATACGTGTGGTTGCAAAAGTAACACTTTCAATGATTTGTTTGTTTCCTGAGGATAGCAGTATGTGTCATCTTAAACGTGAAGCAGGTGCTTCCCTGAAGGAAAGATCTCCTAAATTTAGATCCAATAGAGCGGTTTTATCAAAGCCGTTACTAGATGCTTTAGTTAATTGTTGGCAGTGTGTTGTCAAGAAATCTGATGGGTCTTTTACAGGGAATTCTGAAGGAAAACAAGAAAAATATTGGTACTTGTGCAAAAGCCTTGAAAACTTCATTTTGAGAAGTATTCTACAGTTTTTAGAAAACATGTGTGAGGAGGTTGTTCAATTGGATTCCCTTCCCTTCCTGGAGAGACTGATGAAATCAATTCTTCTGTATAGATTTGAGGACTCGAAGACACTGAAGATACTGAGAGAAATTTTCTCCTTGTTGTCTAGAGGGAAGTACTCGTATGCACCATATATCCAACTCTTAATATCTCACTCTCAGTTTACACCAACCATCAGTTCTCTCTCCATATCACCCTCACATACTGGTGAATTATTCAGGCCTGTCTCTAGCATCCTAAAACATGTTATCATCTCAAGTCCGAATTCTGTCAGAGCTAAAAGTTGTCGTTTTGAAGCACCCTACTATGCTAAGCAGTTAGAAATTGTCAAAATTCTCAGAGTACTGCTCTCCAAATGTGGAAAAGGTTCAGGCATCAATCTCAAAGAACTGCACTTTCTTCTTTTGTGTTCTTATGGCGCAACTCTGAGCGAAATTGACTTGGAGATCTTCAAGCTGATGCATGATATCAAGTTGGTTGATGCCGAACACACGCTGAATGTTTCTGAAACAGATTGTTTGTGGGGTAAAGCTGCATTGAAAATAAGAGAGGGACTGCGTTTCTCTCAAGATGCATCTTATGTTGGTGAATCTGATTTTTTGGAAGATGTCCGCCAGAGTCTTTTCAAAGAGAATCTTTGTGTTGATCCCAAAATGTGTGCTCTAACTGTTTTGTTTTTTCCTTATCAACGAACTACAGAGGTATCGGATAATTTATACCTATATGATGATCCAGTAAACGAGGTACGTTCTTTCTTTTAAATTTTCAGTTAGAAGTTCATGTACTTGCAATTTTGAACATCGATAAAATACATCCTTCGTCCCTGTGTAGAAATGTTCACCTGTTATGGAGGACATTGAACGCTACGATCCGGTTTTCATCTTGCGCATCTCTATAGACTCATTGTCCATGGGATTTATTGAACCTGTGGAATTCGCCAGCTTAGGCTTGCTTGCAGTTGCATTTGTGAGCATGTCTTCAGCAGATCTTGGGATGAGAAAATTGGGCTATGAAACTCTTGAGATATATCTTGATGCCCTTGAGGTAATTGTTATTTTATGTTAGCTTATCTGTATGCATGTATCATTCCTTTTGTAAATGGTACTTTCAGTAACTTAAATGCTACAAAAGATGGGAAAATATATTATAGGAGGAAATATTTTGGCTATTCTATATGCACAGAGGACTTGTGATTGCAACTGCTAGCTAGCAGAAGTATTTATTTTGTTGGAGTATGGGTCCGAAGCCTACCAATCCTTTTTTTTTTTTTTAAGTAATTGGTTTTGCAAAGCTTCAACAGTTAGATTTGTTCTCAATTATCCAAAATTAAATTGGTTCTTGTGACACAAGTGAAACTTTTTTTGCTTTAACAATAATTTTTTTTATGTAGAGTTGTAGGAAAAACAAGCATGTAACAGCGCTGCGGCTTCTGCTGATGTATGTACAAAATGGGGTTGAGGAACCATGGCAAAGAATCCCAACTGTTTCTGCCATTTTTGCCGCTGAGACATCTCTGATATTCTTGGATCCTTCTCACGAACATTATGTTCCCATAAATAAACTTTTGAAGAGCTCATCTACACTGAAGCTGAGGGTACTTATTCTCTATAAACTGTAAACTCTAGGCTTTATCCTTTGTACTTTGCCAGAACTCAAACTGTTTTCGATTTTTCTCTTTGTTAGGGAATACCTTTGTTTCATGATTTTTTCTGGAGCAGCGCTGTTAACTTTAGGTCACAGAGATTTTGGGTACTACGCCTAGTGTGTGCAGGCTTGAAATCAGATGATGATGCTCAAATTTACATCAGGAACTCCATCCTCGAGACAGTGATGAGTTTTTCCTCATCCCCTCTTACTGATGATGAAACCAAAGGACTAATCCTTCAGGTGATATACTTTCTTTCCTTAATGTCCTATAGTATATAGTGTTTATACTGCACATATATGCAAATGCAATTCCTTCTTTAAAATCAATATAAGGTTAATGCTCAGAATATATTTATTTGGTCTTGTGTACTATGGGGTATCTTTTCTAAAGCTTTGAGATCTTAATCCAACGCGACATAAACCGTCTTTCTTTCAATCTTCAGGTTGTAAGGAAGTCGGTCAAATTCCATAAGATGTCTCGACATCTAGTTGAAAACTGTGGTCTGTTTTCATGGTGTTCATCATTTATCTCAACGTTTACTACAAACCCCATTGGAGACGAAGATTTTTGCTTGGTAGCTGTCTTGGAGGTTTGTACAATATTATCCAGTAATGCTATTAATTAGTTATGGACGCTGCATGTGTGCTGTTTAAAAATATAGTCTTTCTTTACATTTTTGCAAATCAAAATCTGTAGAATATGATGATGAACGCAAAATTGAATAAAATTCTCAATGGTCAACCATGGTTGTTGTACTCAAGAGTCCTTATGTAGTATAGTTCACTAATTGACTTACTTTGTGATAATTGTCGTATCAGGTCATAACTGATGTTCTCGCCTCCAGAAACGTTACAGAGTGGTTGCAACGATGTGGCCTTGAAGGGCTAATGGAATTCTCATCGCGTTTATACAGAATTTTAGGTGGTGGATTGGTATCAGTACAAGAAAATGATACTTCAGTTGATTTAATTTTGCAGATACTATCTGCTACTCTAAAGATTTCTCAGAAACGAAAAATGTACCAGCCACATTTCACCATCACAATTGAGGGAATATTCCAACTCTTTGAGGGTGTTGCTAATTCTGGTTCTCCTCAAGTCGAAGCTAGTTCAGAGCGTGGGCTTATTACTATATTAATGAGCATCCCACCAGTTGACATAATAGGCATGGTATATCTCTCTCTCTCTCTCTCTCTCTCTCTCTCTCTCTCTCTCTCTCTCTCTCTCTCTCTCTCTCTCTCTCTCTCTCTCTCTCTCTCTCTCTCTCTCTCTCTCTCTCTCTCTCTCTCTCTCCGTCTGTCTGACTATTGAGTAGCCCTCCAATTTTGTTTTGAAGAGCTTAAATTTTTTGTATCATATGATATCTTTTCAGGACGTGGACAAGTTGAGAAGGTTTCTTTTGTGGGCGACCTCCACAGCCTTAAAGAGTGACCATACAAGGGTATCAAAATCTAGCGACTCTCATCAAGATTCTAAAAAACTCACTGAAGAACCACAAGAGGAGACTATGGTAGTAAAGTTTCTACGCTGGCTGTTGGCTTCAGTGATTCTTGGGAAGCTCTATTCTAAAGCTAGTAAAGCTAATCATTCGGTCCCGACAGTCTTAAGTAAAACAAAGCCAGAAACTTTGTTGACATTGTTAGACTACTTCAAAAAAAGGAATGTCGATGACAGCATGGAAAATTCAGAGCAAATAATATGCGAAATAATCGTGTATCTCCAAAAGCATCTTCTGTGTAAAAACTACAGGGTTCTTCTTCCCTCTGTTGTATTTGCACTATCTCTCATGCTTCTTCACAATTACCTCGGGACGGAAGGTATGCTGCTTTTGACTGACTTACACAGCTCTTGTTCTCCGGATTACTTGGCTTTGATTGAGAATTGAACTCTTTACTAGAGTAGGTTTGGGTTTGGATATTGGAATCATGCTTTCTGCATAAATTTCAGTTGATTTGAGATTTAAAAAATGTATCTGTTGAAACTCTAAAATTATTCAGGCTTGTTCTTAGGAGTTAAGCTGCATCGAGATCAGCCAATCAACATCTGTAATCTGAATCTATATTTTTCTTTCATTCTTCTTTTCAGATCTCAATGGCGATTACAAACTCATCAAATCGTTGTGCGCTAAAATTAGCTGTCCTCCTGAGGCTATTCCGGGCTGGAGATGGTAAATGATTTCCTATTGTTCATCATTCCAAAGCTTGGACTCCAAATTTTGACCTGAATCCTTCTCCACAGGTCATATTATCAAGCGTGGTGGGATCTTTCATCGGAACAAGCCACAGATCTGGACAAGATCGGTGAACTTCATGCGTGCCAACACCTTTTGCTGATATTCTCTGATATGCTTGGAGAAACGCCTCGGGAATCTCTACATAGAGATTTTGACTTGTCCCAAGTATTTGAATGGGAGAGAAGTTTAGTTGAGACCTAGTCATTACCTTTGTAGTACTGTATCATCTAATTCAAACAGTTTTGTTATATCAATGACAAAAGTTTTTATTGATTCATTCACGTCGAACAGTGTTAAGTTTTGGTTGTATCAGTGAGAAATATTATGGAGCCAGAGTCGAAATATATTAATATCAGGGTATCCGGCTGCAACCAAAAGTTCCAAGCATAGTCACTTTCAGTAAATTTCTCCACAAAAGAGACATGGACATTAATGTGCATGATTTTTATATACAAGAATATACAGGACCTTGGCAACGGTCTTTTTTTTTTCAAAGTGAAATTTTCTAATATAATTCGTGCATAATAATAACAACACGAAATCATTTCTAACAAACAGGCAAATACTGTTGATTTTTCGGGTCTAGCAGTTTTTTGGTCTATGGTATTTTGGAGGCAGAGACGGGCAATGCTCGTTCATATGCGGATATGGCTCCATCGTGTTGTAACTGGGAAGCTCCATTCTGTATTTCCCAAGTATTTGACAGTATGGAAGGTTCACATCGTCATTGTCATTGCACCATTTAGGAAAACGGCTTGCATTGTTCTCGAAAAACTTGAGCATGTAAGCATCTTTGATCTGTAAGAAGTAATTCCACTGTTCAGTATGTTGTGTGACTGTACATTTTCTAGAGTCTGTATAGGTTGTTTCTCACCGTGAATTCCGTGACTTGAATGGAACTGGAGATTGGATCAAAAAGGCCAGCTTCTTTGTACATTTCGAGGATGAAAGCGATACAAGAAGTTGATTTCCCATCACTATATATCCAATCATCTTGTTCCGGAACTGCCAGCAACTGGTCAAAAGAGGATCCACGCTTCTCCACTTCCACTAGCACATCTGGAAGATCAAGACCCTGCCATTGTAGAACATCTCAGAGAAAGAACTAAAGAAAATAAACCAATGATGATTTTTACTGGAGAAAAGGAGAAGGAAAACACAGAAAGCATATGGTACCATCTACCATGTGCCAAAAGCCAATGCTACTATAAAAGCTTCGATTTATTTTAACTCAAAGAGAAAAGTAAAAATGTTGATACCTCTGTTCCGAGTCGCTTGTTAAGGGCTTCGTTCCACATGTTAGCAGCATAATCAGGCTGGATTTTGCTCCAAACTGTCATGACAGAAGCAACCTGGAAACAGGTAAAAGAAAAAGAAAAAAGTTACAGAAGAAACAAACACAACCTCATCCATCATTAATTGATAGAAGCTGTTTAAAGAGCGAATAAGAAAGAGACTAACTGAAGCTCATGTTTTTAACAATACCAAAATACTGAAAAATGAAACCTACAAGATGAGCATCCAGAGGAGGTGGGTAGTTTCCGCTGATGGTATCGATCCAGCTAAATATCAAGTTGTGATAGCCATATGGTTTACCATCCATGCTACAAGCATATTCCCACGCAGCTGTAACATTAAACTTGGCTCGATAATCAGGATGCAACGGTAGCAATGCGATGTGGGGATTTGAGTCATCCTTGGTTTGTTCAAACTCCCACCACTCTTCCCATGGCAATATCGCTATTACATCTTCTCCCTATCATCCCAAGGTTCAAAGGAGAAGACAGGAAATATTTCAGGATATGCTGGGAAGATAAATGCAGTTCCATTAAAAGAATCAGTTTCCCTAAGACCGGCTTGGAAATAAGTCACTCGCAAAAAAAAATTAACATGTCATATCAAGGTCAAAGCAACTATTTAAATGTTACTACTCATCAACCATTATGACGATGTTCAACCAAATCAGTTTAGTTTTTTTCTTAGCAGTGATGATAATCTGATGATGATACCCAGAAGAAGATCTAGTACTCCATGGGCTACACCATTTTTCAAAAGAAGCAACATCTAAGTTAAAACTAATTCATCCACCAATTTAAGTTTTACCTTTTCATTTTCATTCCCAGATTCACCAACCCAGAGTTTACCTTCAGAATCCCTCAAACAGACAGCAGTGTGGCCAGCATAGGCTCCACTTACCCACTTCTCAAGGGTCTCAAAACCACCCCACCGTCCACGGATTTTGGAGATAGCTAGTAAGTCTCCAGAGTGAATTTCATCGGTAGTAATGTTTGTAACCCAAGGTTTAGGACGAGGGTAGAAATTGGCACCCATATGGTTCTTAAGAAACGCGATATTAGAATTCTCCCCCCAACCTGTATTGGTGAAGAGAGGGAAGACATCCCACAGCGCTCGGAGAGTTCCCAACATCCCTGCTTCCATGAGGAATATTGAAACTCCTTTCTGCTTAACCTGAGTAAATTTGAGCCCCAAAAGGCAAAGCAAAAGCCATTAGAATATTAATTCTAAAAAATGGGCAAACCAAAAAGATATAGCAAATGAAAAAAGTAGCTTACATATTCATACTCGGCTTTCCCCTCCCACTCCTTGAACTCCATAGTGTGCTCCCTCGAAACAAAGTACCAATCCCATGTCACACGATATGGAGTCACAAACACATAAATATCCATGCACGTCCAACTATGTGCCTTATCGACCTGCACAAAACACGTATTAACAGAATCAATTTAGGATGATTCGAAAAACAGCTAACCAGGATTATATAGAAAGGTGGAAACAAAACAAGGGAACTGAGTAACAACTGATGCAGGAAATCACCACCTAACAATAGAATAATCTAAAAATATGTGACCTTATCATCTAAACATCCAAGATGAAGAGTACATGTAACTCCCTGTAATTTGAAATGTCCTCCGAAGTTTAGGAGCTCAGAAGCCTAAATAACGAAAACAGAGCACACTAATAGCAACAATTTCATCATTTAGTGACCTTAATGTGAAGTGTGCCGCCGCCGAATTCGGAACCGGACTTGTTATTGAGCTCCAACCAAGCCTTGTTCTCGTAGAAGCAAGCACCTTTCCACTCAACGGCGTCGTTTTTAACAGAAGCGGAGCCGACGAAAGTAGGAAGGAGATCGACGGCTGTGTAGAGAGAATTGAGAACCGGCCAGGAGACTTGCCTGGGCAAAATCGGAAGCAGGTCCCGTGGATGAAATGGTAATTTCCCGGATGAAACAGTGAGAAGCAGCAGTAAGGTAGCGGCGACGAAGATGCACGGAGACGATGAAGCAGCCGCCATTGTTAACGCCTTGAGTCGGTTGCTCTTTCCTTTCCGTGTACGAATTCGCATGTCTTGATTTTTCGATCGTCCATGAGTTTTTGTGTTTCTCAACGTATTTTTTTATTTGAGTTTATTTCATTTTCCCGTATAAAAAACAAACTTTCAATAAGACAAAACAAATCCGAATATACCAATCTAATCAAATTCGACAATTTTGACAATTTTGCCCAAAAAAAATTCGACAATAACCGAAAACGGACTGAATAGCACATTTTGGAAATATTAGGTGTAGTTTGTAATTTGTTTAAACTAAGAATCCAAATGTTTAAAGTATATTCGTAGTTTGTAATGCGCTCGCTAGCTAGCGATCACAATAGTCCCACGCAGCCCTAACGTACACCACAACATAATATAGGGTAACCTCTACCTCATTTTCTCATTTCGTCAACGTAACGTAATCTCTTGCTCTGTGTCATTCATTGGTTATAGTTTCGAGAACACCAGAAATTTTGTGGCTGCATCATTGATTATAACTTTATTCTCCCACCTGTAATCTCTTCCTTTGTCTATTGGTTTTCTATCTCTCCTCTCTCACCTGCTCTCTCTCAATGGCGGCATCACTTCAAACCAAGTACCCTCTCAGACCCATCACCAACATCCCAAGAAGCCACAGTCCGTCACTTCCCCGTGTACGTGTTACCTGCTCTGTTACCACCACCAAGCCTCAGCCTATTCGTGAGAAGCTTGAGGTAGAGCAATGCATTGTGACAACCCTGCAATCGACCAAGCCCCAGCCGAAGCTCGTGGTTGAGCAACGCCTTGTGAATCCTCCTCTGCCCAATGACCCAACTCTGAAGTCGACATGGATCCACCGGTTATGGGTTGCAGCGGGCTGCACCACCTTGTTTGTCTCTTTAGCTAAATCTGTCACTGGAGGGTTTGATTCTCATCTCTGGCTCGAACCAGCTTTAGCAGGTTATGCAGGGTACATTTTAGCTGATTTGGGCTCCGGTGTCTACCATTGGGCTATCGATAACTACGGTGACGAGTCAACCCCTGTTGTAGGAACCCAAATCGAAGCCTTTCAGGGTCACCACAAGTGGCCATGGACAATCACCAGACGGCAATTTGCAAACAATCTACACGCTCTGGCTCGAGTCATAACATTTACAGTTCTCCCGCTAGACCTTGCGTTTAACGACCCTGTGATTCATGGCTTTGTGTGCACATTTGCATTTTGCATAATGTTTAGCCAGCAATTCCATGCTTGGGCACATGGAACCAAGAGTAAGCTTCCACCTCTCGTGGTAGCGTTGCAGGACCTAGGCCTGCTTGTTTCACGGAGACAGCACGCGGAACATCACCGAGCACCATATAACAACAATTACTGCATAGTGAGTGGGGCATGGAACAATGTTTTGGATGAAAGTAAGGTCTTTGAGGCTTTGGAGATGGTGTTGTATTTCCAGCTCGGAGTTAGACCAAGGTCATGGAGTGAGCCAAACTCCAACTGGACAGAAGAAACCGAGATCTCCAACAACCAAGCATAAATATTGTGTATGGGTCCATGAAACAAAATTTCTTGATACATGTACAAGGAAATTTAAAGAATATACTGATAAGATTTGTTCGTAATTTATATGTTATAAGTGACTGTATTTCATATAACAAAAACAAAAAGAGCATATACCAGGTTAAGGATCAGATCCAATGGATGAGTAAACAGAAGAAACACAGGGGAACCAGTATCGACACTTTCCGTCTTTATGGCCATTGTCGATCATTGCGAGTCCCTCCTGCAAATGAATTAAAAATTTGTAAAGTTTCAGGACTCGCATTGGTTGCATTGCATCTACTATAGAGGTATTGAAGCGCATAAATCCAATTGGGGAAATGATAGCAAAAATGCATACTTCTAACAAAGTCTCGAGAGCATCTGTAACCCGACCAGATGTCCAAGAGAGGCGTCTTTGTACCTCTTCCACAGTCACGAAACCTTGGCCCTGTGCGGAAAGCAACATAAATGCTTTAGTCACTTCAGTTAGAACTTCTCAGATACAATGTGAAACATGTGGAAGTTGTTTTGTTTAGTGGAAGAGTGTAATAAATGAGCATGACCTGAGCCAATTCCAAGATCTGGTTATGGTCTTTGTTAAGCTCTGTAGGAACTGAACGGACCAGCTTTTTCTTGCCAATTGTGATAACCTCAAATCCGCTACCCAATACCTGAGGAAAAGAACCCAAGATACAAGCAAGAACAGTTCAAAATTTCCGGATTATCCAAAATCTAAAAGAAGAGAAAAAAAGTAACACAACTCATTTACCTTTAACTTGCTAATAGCCCGAAGACAGTCATCTTCAGTCACAGCTTCACGGTCTTTCTTCCTTCTTTGACGAAGATGGTTGCAGAGCTCTTGCAAGCTGATCAAACCTCCATTGTGTGACCTTGTAAGCATACAAACTTCAATAATCTGAACTCCTGTTAGATGGATTTACGAACTAATCAGAAAATTGTTACATCATGCTTTCTAATGTCACAAAGAGTATGCCCAATTTCCAAGAAGGAAAGAAAAAGAAAAAACAACATGTATAACATACTCATACACAAGAGCTTTCTACTTCCTATACATAGACATGAATTTATGATTCATAATCATAAGCATCTTAATCTCTGAAACAAGACAAGAAAAATTGATGAAACATACCAAGTTCATAGTAGAAATCACCAATTCCCAGTAGCTCAGCCCAGAAACCCTTGTTTGAAGCTAGAGGATCCACACCAATTTTAGCACACATTTCATGGAACTGAGCCCTGAAGGCGGGATTCTTACGGATGTCATTCTGGAACCAAAGACAAATTATGCTTCTTTTCAGGAATTTCTAAACCACAGTTTCCCATATGTTAGACAGATCATATTAGTTACTTAATACCAAGTCTTATAACAGCAAATATAAAATTCTCAACAAATCAAGACCTTGTGTTTACGAGCAAACTCTTCAAGCTGTGACCTGAAAGTGGCGAGCTGTTCTTTCATCATATCAGTGCGTAACTTGGCCACATTTTCTCCTAGTAAACGGTATTGATCCTGATTTTGATGGATACAAGTTAGAAGCTGAAAAATAAAAACAATCAACTAAGATTCCGACAGGAGCATATCAAAACGGGTTTAGGAGTAACACCCTAGCAGCTGCAGCCTTCTGTAACCCTCCGATTCCTGGTCTTCGTCGCATCTTTCCCTGATTTTTGGATCTTTGGCCTCAATTCTCTTCCGGTTGGGGATTTTGAGAAGAAGAAGAATTTGGAGAAGACGAGCTATTTAGTTATGCTATATATATTTTTCAGTTGAAGAGTCTTTCAATAAATCAGAGTGGCGCAGCGGAAGCGTGGTGGGCCCATAACCCACAGGTCCCAGGATCGAAACCTGGCTCTGATATCTCCATCTTTTTTGTTCCTTTTTTTTTTTTTTTTAAAAAAATCTATAATATGGATCCATTGTCTAACCAATTTTGATGAGACCCTAGGGAGAGCCACTACATTAGCTTTCAAGTATTTAAGGTTCTTTCTGTCCTCTTCAATGCGAATGTTCACTGTTTCAAGACATTCCAACTTCCCCCAAGAAATGTCTCATATGCTTCAGCTCTCTAAAACTTCCTCCGTACCCTATAAACACTCGACACCACGACAAACAGCATTCTTTCTCCATGTCCTTCATACGGATGCAAGCGCATGCGTCTCCACACCAATCCGTAACTTTGTGCACAAGTCCCTGTATACCTTGATGACCAAAGTTTGTAGATTTGGGGAGCTGTCGAGTAGTCTTGTCATTGCTTGCCACCAGCCTTTCCTTGTCACTTTATAAATTAACGAAATCAAAATCACTAGTGATGGTAACTCGCTTGACGTTTGGACTTGACAAGTATGACATCCAAACACATATGAATAATTCCTCTAGCGCAGGGCAACCATGGATGAAGAACTTATCCATGTCACGAGTTGGAAACAATACTGAAAGGATAGTAAGTGTCTTGAGGGCTGGGAAAAACAAACACCCAAGAGGAATTAAGACGGCCTAGAGGATGAAATCCATAGGAAACGGTGAGCTCAACAAGTGTGTTGCTAGTGAAAAACTGAGAATCTATACTGAGAGCATAGCGTGACTCTAAGTTTAGCTCCAAGCAGCCGCGCTCTAGCACATTGCGGATCCAACGGTTGATGCTAGTTTCGTCCTTTTCGTAATCACATCTCAGAGAACATTTCTTGATGCGAGGAGAATTGCTTAACAGAGCAAGAGTCTTGTCCACGAAATCAGAGAAGCGATATCGCCAACGAAGACGACTAGGACGACTTGTTGCTTTTTTGTTTGGATAGAAAAGCCTCGACTCATATGGACAGAACCGACGTTGAAGCAGCATACTTTGTCGGAACAAACGACATGATTTTGCCGAGAATATCATCGGGGAGATTGCTGATCAGATCTGTAGCCATAGAGACAGACCATAATAATAAAAACTCTTTCCTAATTTTCTTATGCCTGCAAAACAATAAGAAAAAAATTCAAACCAATTCACAACAAATCCTATAAGGGTTTTGTTTTAATTCCAAGTACATAATATTAACTTTAACTGTTAAGTCAGACTCAGACTTGGATAGTGGGTATCAACAAATGTGAACCCTACCTAAAAGTCTATTGCAGAAACAACTTGTGATCTAAGAATTCAGATCCACATTTTTCTAAATTGCTTCCATCAATCGTTTCAACTTTAATTCTGATCCAAAATCGACACAGCCCTTTCTTCGAAGAAGTGTTGAAGTAACTCCAGTTGATGATCGAAGAACAACAATAGAGAGAGGCGGAGAGGGGAGTAATTAATTTATATCCACTAAACTGATAAGACTGACTGGGCTAAATAGTAAAAAATTTAAAGTTATAAAAAAAAAACCGTGAATCACAAATACATACAGTAGCAATATTTGATCAATTCGAAAGTCATCTTTTACTGCCTTTTTTTTTTTTACTCTAGAAGAAAAATCAAACTCTAGATGTACGAAAATTATGAACAACAACGGTACTGAATTAAGCTCTGTTCACAAGATCATGTTTACTTGTCGAACTGTTGGACATCGATTTCCCAAACTGACGCCAACTGCACCACAAGCTGTTCCGGAGCAGGACCTTCCCATTCTTCAGGTGGATCCATCGTTGAACATGCGTCTTGTAAGTTGTACAAGATCTCTGTCTTCAGTTCCATTGGAACTCCAAATGTGTCTGCACCGTCTTGTAAAACCAATTCCAGCAGCTGCAAATGGCGATCAATAAAACAAAAGAAAGAGAGAAAGAGGGAGGTTAAGAACAAATGTGATGTAATTCTTGAAACCCATTTTCCTGTAAAAGATCTACCTGTTGAATCCAAGATAAGCAGATGTCGTAGAGACTATGATCCAGCAGAAACTGAGCGATGAAATTTAGAGCTTCATTTGCAATCTCATTTGACATCTGGTCAAGAGAAGGTCCTGTCCTGTCCACCAGTTTGATGATCAAGTGCTGGTCACCGGCGCAGAGGACTTCTGCATAAGCAGCATCAATGTCGCCAACACGGAGTGAGTGCATTGCATTACTCCATGAAGCCCATATCGGGTCACGTTCCTGCCCTTCGTTTTCATCGTCTCCCATGGCTTCAGCTTCAGGGGCAACAGCCACTCGGTTTGGACGAGGGACTGCACCATCCTCACCAGCTACTCTAATCGCTTCAAGTGTAGCCTCATCCTTTGATGCTTGCCACACACTTCTTGCTGAAGGGCCTTCACCAAATCTAATAGTTCCAGCTGCTTTACTATCCCAACCTCTCCTCCCAGTTCCCATGTGTTCATTCTCATATTGTTCTGACCGAGGTGATCTTCTTGGCCCGGCTTGTCCATTTCTGGAAGCAGCATGTGGAGGCATGTACCAGTCATCCGCCATGTCAGAATTCCACATCCTTCCCCTCATAGCTCCATCCGGTTGTGAGCCTCTGTCTCCTGGAGCTCGGCCATTATACTTTCCAGTTGGATAGTTAGCAAAGCTATTATATTTGCTAAATCCAGCTGTGATATTACCCCTGCGACCTGATGATATTGAAAGATCTCTTGCCATGTCTTCAACAATCCTCTCTAAACCTCTTACCCTGCCCTCTAAGGTCACCATACTATCATGTGAGCCACCAATAAACTCTTGGAGCATGTTCATAAGATTTGTCTGTTGTCTCTCTAGCTGCAACAACTGCCTCTGGATGGCTGACCAATTTCCTCTATTACTTGTGAAGGATCCTTCAGATTGGTTATCAGTATTGGAGACAGCAGCGTGATTTCCAGGTGTCTCTTTTCCATTTACAACACCAGCCGTATCATCACCAGATGTCCCTGCCTGTGATCCATTCCCATCAAACCTACCTTTTACCTGTTTAGCATCTGCTTGGAAGTTCTTGAGGCGATTTGAAGATCCCAAGGCATTGAGATCATCAAGTCCTGATTCTTCCTCATCATTGTTTTTACATCTACGAGGGACTACTACTTCCACGGATTGCCTTCTTTCGAGTCTCTGGAAAAATTCAGGATTAAAATCTTTGTCACTTAAGACAGGTGCTTTCTTCTTCAACAGTACTGCTGCAGGAAGACCTCCTTTTGCGTTAGCAGCAGAGTCTGGTGAGAGTGTGGAACCATCAGATGCCTCCTTTTTCATTAGGTCAGCTAAATTAGACTTTTTCTCCCCGTTCTTCTCTGATCCAAGCTGCTCACCAGATGAATGCTTTGACTCATCTGGAGCACCATCGACATATTTTCCAGAAATCTTCTTCCATAACTGCAGCGCCTCTGTCACACTTTCCCTAACAGGTTTGATCTGTCCAAGAAAATACCATCATTAAACTGCCTTGGGGAGATTATTACATGTCCAAACTAATAAAATTTTGATGAATGTGTAGCTCTCCATAGTTCATATAACCCATTTCACAAAACATTCCCCCATTTCAAAGCTAAGGAGTGAAAGAAAAATTATAGAAGACTAAAACTCCTTGAGATATGTAACCATTATTAAAAAGAAAATCAAAAGGGAAGGCTTCGTGAGAACTCCAAGCTACTTTCTTAAATGTTTCATCTGCATAGCAAATGATGAGAAAGGCCCAAAAGCACTATCTACCTAACAGATATGATTTAAGCTGCTGATGGCATTCCAATGCAATTGAAGAGCTAATGATGTTTAAGTTTACTTCAAAACAGAGCCACTTTAGACTACTAGAAACATGTAGCTACCTTGTAGAAATGACGTGTCTCAAACACGATAATAGTGGAAATTTATTTGTTCTTAGTTCAACCTCAGATTAAGTGGAGAAGAAAAGATAGCTACCTTGTCAAACCGACAGGTCTCGAGTACGGTAATTGTGGAATCGGTTTTTTCCTTAACTAGACCGCTTGAATGTGATGCCAATGCAGTCAAGGTCTCAGCCGCAGCCTTTCGTGTCACCCAATCTGTACTTCCAAGGCAATCATGGATACTTTCTAGCAATGACTCCAAGCTCTGAGGCGCAATGGCTCCCACCTGGACCAAATTTATTGCTCTTTACTTCTCCTTTTCACACAAAAGTTTAACAATTGCAGCAACTAGCATTGAACTACCAGATAAAAGAAAAATGCTTAAACCCCTCAAATTTTCACTGGAACTTGTAAGCCCTAATCAAAACCACAACAACAAGATAAACTTCATCCAACACTAGAAGAAAAATAGTCGGATTAAGACTAAACCTCAAAATACCGATCTATTGACTAAAGCTTCTGATATGTGGACCAAAGCCTTGTGTTCTAAATACTAACTGACTAATTTCAACATATTCTTCCATTCACCACAGCAAACATAGGGGGATTGCCTAAAAATGACAAAGAGATTAAAAGGGTTCAGTGCAAACCTGCGACAGACTTGAAACAACAGGCAAAAGAGAAGCCTTGGCCAAGAAACTTGAATTGCTCAAAAGCTTGCAGATTCTAGGGCATAGCTTTTGAAAAGAAGCAATTGGAGGACTGGCAGCAGATTCCACCATCCTAGCCATACAGACTGCAGCTCCAGATTGTACAACTTTGTTCTGCTCTCCCATTGCCTCAAACAATGGCTTAACGAATAAACCCACAGCCGATGAAGCTGCAACAGTATTGCTCCCTTCTTCTTTACCCTTAAGATAAATCCCAGACAAGGCACCAATCGTATCTCTACAAGCATCCCTAACTCCAGAATCCGAATCCTTCAACCTTTTTACTATCTGAGCGATGATTTTAGTGAGATGCGCAGCCGTAGAATCGCAATGGAGACTGCAAACGTACGAGAGAAGATGGAGGCACTCCTTTTTGACAGCAGGTTTCGGATCGGAGCACGAATCGTAGAGACAATTAAGAAACATAGGTAGGGTTTCGGGAGTGAGAGACTGAATAGTTTTCTCGAGATCTTCGACGGCGATCTGGTACGTGTCTCGATCGGCGAGCTTAGAGATAGAGGTGAGGATCTTTTGCTTCAGCTCTACCATTGCTTGGAAAGAAGTGAGGGAACCGGCATTAGAGGATGACCTAGCTGCCACACTCGAAGACCTCGCTGGTCTAGTTGGTTTCGCCGCCGAACCGGAAGTCGTAGTAGGTGTGCTCATTTGGAAATCTCCGATGAGAGCTCGGGGTGAACCGGAGAAGAAGAGTGATGGAATGGAGAAGAAAGACGAGATCTGATGACACTACTCAAAAGTGTAACGGTTAATACTGCGATGCAGAACTAGAAATTGTTGAAAAATGTGTCTTTCATTTTTTTAACCTGTATTAACTTTTTCAATCTACATATTTCAAAATTCTAGTCCTAAAATATGGAATAAAACGTTAAATTTACAAATAAATTTGTTTTAGTGTATAGTTTGGAAATATTTGAGTGGATTCAGAAAACATTACAGCAATGTAAACTATGTAAGTGGGGTTTTTCGTATTTCATTGTGTAATGTCTTTTTATTGATTGCTACGGATTTCAAATCGCATATGGAACGAATGCTTTCTTCAAATTAATAATTACGGCAACAAAATGTAATAAATGAATCAATAATGTAAGAGTTCCTATGTGATTAATTTGTTTGTTAGTATTTTAGTTGCGAGATTTACCAAGTTACCATGTAAAAAATAAGTTGGAACATTTCCATATTTGAGAGGAACACTGATTAGAGTCTAGAGAAACCATGCTCTACAATATGGATTGTGGATGTATGAGTATGCCGAATTGGCTTCTTCTTCTGTTCACATATGACATGGACTTAAGTAATCTATAATGAGTGGTACGTACAAGAAATTTTGCATGTTATAACATTTCCCTAATGACAAATCTACTTGACGGGCGTAGAACAGAGCTCATACCCGACGAAGGTAGGAGCATACCATCAAAGTTTTTGCAGATAAAAAAAAAATGTTGAAGTAGATTACAGAGAACAAATTTGATTATATAAATGATCAAATTAGTACATTTGAATAGTACGTTTGTCAAAGCCTGAAAGGTACGAACTGGGACAGTGAAGTCACACTTGTTTGTGTATGATCGCTTTTTAACCACTGGTGATCTCCGATATGCATACTACAATCAGAAATATTCTCGTTTTGTTTTAGTTTGATAAACATAGTTTTTTCAAAAAGTGAGAATGTTTTCAAAAAGGAGTAAGGACACACACAAACAAAAAAAAGTCGATGCAAACTATTTATTATTTTTTTTTTTTTGTCAACGATGCAAACTATTTATGAACCAAATTAAAGAAGAAAATGTGATATCGGATTCATTATCGTACTCCAAAATATATAATGGTTTAGTTTAGACATGGATTAATAAGTTAAGCATTATCAGCTACGTACGAGTTCCTTTTCGTTTGGTCTGCTACGACTATTTAAAACCTTAGTCGTTTGGTCCTCATCTTTAAGATCATTGACAGGGAGATCATTAATACTATCAGTGCTAGGCGCCACCGTCAAAAATTCAGGAATCTTATACGCCTTTGGATCTAAGAAGTAAAGTATCGTTGTTGTCTTTAAAATCTTTGCTTCCTTGTTTTTTCTTTTTTTGCCAAGGAACCAATCTGTTTTGGTGTTCTCTGTTGTAAATCCAAACTCTTTTCATTTTATATGATATTTACCAAATTAGCAAAAAAAAGAAAAGTGTCATTCCCGTAGAATAATTATGACATTCGTCATCATATTTGTACAAAGCCGACTACGATATATAGCAGGTTTACCAAAAAAAGATAGATGACACTAAATTAGGCCATGTGATAAACACATCCAACCCCCAAATATGTATAACACCGCCCCCCTATTCTTACCAACTTCCTCTTTTTAAATTGATTGTTCGCAAACAAGGTAACGTGGTACCGATTTCCTCCTCTATTTTATTGATTTTTCTGGTCAAGAGAAGTAGTGACCAAATCTTTTTTTTTTTTGTTGGTTTGTTTGTGTGTGTGTGTGTGTATAAAAAACCCTCACTTTCAAGGTTTTTGTCAGCAAAACATAATTTTTGGTTTTTTTTTTTTTTCTTTGAGAAATAGATAGAGATATTCTCACTAATGGCCACCGCAGGCACCGCTGCTGTTACTTTCAGACCATCCGTTTCAGCTTCTTCTGAATCGACCCATCTGAGATCGCCCTCCAAACTCCCCATATTTACGCCTCTGCCACCGTCTCGCTCACGGTCCTCTTCTTCGTTCTCCGTCTCCTGCACCATCGCCAAGGACCCATCTTTTCTCATGACGGAGGCCGCTGGATCTGATTCGCGCCTGTGGCAACGACCCGATTCCTTCGGTCGGTTCGGGAAGTTTGGCGGGAAGTACGTCCCTGAAACTCTAATGCACGCCCTCTCCGAACTCGAAACTGCTTTCTATTCCCTCGCCACCGACCAAGATTTTCAGGTAAGTTAGGCTGGTTCTGTTTTCATCTTGTTGCTCGATATTTGATCATTTCGAAATGAATTTGGAATTCACCCTGAAATCTGGGAACAACGTTCACAAGTTTTTCCTTTGTGAGGTTTCTGATTCGTGCGTTGTCATTGGCATGAATGACAAACAAAAAGTGACCAAATCGATTTCTTTGCTATGTAGGATGTAATTCTGGGAAATTGTTGTAATTTACCCTGAAATCCGGAAACGACATTTGTATTCATGTTTTCTTCAGCAATACATGCCTCTTTGTTGATTGTGATGTTATTTGGAAGTCTTTTTGGTTAATCCTCGTTTGTTGGGCAACGTCTGATTTAATATTTGATGCAACTGTAGAAAGAATTGGCAGAGATCTTGAAAGACTACGTTGGTCGTGAAAGTTCGCTTTACTTCGCTGAGAGGCTTACCGAGCATTACCGCCGAGAAAATGGTGAAGGCCCTCTCATATACCTCAAAAGGGAAGACTTGAACCACACAGGTGCTCACAAGATCAACAACGCTGTGGCTCAGGCTCTTCTCGCCAAGCGTCTAGGAAAGAAACGGATTATCGCTGAGACGGGGGCTGGTCAGCATGGTGTAGCCACAGCTACTGTGTGCGCCCGTTTTGGCTTGCAGTGCATTATCTACATGGGTGCTCAAGACATGGAGAGACAAGCTCTTAATGTGTTCAGGATGCGTCTTCTTGGTGCTGAGGTGATTTATATTCTATGCATAAACCTCATAAACTCGCAATGCTTTTGAAGTGTTAATCTAATTCTGCTGCTTGTAGGTAAGGGGAGTCCACTCTGGAACAGCGACTTTAAAGGATGCAACATCTGAAGCTATAAGGGATTGGGTGACAAATGTAGAGACTACACATTACATATTGGGATCTGTTGCAGGTCCTCATCCTTATCCTATGATGGTCAGAGACTTTCATGCCGTGATTGGTAAAGAAACAAGGAGACAAGCTATGGAGAAATGGGGCGGGAAGCCTGATGTTCTAGTTGCTTGTGTTGGTGGGGGTTCGAACGCTATGGGACTCTTCCATGAATTTGTCGATGACACAGAAGTTCGAATGATAGGTGTGGAAGCTGCTGGATTTGGATTGGACAGTGGCAAACACGCTGCCACATTGACAAAAGGAGATGTTGGTGTACTCCACGGAGCTATGAGTTACTTGCTGCAAGATGATGATGGCCAAATCATCGAACCACACTCCATCAGTGCTGGGTAAGAGATTATTCGCTGTTCAAATCTTGTTTCAAGTCAAGATTACCTCATCACCTGTATCTAAAGAGTAAACGTTAATGTGATCAGATTGGACTACCCTGGAGTCGGACCTGAGCATAGTTTCCTTAAAGACATGGGACGGGCAGAATACTATAGCGTTACTGATGAAGAAGCCTTAGAAGGTACTTAACCAGCACATCATTTTTCTTAACTTTATATATTTCGTTCACATCTCATGAGAACTTGCATTCTTGTATTCCTAATCTCACCATGTAGCATTCAAGAGAGTGTCTCGGTTGGAGGGAATAATCCCAGCATTGGAGACATCGCACGCGTTGGCCCATCTCGAGAAGCTGTGTCCGACGTTACCTGATGGAACCAGGGTGGTCTTAAACTTCAGTGGGAGAGGCGACAAGGATGTTCAGACTGCCATCAAGTATCTCGAAGTTTAAATAGAACATTACTTTCAGTTTCACACAGTGATATTTCTTTTATGTTGTTTGTTAGTTCTGGGATCTTGCTTCTGGTCAGGAATCCAGAAGTTTGGTTCAAAGGGTTAAGAAGAGAACAAATTTTACTAATGTATCATATAAATAAGAATGTTCTATGGAACGTCTGATGTTATTAGAAGAAATTCAAACTGAATTTGGCTGGTTTTTTACATTCATATCATAATTTAACCAAAACAAAGACAACACTTTTTTTTTATCAAAACACTAAACAAAAATGTAGAGCATAAAGAAGAACCAATGATGCTAGAGGATATGAAACGATAGATCAATGCAAATCCTCGGAGAAATGGTATACAAAGCAGAAACATATTGCAACATTAAGGGGTTCAAATTCAGTCTCTATCTGAATTATATTTTGGAAACTGTAACTAAAAGACTAGTTTAATACAACAAGCAGATGCAGAGTTATTACTAGATTATTTGAAAGCACAGGTTATAAACATGACTATGCTAGTAACATAATGGTGTCAGATGTCTAAAACATTCATTTTTGCACCTTCACACCAGATATCTGATAAATGGGATTTGATTGTAACAAGTGAAAACTGAGAGGGTACTAACTTGTTTTGATAAAATTATTTGGGTCAAATGAGAAACGGATAAAAGCAGAGGGGGCTAGTGTTGTAATATATTAGGTTGGGGGAGGAGTTTCAAATCTGAACGCTGAAGATAAATCACACAAAGGAGGTGCTTCGTCCTCGAAGCTTATAGAAGTAGCAAAGCAGCTGTTGTTTGATTCCCAGTTGACTTTTATCCGACGAAAATGGTCTCCACAAGCAAGATCAAATCCGTTGATTTCTACAGGTTTGTTTCTGTTTCATTGGATGTGTATTCGTTTCCCAGATTTCGGCAGCCTGCTCCTGTTTTATAGACTTCGCATTTCCTCGATCTACGCAGTGAAAGAATCGGAAATGATAATGTATTGTGAATATTTCTTCGGGAGTATCTACATTTTGTGGTTTTTGTTCCTGATTTAGTGAAGTGATAGGGTTTAGTCGTGAACAGTCCACCCGGGAGTTGAAGGTTTTGTATATGCATTGTCAAAAGTTTCATTTGAGCTTAGTGAAATCAAACTGTTCAAAAGGGTTTTATTAACTGGGGTTTATTAGTCACTTCGATTTTGGCTTTGTTGCTAAGTTTAGAATTTTTGTGGAATTGTTTCAAAAGCCCGGTATAAACAGAGATTTCATTCATGTATCCTTTGGAATTTCCTTGCTTGCAGGAAGATCCCGAGGGATTTGACAGAGGCGACTTTGTCTGGTGCTGGATTGTCCATCATAGCAGCACTCTCTATGCTATTTTTATTTGGAATGGTAAGTTTCAAGCTCACTGGACTTGCTGACTATGACATTCTATGGCGATTGTTCCGGTGTTATGTTAGAGAATAACGTCACTGCTCTTGTTTTAATGGTTTCATCTCATTGCTATTTCATAACCCGCTCAGGTTGTATCTGTATCTTTAGGAAATATGATTGCTGTTTTGACTTTGCAAATTCATATTACAGGAATTGAATAATTATTTGGCTGTCAGCACTTCCACATCGGTTATTGTTGACAGGAGCTCTGATGGAGACTTCTTGCGCTTAGATTTTAACATAAGGTACATTATACTCAATTTTTCTCTATCAGCACAAAATTCTTATAGTTTCAATAATATATATAGCGTATAAGCGTTACCCTACTGTATGCTAGAATGTTATTTTATTTTGCGCACCCATTATTTCTTGAGTTCATGGCATACCTTATCTCTTCAGAAATTTCACATGTGCGGCCCAATCAAAATCATCTAAAATTCAACATTTATCTGATTGCTAACTAGATACAGATTCTATTTTCTGGCAGCTTTCCGTCACTTTCATGTGAATTCGCATCTCTGGATGTCAGTGACGTTTTAGGAACTGTAAGTTTGGTTTCTTAAAAATTTCATTTCTATTTCTAATTTTTTCTCTATTGCTCCTGAAAATTCTTTGTTTCGAAAAGTATTTAATTATCTGCTATGTGTGGCCCAAAATTTTGGACTGTACAATATTTTCTTGAAGGAATCCGAAATTGTCAAATTGTGATACTGAAAGATTGTCTATCTGTATGCGAGATTTGAAAATATTGTTTGTTATTCTTTCTGAACATTTGTCCATTTGGTCACTTCAAATTTTCAGTTGTTCCCTCCTGATATTGCTAATTTTTGTTTTCAGAACAGGTTAAATGTAACAAAGACAATTCGGAAGTTTTCTATCGATTCAAATATGAGACCCACTGGTGCTGAGTTTCACGCTGGGGAAGTTTTATCGCTCATTAATCATGGAGATGAAACTGGTGAAGAAGTAGCTGAAGATTCGGTATCACTTACTGGACGCAACTTCGAAACATTTACACATCAGTAAGTCTGTATTGCGAATTTCGTATATCGATGCAAAAGTACTAGGAATATATTCCTAGTATGTACTTGTTTTGTTGTTCAGGTGACAACATATGAAGCTTACATTTTGCAGATTTCCAATCTTGGTTGTTAATTTCTATGCTCCGTGGTGCTACTGGTGTAATCTCCTGGTAAATCTTTTATCTTCTGTCTTCATCTCCTATATATATTCTTGATGTGACACCATATTTTTCATCCAGAATCATATTTTGCTGCCTTTAGCAAGGGTTATATTAATGTTCTTACTAGAGGAAATTTAACATGTTTGGTGCCTAAGACGCGCAAATAGTGCAATTTACACTAACCTAGTCAATCTTTCTTATGATTTCTCTTTGGCTGAAGTCGTAATAATTTCCTCATGTAAAGACTAGACTTATATAAGGATCAAACTTGATGTTTAATATCAAACTTATAAAGTAGATTAGTATCTAGTGGCACTCCAATGTAAAGTGGTAACTCTGCTGATCTTTATGCAAAGACTATAACTTAAGTCTCTATTTTCAGAAACCTTCATGGGAGAAAGCAGCAAAACAAATAAAAGAGAGGTACACCATTATACTCTCTTTCTATAAAGAATCTATCATAGTATTTTTCCCTTGTAACTTTCTTGTTTTTGGTAGATATGATCCAGAAATGGACGGACGTGTTATTGTGGCTAAAGTTGACTGTACCCAAGAAGGTGATCTCTGTCGGAGGTATATCCTATCATATTTTATCCGGTTTTCCATCTTAAGCTATGAAACTTAACTATACAGTGCAAGAAGTACTATCCATAGCTTCTTCAGTATGCATAATATTACCAAAAGAAGCTATTAGACAATGTGGAATATCTGAGATGTATGTAACGCATTTCTCTGTAACATGCAGTTACAATTCATAACTAGAGGAAGGATTAGTCAGTTACTATATAAATTTGTATTGGCTTCGTATAAATACTTCTTGTTTTATGTAAACTATTACATGCACCTCTTCAAAAGAAAGTTATGGTCGAACCAAAGAAAGGCATATCATACATAGGTTTAAGGATTTCCTTAGGAATTCACTTGCTATAGCATAGTGCATTCTCTGGAAACTTATACCAGCTTTAAGTTATAATTTATGCTCATAATTTTTCTCTGCAAATGATATCCAGGAATCATATACAAGGGTATCCATCTATTCGCATTTTCCGCAAAGGCAGTGATCTTAAGTAAGAGAACGCAACTTCAAGTTCACTTGTTCATATAATGCATGACCATCATTTTCTCGATTCTCCTAAATTAATTTTCTCCACTTTTCTATTCCCTGCTTAATAGGGATGACAATGCACACCACGAGCATGAATCCTACTATGGAGATCGTGATACGGAAAGCTTAGTGAAGGTAGTTTCTTTTTAACTACTTTTCCGTGCCTCTTAGAAAAATTAAATAAGATACGCTGTTCGCGCCTTATTTGTAGCTTGTTTCTTATTATTTTACCTTCTCCTATAGATGGTGGTCAGTCTAGTTGAACCAATTCATCTAGAGCCCCATAATCTAGCACTGGAGGACAAATCAGGCAATTCATCAAAAACTCTAAAAAAGGCACCTTCTACTGGAGGATGTCGAATTGAAGGATACATGCGTGTAAAGAAAGTAAGCATTTGACTGGGAGAATACTATTTCTTTGTATGTCTGCCTTTTAGATCGCTTAAACACTTTAATACTAACCCTATGGTCTTCGCAGGTTCCGGGCAACTTAATGGTTTCAGCTCGTTCGGGATCTCATTCCTTTGATTCTTCTCAGATGAATATGTCTCATGTTGTTAACCATCTATCATTTGGGCGGAGGATTTTGCCTCAGAAATTTTCTGAACTGAAGCGGTTATCACCTTATCTAGGACGAAACCATGACCGTTTAGACGGCCGGCCCTTCATAAACCAACGTGATCTCGGCCCTAATGTTACCGTAAGTTTGTTGTAATCAGAAAATACTATTTAAATCGTCTAATAATGCTTTATAGCATGCTTTAAGGTGCTGTTCTCCATGGACAGATCGAGCATTATCTTCAAATAGTAAAGACTGAGGTAGTGAAAAGCAATGGACAGGTTTTGATTGAGGAGTACGAGTACACAGCACATAGCAGTGTCGCTCAAAGTTACTATTTGCCAGTTGCCAAGTTTCACTTTGAGCTCTCACCGATGCAGGTAGGCTGCAACATCCTTTTTGCTGCCTTTATATATGTGTTACACAGATCAGGGATGGTAGGGTGGGTCGAAGTTACACTCTCCTCATCGTTTTCTTTGCTTGTTTGCAGGTTCTTATAACAGAAAACTCCAAGTCCTTCTCCCATTTCATCACCAACGTGTGCGCTATCATCGGTGGTGTCTTCACGGTTAGTCAACAAGTTAGAAGCCTCTTCTTCATATTCCAATTCATTAATACATTTCCCATATGACTCGTGTTTTTGCTTCTTTTTAGGTGGCCGGAATCTTGGATTCTATTCTTCACCACACCATGACACTGATGAAAAAGATTGAACTTGGTAAAAACTTTTGAAGCTCTCGCAAGTGTTTTATTCCGTGTTCCCTTATGTAACGAGTCAGAAATTTTTGTTATAATTACACATCCAGACGCCCCAAAATAATCCAGTTATATATATATATATATATATATATTCGAAAACTGTTCAAAATATCGAGTACTGTCGATACTCTCAAATCTTAGGTCATTGACAGGCGTAGCACATCATCTTATGCTGATACAGTAGCCTCACGTAAATTTCTCATGGTTCATGCAAACGAGTGTCCGTCCATTGATATGACTTTTTCATCACCAAAACTATAGGTGGTTATTGAGCAGATAGTGAATTTGAAACTAACAATAGTTCGATTTGATCAGCCAGCACTTGTCTTCTTGAGAATTGCAAGATCTGGCATCACAACAGAGTAGATTACTATCAATAAACTAACAAAATAAAAGACATAACAAGAAAAACTGGTCACTGAGATAAAATAACAAGAACTTGAGTTTTCCCCAAAAAGGTTTCATTCAAACTCGAGTAACATCAGATAATCGAGTACATAATGATTTTGAGATTTGCAAAAACAATAATTTTTGAATCCAAACACAAAAACGGATTTGTAGACATAATAGAATTGATCAGGCAGTGATCTCCTTCTTGAGTTTTGCAAGCTCTTGCCTGACAACACCAGCTTTCTGCAAACGACCAACAACCCATTAACATTCCAATTTATACATAAACGCACACGATCTCAGAAACTTTAAAGTCTGACAATTTAACACACAGACCTTGATCTTGGCCAACATGATCTTGAACCTATCGAAATCATTGAGGTTAGCCCTACGTTTCTGCACGATTAGCTTTCTGCCCCATGAGCTTTTCTCCCATTTGTTCTTCACATCTGCAAAAAAAACTCTGATTAGATGGGAACACTTGACAAAATCCAAGATGACATTACATTTCACAGCACTCACCAGCTTTTTCCATTGCTTCGATCAAAGCCTTCTTCTTTGGCACACGGTTGATGTCAATCACAATATCGGTAAGAGATAACCTCTTGAAATTCATCTGGATCCTCTCCATATCAGGGGCGTCCACTAAAGCCTGAAAAACAAGAACATAATCACGAGTCCATAAGAATACATCTAGACGAATCAAGCCTACATGAAACCAGAAGTCATAAACTAGGTAAATTCACAGAACCAACTCAACATTGAAGGAGCAACAATCACGACTTCATAGCATATACTAAAAACCAAACCAGTGACCCAAATGTTTTTAGAAACATACAACTTCCGTTGAAATGTTAATCAATGAGAAACTGTAAACCACCAAAGCTGAAGCTAGTGTCAATCTAAAATCCATTATTCCTTAAATCAAACAATTAACTAATTAAGAGAAAACCAAAGAAGAGACATTACGGAATCTAGGATTGAATAGTTGAAACCCATCGAAAGAAAGTGATCAACTCTGGCTTACTCTGTTCTGGTCAACAACGTCGACGATAACGACGAGCTTTCCGTGATCTTCTCCATAGTTCACAAGTGCCACTCTCCCGATCTCCACGTACCTCTTGAAAACCTGAAACAACCAACATCAAACGTTACAGCTCACAATCCTGGTCGATGTTAAATGCACTTGAATAAAGACATCTATACCGTAATTCCCAGAAACTTCTAGACGAAAGAAATTAAAATATAAATTTGCGGACGAACAAAATTAGGTATTAGCTCAAGCAGAAATGTATATCTCACCATTTTCCCCGCCGGTAGCTTAGAATGTCTTGAAGCTCAGACTCAGAGTGAGAAAGTGTTACGAGAGGCAATTAGGGATTTGCTGAAGAGACTTTGTATACACCATCCATTTTATCGCTTTGTATATTAGGCCCAACGTTGCAAGAACCTTAGATTTCACCTACCTTAAAGGCCCATATAATGGAAAGCCCATAAAGTTGGGTCAACAAAACGAGAAAATCCCATATGGTAGAGCGGTAATACGGTGCCGTTTCGGTTGTGTGTATCCTCGTTTTGTTCAGTACGTAACGATGATGTCTCTGTCAATGGACAATAAAATCGTATAGTATATATATCCTCGATATTTGGACGATACTTTTCAACGATACAAATGGTAATGACGAAATTTCGAAGAACAGTTGTTTTGACGTATTGTAAAAATCAGTAATTGTGGTCGACATTTGTCTTTTGAAATTTTTATGTCTCCGTCCGATCCATCACCATTGATGAAAAGAACATGTTTATTATTCGTTGTTAACAAAAACAAAATGTAATTGTTGGTTTGCTAATTGTTCTTTGCCAAGAATATTACCAATACTAATGCATCGTCCTTGTAAAGTTGAAAAAGAAGAAGAAGAGACTCCTTTAAGTCAAGTGAAATATATATGGAAAGAAGATAAACTAAATGGATCCAGGAATGAACTCCGTTATTTGTGGTAAAATTCTAATGATGAGACCAGCTCGTGATCAACATTGATAGAAGAAAGAAACTTTAGTAGACGAAATCAAAAAAAAGCATTTACCAAGTTTCTGTCTTTTGGACTCCCACCAATCCACTAACCTTCAAGGCTGGGTGGTGCCCCTTAAATTCTTTTAATTTCTTCATTTTTGATCGATCTTTTGAGGTTTTAAGGGGATCCCGATCCAGTCTTTTGTTTCTTTCCTTCAAATTCCTTTCTTTTTTTCTTTTTTGCCCGGGAAGAAGATTCTCATTCCATAGATGTGGGGAGGCGCAGCTGAGCCAGCAGATTCTTACTACCAGGTTCGTCCTGAGTGCACCGATGTGCCCAAGACCAGATTTAAAATCAAGGTTACGTCTTTCCCATCCATTTCTTTCTTCCGGATTTTTGCTTATTTTTTAGATTCTCATTTGCTCTTTCTTTCATTGGGTCGTCTCTCTGTTTGGTAATTACAAATGCGATATGTGATTTCACATTCGGTTCCAAAATTACATCCAGTTTCTTTGCTTATCTATGGTTTCCGAAATGCATTTTGTTTCTCTTGGTGGACTTATTGATTCTGTACATTCTTCGTGTTCTGGCACCGCCTTAGATGTTTGATCAACAGATCTCTTGTTGGACTTAATCTCATTTGTGCATTTCTCATCACATGATTGTTCAGACAAGGCAGATGCTCCGTTGTCTCTTTTTCCTGAAACGAGGATTTCAAGTCTCTGATGAATATTTCTAGTCCATTAGCTGTAAAAATCATGGCAGACAAGAAAGTTGTACAACAGTAATTTGGAAGATACTTTAGTTATGTTTGTCTCATCGGTTATACTCTTGATCGGCACTAAGTTGGAACTTAGATTGAATAAGTTTATCTGGATGAACCGTTAGCATCACTGACCGGAAAAGCATGTATCATTCCATTTCTTATGGTCATACATTATCTATCATGGGTTGGTTGCATCATGTTCAGGCCAGGAACGTTTTGCTACGTTGCTGACAAGCGTCAATTTGATGATGTTTGTGCAGCCTGGTAAAACTTTAAGTGTAAGAAAATGGCAGGCTGCGTTTGTCCAAGAAGGGTCTCTCGATATTGGCAAGACTCTAAGACGAATCAGAAGAGGGGTACGTTAGTTTGGAAAATTCTTTGCCAAGACTGATTTGTTCTCATTCTGTGAAGTTCGTGTTACCTTAATTCCTTTACAATCGATCTGTAGGGAATCCATCCATCAATTAGGGGTGAAGTATGGGAATTCCTACTTGGCTGTTATGATCCAATGAGCACATTCGAAGAAAGAGAGCAAACCCGACAACGCAGAAGGTAGATTCTTGTCCTTATTTCGTCTACATTTATCACATTTTGCCATTTTGGCATACTTACATGGTTATTTCTATATATTCATTGACCACAATTCTTTTGTGAATCATACCGCTTCTTCTCTTTCTTCAGATTGCAATATGCTTCTTGGAAGGAGGAATGTAAGCAAATATTTCCCGTCATTGGAAGTGGAAGATTTATTACTGCACCTGTAATTACTGAAAATGGTCAACCCAACTATGATCCTCTTGTACTTCAGGAAATAAATTTAGGTAAAGTTTTGCCTTTCTATAACGAAATAGTTTAACATTGAACTCTACATAAACTTGTCATAGGCATCTGAAGTATTCATGTGGGTCTCTCAGGTACAAACTCAAATGGTTCAGATTTCCTTAAAGAGCTCACAAATCGTGGACCTCTCGATAAAAAAGTAATTCAATGGCTGCTAACTCTTCACCAGATAGGTTAGTGACTATTCCTGGCTTCCTTTATCACCGGCTAGAATATACTGAATATATGCTGGTTCACTTAGTTGCTTAATTTATATTTTTTCAGGTCTTGATGTGAACCGTACTGACAGGACCTTGGTATTTTATGAGAAAAAGGAGAATTTGTCAAAGCTCTGGGATATTCTGTCTGTTTACGCCTGGATAGACAACGATGTGGGGTACTGTCAAGGTAATACAAAACCAAATATATCATTTGTTTGAAACCCAGTTATACTTGAGAAATTCTGATATATATACTGTTGCTCCAATCAGGAATGAGTGATCTTTGTTCCCCAATGATTATTCTTCTTGAAGACGAAGCTGATGCCTTTTGGTGTTTTGAGCGGCTTATGCGTCGATTGGTACTTACCTTACTCATATTTCCAGTTCATTTGTGTTTTTGGTGAACTGTATACTTCAGATTTTCCGCAATGAGTTTATATTATATTCTCTTTTCCCGAATTGAAAAGCGAGGAAATTTCCGTAGCACTGGGAGATCTGTTGGAGTTGAAGCTCAACTTACTCATTTGTCTACAATTACTCAGATTGTTGACCCCAAACTTCACCAACATCTAGGTACTACTACTACAATTTATTTGACTATATACATATTCAGCCATTAACCAAGCTCTGGGTCTTAAAATGCAGATAAGCTGGGTGGAGGTGACTATCTCTTTGCGATTCGGATGCTGATGGTTCAATTCCGAAGAGAATTCTCATTTTGCGACTCTCTGTACCTTTGGGAGGTATGTGGTTCCTGTGTCTCACTCTATATTATGTGTATACTGTCTTCTTCTTCCTTGGATTGATTTCCTTGCCAAACCCTTTTCCCATAGATGATGTGGGCCCTCGAGTACGACCCTGATCTTTTTGATGTATATGAAGCGCATCAATGCGGGAGTGAGAAAACTGAAGGGTTGAAAGGTAAAACGAAGTCAATTAAGCAATGTGGTAAATATGAGAGACAAAACATGAGGAATGGAGGAAAAACTGCAGAAGGTCCTTTGCCTATATCGGTATTCCTAGTGGCCAGCGTCTTGAAAGACAAGAGTTCTAAGCTAATGACAGAAGCTCGTGGACTCGACGATGTTGTTAAGGTTAAACATACATCTTCTTTTAACTTTACATTTTGGTGAATTATTTGTCTTATCCTGTTTCCTTAATGTACATAGATACTTAACGACATGACTGGGAATTTGGATGCCAAGAAAACATGTTCTGGAGCCATAAAGATTCACAAGAAATATCTAAGAAAGGTTATTTCTAAGTTTCCCTCATATGTATGGGACTTTGTTTCTCTCAGACAATACAGGAAAGCTAGCCTGAACGTCTGTCTTCTGTTGTCCTTCTCTCTTATTGCAGGCTAAGAAATAGCATTGGCGAACTATCATGATTCTGCGGGTATACACCTTGCAGAGTCATGTGAAGCTTTTCGTTTATTTGATTTGCTATCTATGCAGTTTGATACAAAAAGATCTGGCGGGAAATCGACTATCAGATTTTGAAGATCTTCTTGTATTTGTAAGCTGGAAGAACCTCGGAGCCTTGAAATACTCTTAACACACACACACACACATCAAAAAGCAAAGAAACATAATTTGTAACATGTTCATAAAAGTAAATGTTGCATCCCCCAATATATGTATACAATTTTTTTTCTTTTGTATTTACCAAAGGACAAAAAAGAACGAATGAGAATGTTCCTATATTTCCAAGCCCATTTCTTGTTCAATACAGAGACGAATTATCTGAAATTAGGCGCGAGTGTTGCAGGCTGTTTCTGTCACGTGTGCATTTTATGATCCCAAAGAGGTAACTGATGACCAATGAATGCCATGTTTATGCTATAATTTTGGATTATCAGATTTTCTAGACCAGAGCAGATTTTGTAATAAAGGCCAAGAGATTTAACAATCGAGTCAAACTGCATTAGTTCCTGTGGATCATGGATACAAGTTTCTTGGATCATGTATACAAGTTTCTTGGATCAACCAAAACTATGAATAGAGATACATATATAAACATTCTCTTCAAGTTTCTTGATCATGGCTTGACTAAACAGAGAAATCAACTTACATAATTAACTAAGGCAATCTACACACCGCTTAAAAACCGATCACTGATGGCAAGAAATGTTGTGATCACAAGGAGAATCGAGGGCAAGAATCGGGTGCCGGATAATCTCTTCCCGGAACTCTTTTTCGGGAAGTACTTAGGAAGCTCGCATTCTTCTCCATTGAAGAAAACTCTCTTAGGGAATCCATCTCCTCCTGGGATATTCAAATTCCTTAAATCCTTCTTTTTAAACGAGATAACTGACTGCATTTTCCCGGGAACCTGCGGGTCTCTAGCTGGATTTGTCCCGTTTGTTAGACCAATCAAGTAGTTCATACCAGGAAGGCCTTGAAAGAAAATGGTCTGGTTCTTAGGTGGAACTCTTGACCCATTAAAGGAGTAAATATTCTCATACCCTAAACCAGCTTTCCCTAGATCCACAGCCCCAAACCAGTCCTCCACTGCATTATTTCCCCAATTAAACACCGTTATTCGCGCGGACCATCCATTGCCGTAATCCGAGTTGAGATGCCAGTTTAAGCTGATTCCGCAGTTGTCAGGACAAGGAAGCTTCTTTGGAACAGCCATGTGCTTCTGCTTTGCCCATACTTTTGCCTTTAGAGTGCGGTTATCAAAAGGTACCAAGAGAGTGTCGGGAGGGAGGAGAAGCGGTCTGGCATTGGCGTTGCAAGTGTCGGTGTCGATATCTTTGCAGCCGCAAGCGCATGTGTTACAAGGAATGGCTGAGTCGTTGTAAAAGGCTGAGAAAGAGACGCAGCAACGTGCAGCTTGTGGTTTAGGCTTGGTTATGTTGCAGATAATTTGCCAGCTAGCAATAGCATAAGTGGTGGCTTGGAGACCACTCGGGTCAGGGAAAGGGGTCGCGTCAACCCGTACAGGTGGTCCGCATTTGTACTGAGGATTCACTATACCGTCAATCTTCCAGTTTCGAGGAGGAAAAAATGCTGTTCTGTTCTGATCAGGTGGCACCTTGTACACCTAAACCAAACATCAAAACCGGTTTATATATATATATATCATCTTAACGCCTCTATATAGTGTACAATCACCAAACATTATAACTGTTTCGTTTCCGGGAAAACCTGTAATTGGAAAATGGCTCTGGATTTAGAAGGATCCATGTGAGCGGGTAAAAGAGTGCCGTTCTTGCAGCAGAAAGGTAATTTCCCGATGAGATTATCGTCTTTACGATCAGCAGGTAAATCTTTGAGAATCGGTTTCTTCTGGCAATTAGCAACCTGAGAGAAATCGAGATCCCCGTAGAACTGCCCTGCCTTGCTGCTTAAGCATTCCGCCGGATTCTTCTCAGCCGCATAGGCTCCACGCATCGAGTAGATGAACTCGCCACGCATCCACTCCCATGTTAAGTTCCAATGGTCTAACCGTCCCAGCGGACTATTAATATCCATAGTCACCTGTCCAAAACAAATCCATTTTAGGTTCTTCTGTGTATATATTACATCTCTAGAGGTTAATTTTATCGATACAACTGATGGGGATCCAGCTACTACACTCTACCTGAGCCATGTAGTTGCTCTTATAGGCTTGAAGAACATCGTAGATTATGTTCAGGTCACCGTTTTTTCTAGGCATGAACTTGGTTTTCACCTTTTCTTTAGCTTTAATCTTTGGGTTCCTCTTACAGCAAACTTGCATTGTACCGCCTGCCATTCAAAACATTAAAGAACCGATTATGACCTAATGTTTCTTACAGAACAAGAAACTAAGGGGATATTAGGTCACGTTCGTTACCTTTAGAAGTAGCAGCAGGGCATTGCCATCCATCGTTAGTGAGCTTGATGGTTTTAGGCATTGGCGTAGCCGTACCTTTACCGCCAAAAACCGTGCCGGTTATCTCGATATTGGTAGAGATCTGAGTGTAATCACCAGCCGTCAGGATCGAGGTCTTTAGATCCGTATTCGGAGACCCGATAAACGTCGTCCCATTGGTTGCGTCGACAGGGAAGTCACCGTCCGACGAGACAGCTCCGGTCGCGGAAACGATAATCTCTCTGTGGTGAAACCCTACAAACATTTGCCAACCTTTGACCTCTTCGATACCGGTGTTGACGATCATGGCCGTCGATTTAAACGACCAGGCTTGAGCCGTGACGTTTGTGGTGCGAGGATATAACTTTTCGCGGCCGCCGGTACTGTAGGACATGTAAACTCCGTTGCAACGGGCAAGGCCTGGCGGTGGAGTATCATCTTTCTTTGGTTCATCGTAGTCTTGAGCCAATGATAACGTCGGAAACTGAAGTTTGATCACAGGTATTAGAAGGAGAAGGAGGTTTAGATTGATGTAACGTATCTTCTTCATTTCTACCGTGTTTCCCAAGTTTCTTAGGACGGCAAGAAAGAGAAACAGAGAAGAAGAAGAAGAGATGTTCAAAAAAGCTTAAGCGAATAAGGGAGGCAGAGCATAACGGTTTCTCTTCCTCTAGTTTTTCCCTCTTTCTCCGGAGAAAACAGAGATAATATAAAAGATTATTAACGTAAATGAGCGAAGTGTACAAATATTTAATAACGTCAATTACTTCTTTATTTTTCACATTTCGTATAGAAAAAAACAAGATATACAAGGTATCCACTGAAATTTATACATGTACAAACTTTTTTCTCAAGTTGATTCATTCAAATTTGTAAAAGAAAATTACAAACATTATTCCACTAAATCAAAATTACACGACTTGGATACCGAAATTGTTTTCTAGATAAATTAAAATCCCATAGAGAAGATAAGCAGGCAAGCAGCCATGATCTGAGACAAGAACTTTTGTGGATCACCTTGTGAGCACAAGAACTGGCAACTTTGTTTAAAGTGAGATCTCAGAATCTAAATACATGAGTCAGCTTCGACGAGCAGCAACGAGTAAGTATACTGTATTTTATTTGGATGTGGCTAGACGAGATTAGTTTAGGTCAACCAGCTTGAAGACATGAAATACTCAGAATTAATAGTGACTATGTATTTGTTCACGGCTACATAAGTCAAAACTCGTTGACCACATCTGGAACTCATCGTCTTTAACAATACTCGTTTGATTCAGGCAAATGGTGAAGCCGAGACGTTTCTGTGTCAAAAACTCTCTGTTTTGTGTCAAACGAACTCTCTGTTTGTGTCAAACGAACTCTCTGTTTGTGTCAAACGAACTCTCTGTTTGTGTCAAACAAACTTGCTTGAGAAATGTTAATAAACCTTCGATCCATATCTTTTGTCATGTGCTTTTTAGTATTTAGCATGCCACAAACAACAATTTGAAACCTACGGATATATATAATTGACATATTTTATTTTTCATGCACTGTATATGGATGCAAGCCTAAGGATCTCAAACTAGTAAAATCAGAACAAGAAAGTATATGACCAGACACCAGCGAGTTGCAAGGCATTGTTGAAATTCTTGTTTTTGACAAACTATTTTACCCGAGAAACACAACTAAGAAACCGAGATCTCTTCCATGCCGCTAATTTCTTCACTCGGCTGGTGTTGTACTTTGGGCTCCAAGTCGATGAACTGGTTCGACTTGCTTGCTAGATGTGAGATACTAACTCTTCCTTGACGTTTGATGTAATCTGCAACCGCATTCATCTCCTCCATTGATATGTAAATGTATTTCCCTCTGTCATCCATGACTCCCGAGAGCCGTCCTGAATAAAAGAGATGGGTTCAGATTCTTTATTCTTAAAGAGCCCCATTACGGTTCCACGTCAATGTCTCATCTGTCTATTCATATTGCTTCGGTTCTATTATAATCATAGCAAATTACAAACTGCTGGATGAGCCTAATGCTATTTTGTGATTAGACAGAGAGAAAAATACCAATGCTCTCCAAAGAAGCGATCCTGTTGATACATTCCTAAAAAACAAACAGTTGCATCAGACCGGAGAACCACAACACAAGGTATTCATATTATCTTCCACATAGAATATGTAGCCAGATGATACCTGAGTTCGTAAATGAAATTCTGCGGCGAGATCTTCCAGTGGAACACATTTCTGTTTCTGCAATCACATTACACAGCAAAGGAAGGCTCAACATACCACACTAATATAGGATGAGAGAAAATTTGTATCTCATTATTAATTTGTAAGAGATTTGAAAGTGTTTAGTAAAGGGTTTCTCAAGATACCTTTATGTATTCAACAAATTCTGAAAGTAAATCTTGATTTTCACCCTGCGCTTCCTCTGTAGTACCTTCAGCATCAACTGAGAATTCCCCTTTCCATTTGTCAAACTCTAAAGCAGCTTGCTCTTCTTCCTTGGCTAGTCGCGCTTTTTCTTCTTCTTCCTACACAACAATGTCAGAATTAGCCAACCCCAGCATTTCAAAAGCAGGAAGCTTAAACAGATATAAGACAAATTAACTGACTCACCAACTTCCGCTCCTCTGCCTCGCGCTCTTCATCCTTCTTCCTCCGCATTTCTGCATACCAATCTTGTTTTGTATTCTTTGACTCGCGTGTAGCTTCTTCAGCCTTTACCCGACAATAAGAAAAGAACTTGATCAGGAACCAAAAAGAAATGTACTATTTTGAGCTCAGAACCAATGCTCTATCTTGAAGCTAAAATCTAAAACTATCACAGTTGCGGATTGCAACTGGTCAAATGCTATGCCTAGAAATTTCTCATCCGCTATCCTGCCAAAATTGAGGAAATAATGGGGATATAGACTTCTAGTTACCTGTCTTTGTGCTTCACGCTCTTGTCGCTTCTTCTCTTTCTTCTTTGATGCTCTGGCTTGAGATCCACCGGCTTCATCTTCATCTTCATCTTCACTCCCACTGATGTTTTCTGTTTCACATAAACCCAAATAAGTAATCCAAGGCCAGAAGTTCACTCCTTTCCAAGAAATTTTTAGTCTTAAACTACATTTTTCATACCAAGATGATAAACTATGAAACCAAAAACTCGACTAATTCTTGGTTTTCACTTCTCACAAGCTATAGTAAACTCTAACCAATAACACCCATTTACATATGATTACCTCCACCTATAAAGTAGCAGAAATTTGATGCTAATCTAAAACTCTCAATCATCACATATTTCTCCAAATTTGGAACATTGGAACCTTATGTCACGGCTGGGAGAGCATCTGACATAAAACAACAAAAGAAAAAAAGAGAGATACAAAAGCTATCAAATACCAACCTTGAACATTAGATGTAGAGGAACTAGCACCAGAAGCTGCAGGTCTCCGACGCATCCTACGTCCACCAGTAGCACGTGCCACGTTTTCACGTGGCTGGACCTTCAATTTCACGAGAGATTGCCATATAGCTCATATCCCAAAAAAAATTCCAATCCACTAAGCAACGACGCGCCCAAAATGAGAAAATTACCTGTGGGGGTTCTGCATCTTGCTCCCGTGATCTAGCATCGATCCGACGTTTCCAAAAGAACAAAGGAATCACCGCCAATATGAGAATCATGGAGACTATCAGAGCGAACATCTCCTCCATCTCTTACCTGCGATCCAAAATAACCGATGAAGAAAGGGATTTTAAGGAAAATGTTGAGGAGAAAACGGAACTTGAATAACAAAATTGGAAGAGGATCGATTCAGATTATTAGAACCTAATTGCGTTTTCCAAATAGATGTTGCCTTCTCTATTCCAAGTGTTCGAGGATTGCAGAGCTCCGCTTAGACTCGGTGGAGAAGACAAGCGGTACCACATCGTAACCAAATCAAAGCTTTGTTTAGTTTAAAATGCCAAACCGAAAATTGAAATTCCTGAGGTTCCAAACCGGTCCGGTTGACCCGAATTGACAATCCATGAAGTAAACAAATGATAAAGAAAAATATCTGAGCTGAGAAGATAGATTTTGGCTAAGAGACGGAAATATATACTGTCGTGACAAAAATATCTTGTGCCCTTCTCTCTCTCTCTCTCGCCACCGAAAGCAGAAGTTGCAGACTTAATCCGAGAATTTAGGGTTTCTAATCGTTCTCTCTTCTCCGATAATCAGATCCACGAAACTCTACTTTTCGGATCAGGTAAAATTTGTCTTCGCTTTTTTCGTTAAACAGACTCTTGCTTAATCTTCGATTTCGGTGATTTAGAGGTCACGTTTGTTTTTCATTGCTCGATCTGTTAGCTGTGTGAGTCTGTGATCGATTTTGTTTCGTTATTTGATTTGGTATGGATCGCGCACGAGCTTTTGATAGGATCTATTGGATTTGCTGCTGGATCTTGCTTTTGATCACTTTTGAAAATGAATTGATGTTTGTGCTTTACATCATTTCCTGTTATTGAGCTGGACCTGCTTAACTAGGTTACTGGTATTAGGATAAATAACATACAATATCTTGATGAACTCGGTTTCGCTCATTTCGAATCTTCTTTCGAGGAGTTGCTTTCTTAGTTGAGTTTGTAGTGTCTCTGCTTTAGATATCATTAATCTTGACATGACTTCTACTAGAATTGTGTGTTATTATGTGTATTTTTTGTATGCGTTTCTTGTGTTTCTCCAGTTCGTTAACTGTTATCTAAGACTTGGTTTATAATCTTTTTGCTTACATCGATTGTGGTTTTAATACTTTCATCTTCTATTATCTCTTGTTAATCCTTCTGAGTGTGCTAAGCTCTTATGTGACGATGGTTTTTCTTGTTCAGGTTTCAGCTTCTCGTTTGCCCCTCAGATCAACAAAGTTTCATGTCTGAACTTGATTCCCAGGTCCCTACTGCCTTCGGTAAGTTTCAAATATATATACTGATTTCAGATTTTTGCTAAGTGTTTTGATATTTGGAACATGGGATTTTGTAAATTTGTTTCTCAAGTCTTGGATTCTTCAGGTTTTGGTTTGCTGTTTCTCATGTGATATTTGATGGGAGCTAATCATTTTCTTGTTTTTGCTCATCTGCAGATCCGTTTGCTGATGCGAATGTTGAGGACTCAGGTGCAGGAACAAAGGAGTACGTTCACATTCGTGTCCAGCAGCGGAATGGTAGGAAAAGCTTGACAACAGTCCAGGGGCTGAAGAAAGAGTACAGTTATACCAAGATACTTAAGGACCTCAAGAAAGAATTTTGTTGCAACGGAACTGTGGTTCAAGACTCTGAGCTGGGACAGGTACATGATTTAAAACACCATGGTACATCCATGTGGGTCTTTAGAGTTGGTAATTGGCACATTACCATTAGAATCAATATTGTAACAAAGAGTTAATGAATAATTGCAAAGCTTAGCTGATGGATTTATTCTCTGTTCTGTCTCTAGCTATTCTCCATTACTTATGCTATTGTGCAAATGTGTAGGTTATTCAACTTCAAGGCGATCAGAGAAAGAACGTCTCCACCTTCCTTGTCCAGGTAAACACCTCTCTTTTAACGAACTGGATAAAAATAATATTGTTGCTTGATTTTGTTTGACATACTTTTGCGATGGAACAGGCAAGTCTTGTGAAGAAAGATAACATCAAGATCCATGGTTTCTGAGATGCTTCAGTTGCATTGTCCCTAGGCGTCTGCGTTACTTTTCTAAGTGGGGATCATTACCGTTATAGCTCAGTTTCAAAACATTTCATCACCTTCCGTCACTGTTTTTTTTTCCCTTCCTTTTTAGCTTTGGTATGATACTAAGAGACTATCATCGTTTTCTTCCTTGTGCCACTTCTGTAATATGAGGTTGTTAAGAATTCTCCATACCGTTTGTCCCTTCACTCTATATATGTCTTACCAAGATGGATCCAAGTATCCAACAGTTTCACTATTATTCTGTCAAAATTATACTGTTGTGCAAACCTGGATTTGGATCTCGAAGAAGAAGAGCTCAAAATTTGTTTCGAAACTGAAAATGACACTTTTGATAAAATCATTAATATTTACATACTATTACTTTGGAGTGGACTATATCTTAACATCATGCAATGCAATGGACCGTGACATACGTGCATATAAGATATTATTAGTGGAATACGAATTATTCAAGATGCCAAAACTTTATTGTACTCCAGAAATCAACCTCCGAATCAAAACATGTGTTGTGTATATCCAAACTCCAAACTACAAACTACACGACTACCCAACTCTTTCAGTATTTAGTATTTACTCTCATATACATATATCCGACTTAAGTTTTTTTTTGTTCCCCCGGAAAATATACAGTTTCCACCTTGATTTCAAAATAATTGACATGTCAGGACATGGTCACATGAGTTACACATCATACATGCATGGTTGCATTGCTTGTAGACGCGGAAACTTGTCACTCTTCCACATCTGAGTTTCCAACACCTAATCACGACAGCAATATTATATAGCTTCCATCACTTTCTCTCGCACACCCACAAACATGTACATGCATTCTTACACGTGATCGCCATGCAATATACCTTTCTCATCTATAAATACCAACCAGCCCTTCACTTCACTCTTCACTCTTCACTCAAACCAAAAACAAGAATAACATACATAGTTACCAAATGGCAAACAAGCTCTTCCTCGTCTGCGCAACTCTCGCCCTTTGCTTCCTCCTCACCAACGCTTCCATCTACCGCACCATCGTTGAGTTCGACGAAGATGACGCCAGCAACCCCGTAGGCCCAAGACAGAAATGTCGGAAGGAGTTCCAGGCTTCACAGCACCTAAGAGCTTGCCAGCAATTGATGCGCCAGCAAATGAGGCAAGGCCGTGGTGATGAAGAGTTCGAAGACGACATCGAGAACCCACAGAGATATTCCGAGGTACTCGAGCAGTGTTGCGATGAGCTTCGCCAGGAAGACCCAGTTTGCGTTTGCCCTACCTTGAAAAGAGCCGCAAGGTCTGTTAGCATCCAGGGACAGCAGAGACCACTCCAAGCCAGGAAAGTTTACCAGACAGCCAAGCACTTGCCTAACGTTTGCAACATCCCGCAAATTGATGTTTGCCCCTTCAAGATCCCTTTCGTCCCTTCTTACGTCTAAATTCCAAACAAACACCTCAAGAGCGTATGAGTGTGGTTGTTGGTACATGTTAACACCACACATCATCGTGTGTTTTTATGAAACATGTAAACATTAGGATGTTTGAGGCTAATGTAATTAGCACTAGTCCATAATAAATGAGAGGTTTTGTTTTTGTTTTTCGTTTGTTAAATTTTCTTTTCTTTAAATTGATCCAGCGCTAAGCACTTGCCTAGTTTGTAACTTATCTAAGTTGTCTAATCGAGATCACAGAACAATATGATTTAAACCCTTGTGATCCAAGACTAGTAGTTGGTAGCTACGTCATGGTGATTGTTAATGTCTATGATGTGGTAAGCGTACGTGTGAGTTGTTACGGTAGACAATCGTAGCAGGAACCGGTGGTGGGCGAGCAGCGTCTTCCTCGGCTACCTCTTTGAAGTCGTTGTTTAGGTCCTCACACCAAAATGGGGTTTTTTTATTTTTGATTCCGTAAAAGATTGTCTTGTTATTTGTAAGTAAATTATGAGTTATTGAGTACTGAATGAATTATGCATGATGATTCGTGGTTTTTTGGTTTTTGTTGAAGCAATTAATGGTTTTGGTATATACATATATATTGTTGGATATTTTTCTTGTAAATATAATTAATTAATAAGAATTGTTGTTGTTACTACGTACGTTAAACCAGAATTTATGTCATGAAAACCGAATTTGTCGGTTAGGCATAATAATTGGACGATAGACTGAAATCCAAGAAGAAGTAGATTTGAAGACATTATCATAATTTAACTAAAACTGAATTAAAAACCATATTGTTCATGGATTCAGGGTTAAGGGTTACTTTCCGTAACTGAGATTAAAACATAATTAAGAATTTAAGGTTTTTGAATCTAGCTATGTGTTGACAACAAAAGAAATCCTAGCTATGTTTTTAATTCTGTACTCAAAGTTTAATGGTCAATATATTGTTTTCACGTATTTAATATTTGTCACAGTATCCGGTCCGACTGCCTAAAACCTAACTATTTTCTCGACCGATTGGCTTACCAATATCCATTTGACGTTGCGTAATTTAGTCTAACATATAAGCAACATGTAAGAGATCAAACTCAGCACATAGATACAAAAAAAAAATTAGATAAATTTGGTGTCGTATAACATTATAACAATTTTTTTCCGTTTTATAATCCGTAATGTCATATATTATGTTGGAAACATATTAAAACTTTTCTTATTTTATAATATATTTTATCATATAATCGACAAAAAAAAAAAATTTATGTTTTAAATTTGGCAATATCAATAATATTTTAGTTCAGAATTTTTTTTTATAATATTTTTAATTTTATATGTAGTTCTTGTTAGTGTTATGTATGGAAAGGATAGATGTGTCATTTAGTTTACCCTAGTCTCTATTGTATACACTATATATACTGTAACATTGTACAAAGGAATAGATATTGAGTATTCAATCATACATGGTATCAGAGCAAGAGATCCATCTCTAAACCTAAAAATATTTTTCTTCGCCGTTTTCTGTTTTTCATCCACCAAACATGTCATCAACGAGTGAGGCTATCCCTATTGCTTCTACTCCTCAACTCCTTAGCATCAACATGACCAACATCTCGAAGCTGAATGCTTCAAACTTCATCATGTGGAGTAAACAGGTCCATGCTCTCCTTGATGGGTATGACCTTGTTGGTTATCTCGACGGATCGGTTGATGTTCCGTCATCTACAGTTGCCACCAATGGTGTTGTGACTCCCAATCCTGAGTATGTTCTGTGGAAACGTCAGGATAAACTCTTATACAGTGCTCTCCTTGGCACTATTGGTCCGACAGTCCAGCCGCTTCTCTCCAAAGCCACTACCACGAATGCGATTTGGACTACACTCAATGAGACGTTTGCTGCTCCAAGCCGTGGCCATGTTCGTCAAATCAAGCTACAGATCCAGAACTGGAAGAAAGGTGCAAAGTCAATTGAAGATTACTTCCATGGTCTCACGGTTAAGTTTGATCAACTTGCTCTCCTTGAGAGTGAAATGCATCATGAGGATCAGATTGAAGCTATTCTCACGGGCTTGCCTGAGGAGTACAGACCCATTAAGGATCAGATTGCTGGCCGTGAGAAGTCACCTCGTCTCCCTGAAGTGTATGAGAAACTTCTCAATCATGAAGTTACTCTCCAAACACTTGCCGATGCGTCGTCTTCTTCCACACCTGCGACTGCTAATGTGGTGCAGTCTCGCGGAAACTACAACAACAATGGACGTGGAAACCACCAGCAGCGCAACAAAAACAATAACCGTGGCAATCAATCCTGGCCGCCACAGCAGCAACAACAACAGTACTCTCCGAGGCCAGGTCAGTCACAGTCAAGGGGACATCAAGGAAGGTGTCAAATCTGTGGTATACATGGCCACAGTGCTCGTACGTGCTCCCAACTGCAGCAACAGTTTGCAGGATACTCGAACCAGACGCGAGGTTACTCGCCGTGGCAACCACGGGCCAATATGGTGATGGCGCCAGGATATGATGCTTCCCCATGGGTGATGGACAGTGGGGCTACTCATCATGTGACGACGGACCTTAACAATTTGGCTATTCATCAACCTTACACTGGTGGTGAGGATATCCAAATTGCCGATGGGTCTGCCCTTCAAATCGCCCAAACTGGTTCAACTACTCTTCCTACTTATCACCGTAACATTACCTTGAAAGATGTTCTTTATGTCCCTGACATTAAAAAGAACTTAATATCAGTTTATAGACTATGTAATGCTAATCGTGTTTCTGTGGAATTCTTCCCTGCACACTTTCAGGTGAAGGATCTCACAACGGGGGTCCGCTTGCTCCAAGGCAGGACTAATAGAGAGTTGTACGAGTGGCCTGTCAACATTGCGAAACCGAGGGCGTTGTTTGCTTCTCCAAATCCAAAGGCTGATTTATCCTCATGGCATGCGAGACTAGGCCATCCAGCTTTATCTATTTTACGAGCACTTATTTCAAAGTTCATGTTACCCACTTCTGCTTCTCCTCAACATTTGTCGTGTTCTGATTGCTTCATCAATAAAAGCCATAAGCTTCCTTTTCATTCAAATACCATTGTCTCCACACATCATCTTCATTATATCTATAGTGATGTTTGGATGTCACCTGTCCTCTCCATTGATGGTTTTAAGTATTACCTGGTGCTTGTTGATCACTTCACGAGGTATACGTGGCTGTATCCACTCAAACAAAAGTCGGAAGTCAAGGAAGTTTTCATTCGGTTCAAGGCCTTAGTTGAGAATCAATTCAAGCAGAAGATTGTGAATCTCTATTCTGACAATGGAGGAGAATTTGTTGCACTTCGCTCATTATTGTCTGCTCATGGTATATCGCATTACACGTCGCCTCCACACACTCCGGAACACAATGGAATTTCTGAGAGAAAGCATCGTCACATTGTTGAAACGGGGTTGACTCTTCTCAGCAAAGCCTCAATGCCTACACATTATTGGAGCTATGCCTTCTCAGCTGCTGTCTACCTCATTAATCGGTTGATTACCCCTGTTATCAACAACGAATCTCCATATCACAAGTTGTTTGGTGTAGCACCAAATTACCTCAAACTCAAAGTTTTCGGATGCGTATGTTACCCATGGTTGAGGCCGTACGTCTCACACAAGCTGGAAGCTCGCTCATTGCCTTGTGTTTTTGTTGGTTACTCACTAACACAGAGTGCGTATCTGTGCTTGGAACCCAACACAGGCCGCGTCTATGTCTCTCGCCATGTTCAATTTGTTGAGGATAAGTTCCCCTTTGCTGTTGTCACTCGTACCTCGTCATCGTTGTCGTGGGCTAAACCAATGTTGCCTTCACCACTGAGCTCGCCGTTCACCACTGTGCCTATCTCACCACTCGTACAAGCTCATCAAGCGGACCCTCGCATGTCAGATCTTCCCCCAGAAATCTCTCTTATTGTGCCGCCGTCACCACCGTCGCTTGCTCCACCGTTGCCTGTCTCGCCGTTGCCTGCCGGGTCGTCTCCATCTCGCATTTCGACGAACTCTAATGTATCTTCGTCCTCAACGCCTCAAAACCAGTCCTCATCTTCCAATAGCCAAAGCCCAATACCACAAAGCCCACCAACAACAACACCACATCACTCCTTATCACATTCTTCCCCGTCCACAAATTCTCAAAGCCCAACAACAACAGGCCCAACAACATCATCCTCTACCTCTTCTCTCTCGTCACATCCGACGACGAGTCCCGACCAAACTCCATCACCAAGCCCGCCTCCTTCTCCACCAAATCAACACCCAATGCGAACCCGAGCCAAAAACAACATTATCAAACCCAATACACGATATGCTCACACCATGGCATTGACAAAACCAACAGTACCCAAAACCGTAACCGAGGCGTTGAAGGATCCGAGGTGGAGAAATGCAATGTGTGAGGAGATTAATGCACAGATCAAGAATGGCACTCATGAATTGGTTCATCCCTCTCTGGCTAAAAATGTAGTGGGCTGTAAGTGGATTTTCACAATTAAATACTTACCTGATGGATCAGTTGACAGGTATAAGGCAAGGTTGGTGGCTCGCGGGTTTCATCAACAATACGGACGCGATTATGGTGATACGTTTAGTCCGGTCATCAAGTCCACCACTATTCGATCGGTTCTTCAAGTTGCACTCAACAAGGATTGGTGCATCCGACAAATTGATGTAAACAATGCTTTCTTGCAAGGTCGGCTTCATGAGGAGGTTTATGTCACTCAACCGCCGGGTTTTGTTGATCGTGATCGTCCTCAGTTTGTCTGTCGTTTGAAGAAGGCTCTTTACGGCCTTAAATAGGCTCCCCGAGCTTGGTACCTCGAATTAAGATCACACTTACTTCACCTTGGTTTTGTTAATTCTGTTGCAGATACGTCGTTGTTCATCAAACGCCAAGGTCGCGACATTGTGTATATCCTAGTCTATGTTGATGATATGCTAATCACAGGGAGTAGTGACTCTCTACTGCAAAGCATAATCAATTCAATCGCCGCTAAGTTCTCTCTAAAGGATCTTGGTGCCTTACGATATTTTCTTGGTGTTGAGGCCACCCGAACATCAGCGGGTCTCCACTTGATGCAACAGAAGTACATTGTTGATTTACTTACCAAGACTCGTATGTTGGCTTCAAAGTCAGTTTCCACACCAATGTCGCCAACACCGAAGCTATCACTCACCAAGGGGACAAAGCTAGACGATCCACGAGAGTATAGGGCTGTTGTTGGGAGCTTGCAGTATCTATCTTTCACTCGTCCTGACATTGCGTTTGCAGTTAACCGATTGTCTCAATATATGCATCAACCCACGGACGAGCATTGGACAGCGGTTAAACGGGTATTGCGTTATTTGGCTGGTACATAGTCTCATGGGATTCTTATACGCAAGGGCATTCCGATTACACTACATGGTTTTGCTAATGGGTTATATGGATATTCCGATGCGGATTGGGCAGGGGATACTGATGATTTTGTCTCTACCCATGCGTATATCATCTACTTGGGTGGTACTCCTGTTTCATGGTCGTCGAAGAAGCAGAAAGGCGTCGCACGCTCATCCACTGAGGCGGAGTACCGGGCTGTCGCTAATGCTGCATCTGAGATACGCTGGATCAAGTCTCTTCTTACTGAGCTTGGTCTGGCATTACCCTCGACTCCGGTAATATATTGTGATAATATTGGTGCGACACATCTTTCCACTAATCCTATCTTTCACTCACGGATGAAACATTTGGCCTTGGATTATCATTTTATTCGGGACAATGTTCAAGCTGGAACGCTTCGTGTGGCTCACATTTCGACTCATGATCAGCTTGCGGATCCCCTAACCAAACCTCTTCCACGACCACGGTTTCAAGATGTTATGTCCAAGATTGGAGTTACTAAAGTACCTCCATCTTGAGGAGGGATGTTAGTGTTATGTATGGAAAGGATAGATGTGTCATTTAGTTTACCCTAGTCTCTATTGTATACACTATATATATTGTAACATTGTACAAAGGAATAGATATTGAGTATTCAATCATACAGTTCTTTCAACCCATCCTATCCTAGTTAATATTCCGTTTATTCACCCAGTTATCTGATGGACATCAAATACAAGAGAACAAAACAAATCGAATATCAAAACACTATGAGAGGAAAAACATTGACATCCCCCCCCCCCACCATATTTTATACATTCGCATGATACAAAGTAAACACTATGATATAAATACAATCACATAGGAAACTACTATATATACACAATTTTTTTGTTATTTTTTCATAAATATGCAAGAGAGTCTAATAATCGGGTTCTTTTTATATACTTCCTGTTGCAATATACCACAACAAAAGACTGACTTTCTCATCTCATTGGAATTAAATTAACAAAGTTTTCTATTTTTTAACTTTCAGATCATCTCATATAGCATGCAGACGCGGGGGGATGGAGTTGTTCGTCACTTGTCACTCTCTTCCAACACCTAATCCCGACAACAACCTAAGCAGTTAACTCTTTCGCACACACATGCATTCTTACACGTGATCGCCATGCAATCTATTTTCTCACCTATAAATAAGAGCTCTTCACCTCACACTTTACTCAAACCAAAACACACCATCACAAAACGAGTAAGGAGACACACAATAGCAAATGGCGAACAAGCTCTTCCTCGTCTCCGCAACTCTCGCCCTCTGCTTCCTTCTCACCAACGCTTCCATCTACCGCACCGTCGTCGAGTTCGATGGAGATGAGGCCACCAACCCTATGGGTCCAAGACAGAGATGCCAGAAGGAGTTTCAGGCTTCCCAGCATCTAAGAGCTTGCCAGCAATTGATGCGCCAGCAAATGAGGCAAGGCCGTGGTGGTGTTCCCGCCCTTGATGACGATGAGTTCGACATGGAGAACCCGCAGAGACCCTATCTACTCCAGCAGTGTTGCAACGAGCTTCAGCAGGAAGAACCAGTTTGCGTTTGCCCCACCTTGAAACAAGCGGCCAAGTCGGTTAGACTCCAGGGACAGCACGGACCGTTCCAAGCTAGGAAAATTTACCAGACAGCTAAGCACTTGCCTAACATTTGCAACATCCCCCAAGTTGGCGTTTGCCCCTTCCAGACCATCCCTTTCTTCCCTCCTTACTACTAGATTCGAAACAAAACCTTCGAGCGTATGAGTCTGGTTGTTGATACATGTTAACACCACACCTCATCGCGTGTTTTATGAATATGTAAGTTTAGGATGTTTGAGGCTAATGTATTTAGCACATACTCCTTAATAAATAAGAGTTTTTTTTTAATATATATATTCACTGGCATATGCTCTCTAAGTGGTTCGGGATATTAATTACCTCTCAATCAAATATTACAACCACAGTTGCGGGTTACTTGATCAATCGAAATCATATATCGAGCCAAACACCATTGAAATTGCTCTATGACTGTCTGTCCTCTCCTCTTCAATGAAGAGGGAAAATTTGAAACTATCTCTAGTTGCCATCTTACTCGCACACATACTAAACCTTAATTAGGGCTATGCCTCGACTAAGGGTGAATAATTTTTTTGCAAGAGTGTGCCGCTACGAAAATGATAACTTTATTAAAGTATCATGCACATGCGGGTTAATTAACTATTTGCTGGCCAGTGGCCACAAGAAATTGGAATGCCATCAAATGGAAGAAACATGCCAAAAAAAGAAATCACATTACATGATTCTAGCTAACTAACGTTTATGGTAAAAGAGCGCTAGCTAGCCTTTGTGATCAATAGTGTAAATCGTTACCAATCAAATAAACAGTGAAAACAAATTGATTTATAAAGATGTGTGGATGTTGTTCTGTGATCACAATTTTTTCTTGTTACGATCTGGTTTGATGAAGATTTCAGAAAGAACCACTCGTCTGGTTTTAAGAAGGTTTGTTTTGGTTTAAGCTAATCGGTTAGAAAGTTACAATACGTACGTACTGTAAATTGTGTCTTTTTACTTTGTTTATTTAGTGATAAAATATCCAGGTTTGTATTATTCATATTAATGAATCATTCATATTTCTAACTCCTTCAAGTGGAAAAGAACGTACATAGAAAATTGCTAGATTTGATCTAGTCAAGACATACGAACTCGGATTCAGAAATCGTAAGATATTATTGTAAACTCGTAAGCTTTAACGTATTTTGATACCTCTGTTTATAGTGTTTATATTGATAACTAATACATATTCCGGTGTAATTTATTTCTTAACTTAAATTTATTACCGTACTGGTTGATCTAAGACGATTATTTTCTTCCGATATTATTCACTTTATTTATTTAGGCTCATTTAGGGGGTTATTTGATGTTTAAGGTTCTTAGACCATGGGCATTGCAGGTCCATAGCCAGTCCCCCAGCTATTTTGTCCAAAAAAAGGTAAAAAAAAATTGTGTGGGTCGTTCTTTGGAATGAGACCGTCCCTCTTCAATTCGTGGGCCCCACTGACACGTGGTGGCCCACGATTGGTTACTTTTGTTTTTTTGTTTTTTTTTAAATATTAAAAAAAAAAAAATTTGGGACCTTAACCGATCCCATGGATGCACATGCCCTTACATACAATTTAATAAAACATATAATTTTTAAAATTTCCAAAAATATCGTTAAGAAAGTGGTTTTAATGTTGAGAAAGTGTTTTTTACCTTCTTTTTAAAAATCGTTGTCACAAATCATGCAGACGCGGAGCTATGACTGGTGTTGTTTGTCAATTGTCACTCTTTTCCAACACCTAATCCCGACAACAGCGTTAGAGAATCTCTCTCGACCGCACACACTAATGCATGCATGCATTCATACACGTTATTGCCATGCAAATCTCTTTGCTCACCTATAAAGACTAACCAACCTTTCACCACACTCTTCACTCAAACCAAAAGAAGAATCCATACACAAATAGCAAATGGCAAGCAAGCTCTTCCTCGTTTCTGCAACCCTCGCCCTTTGCTTCCTCCTCACCAACGCTTCCATCTACCGCACCGTCGTCGAGTTCGACGAAGATGACGCTACCAACCCCATGGGCCCATACCGCTCGCAGCAGAAATGCCAAAGGGAGTTTCAGCAGGCAAAACACCTAAGATCTTGCCAGCAGTGGATGCGCCAGCAAACAAGGCAAGGTCGTGGTGGCAGTCCCGCCCTCGTCGATGAGTTTGATTTTGAAGACGACATCGAGAACCCACAGCAGAGACAGCCAATCCTCCAACAGTGCTGCAACGAGCTCCAGCAGGAAGACCCAGTTTGCGTTTGCCCCACCTTGAAACAGGCAGCTAGATCTGTTAGACTCCAGGGACAGCACGGACCTTACCAAGCTAGCAAAATCCTCCAGACCGCTAAGCGCCTTCCTAACATTTGCAACATCCCACAAGTTGGTGTTTGCCCCTTCAGGGCCTCCCCTTACTACCCTCCTTACTAATAAATTTTCATCCCCTAGCACGATGATTATGAGTATCACTGTGACTAATGTATGTTACTATACTATATACACAGTCATCGTGTGTTTTTTTCGAATATGCAAATATGTAAGCTTAGGATGTTTGCGGCTAATATAATTAGCACTACACCGTAATAAAGAGAGGTTTCTGTTTTTCATTTGTTGTTCTCTCTATAAGATGATAACGAGATATATATAAACAATCCATAAATATCAGCTTTAGTAAAAAAATTTAAAAAGAACATGTCTGAAAAAAATCGAGTGTATTGTACTAAAATAATCGAAAACACTAGTCTAATGAATGAGAAAGATCATGGCGAATTAATACTGCTCAGATATAAAATGTTTAGTATAAGACTTCAAGCTCAATAATATAAATCATCCATTATACATGAAAAGATTCTGTCTTCAAAAATATGTATCAATTTCCAACGTAGGATCGAACAATGATCACTCAATATGGCGAGAACATATATGAGAGAACCAATTAACAAATATGGCTCTTTTCCATTTGGAATATTTTTCGATGGCAAAAGCTCATTCCCGGTTCCTATGTAAAATATAAACTCGATCCTGATTCTTGAATCCATCTACCTACTTTGTTTTATACGCAACTACTAATTACTGACGTTGCCTTTCTTCTTATTAGTCTAGTAACTGGTCTCTAATCTCGTAAAGCGTCTCTATGATATGTGTTTTAAACTCATTCAGAAGAAAAATAAATAAATAGAATATATATTTCAAATTTTATATTTTTGTTGTCAAGATATCCTCAAATCTGCTTGTGATGATATATGTGGATCATCCACAGAGGATGCATGTTGGTGCACCGATGCTTAGGCCAGGACTAGCGACATATCACATATATATATACTAGAAAGTTGCCCACGCGATGCGTGGGTTATACATGAAATATTAATTAAAAATTATAATAAGTTATATATAGTGTATAAGTGTTAATATATGTTTTGAAAATAATTTTAAAACAAAATAATATGTTTATTACAAAATAATACTAATTTTTATGTTTAACACAAAATAATTAACGCACAAAAAAAATCGAACGCGATCGCAAAATTAGTATAACACATATTTTGTGTACATTGTAAACATTAAAAATAAACGAAAATTACATTTGGAAAATATAAAACTGAATGAGATCTAAACAAAGTAATACAAAATTAGCACATACACAATATACAAAATTAGCACATACAAAATTATGAGCTTTTGTTACTCACCTTATATTTTATCATAACCTAAACGTAATTTAAAATTTTAAAATGATCAAGTTAAATTTTTCAAAATATCAAATTAAAGATTTCATTTGAAACATATGATATATTGTCTTAAAATTTATTTAGAAAATATTTTTCAATTTAGATTATAAAAGCATTTAAACTATAGTTATGTAAAAACTAAAAAGAGAGATCATAAGCCAAATAAACAGAAGAGGATTACATGAGAAATAGAACTTTGATATTTTTTTATATTCTATTTGATTGTAAAGGAAGCTGACATATAGGAGGTAGATGAGAATATATATATATATATATATATATAAAATAGACTTTTTAATGTAGCATTAGTTTAGTTTTAAAATTACTACTAAATTTTTTAAAAACAAATATGCATGAAGATTTACATTACTATAAAAGTTAAATAAATGAATCCAAACTAAAATAGCATAACATGTTTACATCTTTGTTCAAAAAAAAAAAAACATGTTTACATCAAAATTAACAAAGAAGATGAACAACGACATCTATCTATTATATGTACATGACAACAATTCTGAACTACTTATAAGAAATCGATTGTATGTTTAGTCTCTCTAGGAAATAATAACTTAGGGTAGGTATTTGTGTTGTTATGAAAAGACAAGTTATTATTTACTTATAACAAATGAGATTAAGTTACTAAGAGTGTAGATTGAGGTATGATATTCTTGTGTAACTCATACATTATTTATCATAATTTAATAGGATTTTAGTGGTGAACATTAACAAAGAAGATGAACGACGATATCTATCTATTATATGTACACAACAACAATACTAACTACTTATGACAAATCAATTTTATGTTCGGTCTCTCTATGAAAAATAACCTGGGTAGGCATTTGTATTATTATGAATATAAAAACTATTATTTAATTTTAGCAAATGAGGTTAAGTTACTAAGAGTGTAGAGTGGGGTATGATATTATTGTGTAATTAATATGTTATTAGTTATCATAATTAATATGTTATTAATTATCGTAATTTAATTAATGAATTAAATTAAATATAACTTTCATAAAATGTATGATCTTTAAAAGAAAAAATTTAAGGACCAATTTTTTTGTAAGCAAGTATATATATATTTTTTAAGACTTTCACTGCAAAATTTAAATAAACTAAATATTATAATTTTCTTTATATAATAGTCTATTTGATCACAAAAACTAAATATAATGACAGATATATTAAAAGGAATTACAAAAACTATTTGAGATTAAAAAATAAGAAAAAATTATTTGATAAATGTTTTAAATTGAAATTTTCATTTATATAGCAATCAAAACTGTTATATTACATATGTGTTATATCAAATTTTCTTGATTCAAAAGTATGAAAATATAAATATAATAAGGCGTTAGAAAAAAAATATTGAAGCTTTATAAGATATATACTATACTTTCTAAAATAAATTTAGGTCAAATTCTTAAATTGATATTTTCATTGATTCTCAATCAATATAACAACATAAAAGTAGTAAACTATTTAAGATACATGAATATAGTGGCTGAGAATGAGAGAAGCATTACTTATAAGATAATAATGTAAAACAAACAATAGAGATGAATCTTTGAAAAAGAAAAATTAAGAGACATTTCATATATTCATATAGTGTAAAACGATAATTTTGATTAAACTTTAAATATATATATATATTTTAACTCATACAAAAAATAATAAACAACAAAGAAAAAAAAACACAAAACCAAACAAACAAAAATATATAAGATTTAAGATAAAGTGGAAGACGATAAGAAAATGAGTATTTAGAAGATAAGAAGTGATGAGAGTTACAAATTAGAAGAAACAAATTGTGCGAGCTAATTCTAATTTATTGTATGTTGAATAAAATTGAGTAGAAAAATATAGTTAATGCAAATTTATATTATTTCAGTTTTTATATTACAGTGTGTGTTAAGAATTATTTGAATAAGAAAGAGGTAATAATATATTATTTGCAAAATTGTGTTACAATAAAATATTTAATTAGATATTTCATAACCAAAAAAGAAAATGCATATATAA